CCAGCTCTGCCCTCAGAGGTGCACTTCAAGAAAATAACTTCTGGTGTTTTGTTCCCTCCCAGCCACTGTACTTGGGAGGCAATATGAGATGCATCCTCTTGAGAAGTTAGAGCAGTTGGTATCACTCCCTCGTGTGCTAAGGCGTGGGGTGTCGGGACAGGGCAGTCACTTGGTTCCAGACAGTTCTTGTCCTCGGTGTCCCTTTCCCCTTATTCCCACCCTGGCCTTCCTCTTCTGCTCCCGCTCACTGATATGTTCTCTTGCATTTTTTGGGCTGCAGGACTCTGACTCTCCAAGGCATTCGACAGCTTCTAACAGCTCCAACCTGAGCAGTCCTCCCAGCCCCATCTCTCCTCACAAGACCAAGAGCCTCTCCCTGGAGAGCTCTGACCACGCAAGCTGGGACACATGAACTGCTTCAGCACTCAGATTTTACATCTCAGCAGCTTACTGTCCCCATGACTCTCCATTTGCTCTCACTGTCATCGCCCCCCAGCTTCCCTCCAAAAGCAGACTAGGGGAGGGAGGGGAGGAAGAGAGCATATCTTGTCTTCTCTGACACAAGCAGCGTAAGCTCCCCCCGATTCAAAAGTAGCAACAAGCAAGAGAAAACCTTGAGGAGGGCAGAGTGGGGGAGGGGTTGGTATACAAGAGATATCGGTATATTTGTATTAGTATCTATTTTATTTCATAGGGTTACAGCTGTTTCCATTTTTATGGGTATATTCCACACCATGCCACTGTTCCAAACAAAACATAGTAGTGTTAGACTGACCAAAACAGAATCTGAAAGAGAGAACCAGATTTTGCTTTGAGGCACACAGTATCTCATTGTATTTTTTCAAGAGTTAGCACAGCAACACCCACCCATCTCTGGTGATGGGGCAAAATTTGCCCTGCAGGGGCAGATATCGCACGCTTTCAGCAACCACTCTATTTGAATGTCAATCTGATTGTTGCCAGCAAATCCTTATTGATTTAAAAAGAAATGATGCATATTTTACTACAGTAGAGTTTAAGTAAATACGCAAAATTAAGAGTTAGTACATATGTATATAATAAAAGAAGAAGCATTGTGATGCAGCGAAAGATGGATTCCTATTTAAGAGATCCTTTAATTTAAGAAGACTTGTGTTGTTCCCTTTTTCATACTAAATAATCTATGGATTGAGGATGTGATCTGGATATAGAACATGGCACTGGATAAAAACAGCCTGGAGGGAGATTCCATCCTCACAATGTTCTCTGTAACATTACCTTCTTGTCAGTAGATGAACTAAAGCCATAATTCTCACTTTTTAACTATATCTCCCTCTTCTACTGTCTGCTTCACTGTACAAGCAAAACTCATGATCTGCTGGTCGACAAGCCTGAAGTGAGCTCAAGGGCAGTTTTGCAGAGAATCAGTATTCAGCCCCAAGCAAAACTGAAGTAAATGCAGCCAAAGCCAGCGCAAAGAGATAACTAGTTTTGGGACGGTTGGAGCTGGGTTTCCAAACCCATCTGGCCAATTAATACCAGCAACCACTAGCTTGTAAGTTGACTTTCCAAATTTTAGTGATCAGCCTACATCAGGCAAATTCAAACAGCGCTGGTCTTGAAATAGAATCTTTTAAATATATAACTTGCTGCTCTAGCTCACTGAAGGCTATAACGTGCTGTTGGTCTTCAGAATTTGCTAGAACGCCGGGTGGTTCAGGACGCCTATTCCGAAGATGTTTATTATGTCATCCCTGCTCTCCCACCGGGCCTGACCTAGTGTGTTTAGTGCTATTATTGCCGTGAAATACTGTGACGGTTGGATCCCACAGAGAAGCACTTGGCAGGGCAAAGCATTCCTCTCTGGAGAGAGCAGACAGTGGAGGTCCATCACCACCTAAATAAACAGTAGCAAGCAGTGCAACCTGCAAATGGAGGGCAAGAACAAAACAATAGAAAAAGCCCACTTGCCTCCTCCTTTTCCTTCTTGAACAAGTTGAGTGCGGTTTGCGATTTGAGACTAGATGAATGTGATTTTTCTAATCCTTGGGATCATTACTACCTTTATGACGTGACCAAGCTCAAGCGGATAAGAGTTTGGATGGTGGTGTGTGTTGAATTTAGAATTCTAGTCTTCTGGGTTTTGGTAACACTTCATGGCTATCATCAAACCATTCCAACCAAACAACAAAAGTGCAACTAATGGTGTTTCCCAGGTTCCCTCTGAAAAATGTCAGCTACCACCATACAAGGTACTGATTTAGAAGTACTCTGAGATACAGAGCGTTGTCTTTCATGATCTAGCTGTATTGAGTCTGCTAGTTGTTGGTTCTGTGTCTTCTGCATTAAGTGGACTGCCACACCCCAAGCTACCATTTAGCTATTTTATACTGGGGGGAACAGTTGTGGGTGGGTGGGGGGACACACAGCTTTTTTCTACTGCGTATGGTGTCCTAATCCTGTCTGTGGAATTTGGCTTGTCAAGAATCTCCAAGTTGATGATGTGTGTTTTGTTGTCACAGGTATAAACAAGAGATTTGCAAATTGCATTTCATAGCGGCCAGTTTTGACAGTTTTGCTGAGCAGGAAATTAGCATGTCTAAGAGCACAAGGACAGGCATAGTTTAAAATCCATTGACTACTTCTTCAGCATTGGCTACTAAAAGGTTCTACTTCTCTTCCACCCTGTGATATTATCACTCATGCCCACCCACCGTTCTAGACACTTGTGAAGAGATTGGACTTAGTTATTTCTGAAATACAACTAATGGGAAATAGGTTATCTGATTAAGGCTGCCAGGGCTTGAAATCCACAGTAGGCCCAAGCGATTATCCACTTCAGGAGTTACCTTAGACGTCCTTGCAAGGTCCTGTGGCAATTGATCTGTGCTCCATCTGAGAAAGAAAATTAGACAAGGCGGCACCTGTCTAGAATGAGAAGAAATTAGCATCCCAAGAGTTACATTTTATACGTTGGCCCATTTCACAAATTAAAAGTATTCTTCTTTTCATGCTGACCTAGGATGCATTCCTAGTACATTATGGACACATTTGAGCATTGGCAGAATTGAAAACATATCTCTGAAATGGTTGGCTGGTGAAGTTAAGCTTTGCTGATAGGCATTGCTCCGTTTCCAGGCACACCTGATTACATTTCTCCAAGCACTTTCATAGTCTCTAGTTGAATCCTGACTCATCTGATGACACCTTTGTGTACATAGTTTGAGGCTATTATTTCCCTAACTGGGCTAATTCAGACACCTCAGTCATTGCCTCTTTACGCTTTTAGCCCATTTCTTGAGGCTCAATAAATCAGGTGTTGATTGTAAACGAACCTCAGATTGTACAGCTCCGTTATTTTTTCTATATTAAACACACACAGCCTATACATATCATTACTTTTTTCTTTTCAAAACACATTCCTGTCATAATATCCATTTTTATACTGCTGAAGCAGTCTCATTTGCTGGCTTCTTAAAAGTTGATTTGTGTGTTGTTTCGTGTTCCTAACCTGAATTTTTTTTTTTTAGAACAGTTTTGGTTTTGCGCGGGGAGGGGGGGAAATACAGTTGATATTTGTGTTACTCTCTCAGGTATTTGAACGCAGCAGGATGTCTTCACACGATAAGCATGGAATGCAATAATGTATTTTGGGCATGAGGTTCACCAGAGGATGTACCCTGAGCACAACTAAGTTTTTGTACTGAAATGATGCTAACCTGGGTAGGTGATTGGATTCAGGGTGGCAGTTTTAAGGTCTCGACTGTGAGAAAATTATCTGTGTCTTTTTTTAGCCAGTGCGCAGTAAGCAGGGCCTCAAATTCTTTTTCCCACCTGCAGAGTCATAAAGAAATTGGGAATCTGAAATCAGGCTTGTTGGGATTTTCTTAGCCTTACACCGTTTCACCACAGGTGTGAAAGTTACCTCTCTCCAACCTACGTTCCATATACAGGTGCCGTTTGGAGACCATAGGAAGTGCATATGCCTCAGGGTGAATGTCACTGAGAGGCTCATGACAAAAGTTTAGCCCAGTGCAATAAGGCTTTGTGCCTAGAGGCTAATAAGGGCACAAGCCTGTTTCATTCCAAAATCACAGTCATCAGGCTTTTCCTGGAATAGGGTTCTGAGCTTCTAACTAGTCTACAAGGGGCCTTCAGAGATCAAATATGCTGTAGATTTTCAACTTCTATGACCATGTTGTGCATTAAGGCAATTCCACATGACTTGTCACCTTGTCTTCTTCATTCTATAAATGCTCCCATCCTACATAAGAATTTTTTTCACTCATGAGGAAGCAATCCACAACCAAAAACAGTGTTGGTATTTCACAGTAATTATACCTGCCTTTTTATGTATGATGGTTTCATATCATTTATTTTTTAAAAATATATTTTTAGGGTTTTTTTTCATTGTAATATTATTGTACAGTTTTGCATGGCCTAGATGTAATCACTTTTTTGTTTTGTTTTAGAGTATAAAAGCTGACAAGTGTGCGTGTGGGGGAAAGATTTCTGCTTTTTGCCTCTTCTCACTCTTCTCTTATTTTTGATTTATGCCCTCAATGTTGTAGAGGACATTGTAAGAGATTCTCTGCTCCAGAACAATGATGTAGAGTCTATTGCACAGAAATATTTAAGGTGGATCAGTCAATGATGTAATAAATGACAGGTCACCAATATTTTATGTTGGTAACACTTAATATTAACCTACTTTGATGTATTGCAATAAAACAGGGAACTATTAGAAATACAGATGGTTTGTCTTTTTTCCTACCCCACCAGACTCTTATGAGGCAAGCGGGGCTACAGGGGATATGATGGGGTAGTCACATAATTTCAGCAATTGAAAGTTTCGTTCCTTTCAGCAGGTAGTTTCCTTTGGGATTGCTTTCCCTGCATCTAGCTGCTTCAAGCCATGAGCCATCACACCCATCAACAATGATACAGCTATGGGGAGGCCTAAGCTAGGAGATGCAGAAGGAATACACTGGGTTTGGGGGAAACTCAGACCTTGAAGGCGATTAGGAGGACCACATTCTACAAACCAGGCCCCCAACCATTAGAGAGGAAGGGCAGCAGAAATGAATCATAGAATCATAGAGTTGGAAGAGACCACAAGGGCCATCGAGTCCAACCCCCTGCCAAGCAGGAAACACCATCAGCCTCTGCTTAAAGACCTCCAAAGAAGGAGACTCCACCACACTCCTTGGCAGCAAATTCCACTGTCGAACAGCTCTTACTGTCAGGAAGTTCTTCCTAATGTTTAGGTGGAATCTTCTTTCTTGTAGTTTGGATCCATTGCTCCGTGTCCGCTTCTCTGGAGCAGAATTAAAATAAAAAGCAGGTTGTGGTAAGTAGCTTTCAAATGCACAAGATAGAACTCCTCTTGAACAGAAAACTGAGCTTTTCATTAAGAACCTTCTGCCACATGACTTCCTGTTCAGAAGCTTCGTGGTTTTTCTGATTCCAGAGTCACAGAGAAAGGATGCAGTGTTTGCTTTTCAGAATGCTCCACCCCTACAGCCACAGCTACTGGTTGGGAAGGGTACATCACATCCCACACTTGGTTGTGCAAAAGGGTCTGTGAGTGGCGCACATAATGGTCCTCATGTGATAGTCACGACATGAAGGGTCTGATTTTATTCAGCACAAAATCAGGCACACTTAACTCCACAGTGAAGTCCATTGATTGGATGCAATCAGTGGATTTAACCACACATAGCTTTGTGTGGTTATTCCTTTAGACTTCCTTCTCTTCCATCCTCAGTGGAGAAAAATTCCTTGTTAATGTTGCCTAGTTCCAAAGATAACAACACGGAGTCGTTTCACACTGAAGTTTTTGTGGTCTTTCCTTTTTGGCTGATTTCTGATGTGTTTTCCCCAGGAAACTCCTTTTTACAAAAGAAACAGCAGCAGCACAGCTAATGCGTGGTTGGCAATACCTCTATAATAGCACTTCTACAACTTCTGATTTTTTCATTTGCCCTTGACATTAGCTGGGTTAAGACAGAATCCAACTTCCTGAAAAAAGCAATTCCCAGATGGCAGATGCCTTGATCAGAAAGTCTTTCCATGCAAATTACTTTTTATAATAGCTCAGTGTGGAAACCCTACTGGAACTGGATTTGAGGTAGAGGTTTTAGTGGGGTTTTTTCCTGCCCTGCTTTTGAGGCAGTTATAAAGCTTACAGCCTTCAGGGATTTTAAAAAATGATTTTAACATCTTTGCAGTTTAGTGAGAACTCCCTCCGACTTCCCTACAAAGAGGATTAGGTGAACATAAAGATAGGGCTGCTCAGACACAGGAAGCAGTCTGCTTTCCAATACAGGAATGAAATCCTTCAAGTGACCTTTTGTGTAAACTGGGTTTAATAGGTATCCTTTCCGTGACGATTTTTGCTTATCCATAGCTGTTGTTTTACATCTGCTCAATCAGGCTCTTAACTGGTATCCAATGTGTTTGGCGCAACAAGTCCCCTTGTCAGCTTTTTATACTTTTTATCAGTGCTTTAACCATCTCTTCATATTTCACCTTCGCCACCCCCCCTCCAAATTACATACTTTAAAACGTTGGGTTTTTTTGGAGAATCAAAGTGTAAAAAGCATTTTCTAGTTTGAATATGTCAAACAACAAATGGTTTACATGCCAGATCAGCCAACATTTTAACTGTAATTAAATATAGAAGCTTTAAAGGATACAGATTTCAGTTATTCTTCTCATAAAGTCAAATTTTAAATGAAGTTAACAGAGCACAACTGCGAAGAGCAGCCCAGAGGAAAAAGTAAGTTCACTACAGTCCTCTATATGCATGCAAGGGGGTTGGGTATTTAAGCCCTGCCTGCCAAGGTGGCACAACTCCCACCATCGCCATGCATGCAGAGACCTAACTCCTGCTCTGTGAGGCTTTCTGTGCAGTTGAAAACCCTAATTGCAGAGGGTTATAAATCACCCAAGGTGGCACCACCTGTAGAGCAGGCTCCTGGCCTCAAGCAATGCACCAACATGGCAACAGTAGGAGGAGTTGTGCAGCTCTGGCAGGCAGGGCTCTAAACAGGTCCATCACACAAGTAACTCCTAAAGGGGGCTTGCATCTCAAATGTGAAGCTTATAAACAAATAGCAGCACTAGGAACTAATCGAACAATAGGGGCAAGTAAGTAAACTTCCTGCATTCTTGCCATCATCTAACTAGCATTCCTACATGCAGCATGTCAAATAAGCGGGCGCTCATCATGCAAAAAGGTAAGAGAAGCTGTATTATGAACCACTTGCATGGAACAGTGTGCCACACAATTTGGGCCGATTCATAAAATCTTAACAACTCCTCCTCTTTTGTAATGGTTTGCATTTGGATGGTTAATAACCTCCCAAAAACACAGGTGATAGTTGTCCGCACACCTGACTTGCTAACTGTCTCGTTATTCAAACGAATAGGGCCAAATGGTGCCAGGCCTCGAGCCGTGTTACTATGAAGTTCCTAAAATCTGAATGGTCCAAGGAAATTTTGCCCTTGCTTGTGTAAACTGGAATTCAGGGTCAAACACAGAAATTGATTCAACATACTTCTTCATGCAACACATAATTTACGAAATGCATCTCCCCAAGATTTGAATGAAATAATGGAGGATAAGCAGCCATGACTGCTAAACTGGACCGTTACATTCAGAGGCATTCCCTGAATACCATGGGCTGAGCATAAGCCAACAAGGAAGGATTTATAAATTCTTATGGCACAACTGCATGACATTCCCATAATTTACCAGTCCAATACAATCTGCTGTAACTTGTCTCTAATCATCATCTTCACCACTGCACTTCCACCATGGGTGGAGATGGAAGATCTCTTTTGAGTTATAGGATAACTTCTATTGTCTGCCCAGCCAGATACTGCTTCCCTGCTTTAAAGGTGAAAACTAAAATTGTCAGCAGAATATAGCGCTTATGAAACAAAGTACTTAAGAGGCATTATTACTGGAACAGAATCAGAGTAAGCAGAAGCGAAAAAGTACCCATACACTTGCTGCTGCTTCCAGGTTAGTAAACAACAGCCAAGCCACCTTCTGCACAAGCACGTCTTTATTGGAAATCGGTTGAAAGTTGTACAGCTACAACTAACTGTTGTACAAAAAAACCCCTCCCAAAATACATTTGCCGAGTTGCCTCCAATTGCTTAAAGTTGTGCGTTCAGCTACTTTAATGTATATTATGCTTTCCAACAAAATCTTGAAACACCACTGATAACACAGCAGTATCAATCTCCCCACGCCCATCAAAGGTTGCATTACAAAGATGCAGGCATAAAGGTGGAGATAGTTCAGCTTCACTGCTGGGTTTCTATAAATGCCACAGTTAAGAGCTTTGGCTTCTCTAATTCTCCATTTAACGAGAGAACCCCATTAACTACATTGCATATACATTCAGCTCAAGAGAATCAGACGGCTGCCACATTTGAAAGTAGGGCATTCTACATACGCCACTGCACCACTTTCTATCAGATCCTTGGAAATATTCACTTTCCTTGAAAACTTAAGAGACTGAAGGCATAAAATAGGCTATGTACACATCTTACACTGCACCATCAGGAGATCCCGACCTTTATGGATTCCCAGCAAGCATCATACAAAAATAGTATTCTCTTGTGAGTTGTGTTGGCAATCTAAACTTCATAGTATGAAACCATTTGTATCCTGCCTTAGAAGAAGAAAAATTAGAGGACCTATGAAAAAAGGGTGGGGGGGGGAGAAACCACAGACATTTGGAGAACTACAATACGATTTCAATGCCAACTTGTTTTGGTTCTCTTTCCACCACCCCTTGCTTTGTTTTGTTTTCAATAAAAAAACAAATTGGTACACAGCTATCAGTATTAAAATCTGAAAAAGAGAGCTGATACCTGGGACAGTGAGATACAGAGCTGCCTAACCTTCCCTCACAATCCCTACACTAGGCTACAACCATTTTCCTGTAAAAAGAGAGGCTACACAGGGAATCAGGTGAGTGTAAAGTGGAGGAGAAAAGTCCAACAAAAGAACAACACTGTCCTTAGAACCGGGTATTCTGCTTCCAGGAGCCAGGCTGCTGGTGTTCTGGGGGGTATGAGAGAGAAGACACCGCACTGTGGTTTGCTAGAACCTTGGTGATTGGCCATAAACCAAGGGGACATTCAACAGTTCTGTGCTACTATTCCTTCCTCGCCTTTCTACTCCAGTATTTTCTGTAGGCTTCCTGAAACATGTCCTTGCATGGAATTTGGGCCTGCAACTTGGAGCAAATGAGGAATGAGCCTCCCATTTTCCGATGGAGAGAGTAGGTCTCCTCGGGGGGTGGGACTAGCCTATGCTTCAGCATGACTGGAATTAAGCCATGTATCTTCTCGGTGGTGTTTTGGTTGCCGAAGTCAAAAGGTTCACTGGACGCAAAAGCTTCTCCAAGGATGAGGACAGCATCCAAGTGGGCGTCTTCCATAGCCTGAGCAAAACAAAAATGGAAAGAAGGGTGGTTCTGATCAGCTGTTCTGAATAGTTCTACAGAGGAAAAAGAAAGTAAATAGGCAGCCACCGTGTAACTCCTAACTCTACAGGTCATGAAGACGACGAGGAAATATCCCATGAACAGCAGAATAGTTAATCTCTCTAGCTCTGGAATAAACATTCACAAATAACTATACCAGGCTCAGCCCACTTAGCACCGAGAGTCAATTATTGCAGGAGTTGTAGTCTGGAGGGATAAATGTTCTATTTGTCTGCTCATAAGCAGAGGCAGGCAGACTTTAGGCAGGTCTATCAGGTGGTGCCAGGTGTGACTGGCATGGTGGTGGAGATGTCAGTGGGTTTTGCTTTTTAAGACAGTGTACACCAGGCAGTGTCAGAACCCAACACTTCCAATCCTGTGCATGTTTATTCAGAAGCAAGTGCCACTAATCACAACCCAACACACCTACTGTGAAGGACATACAAGATCAAGGACTATTTCCTTCACAGCCTAATGTGGCGGCACAGACTTCCCATATGATCAAGGGTAGCGAGGAGAATGTTCCTCCAAGCTGCTGACCCTTAATAAACTACCTCTCACTTCCATTGTTAATTCAAATGGGGACTCTCTGAACAGGAGTCTTTCTCCACAGGGAGAAAAATGAAGGACTGCACCCATCTCAGGTTTTCACCAGGCCACAATTCTACAATATTACAGTGCATCATATATAAAAAAAGTCAAGCTAAATTCAAATAAAATTATTGCTGGCAGCAAAGAGTATTGCGAGGCCAGCAAAGTGGATATTCTGTTACTTCCTGCCAGTATATTTGAAATGCTAAAAATCTTGGAATTACCCTACTCAAAAATCAAAGGAACATCTCCACTGCCCCAACAATGGACACCCAAATTAGAATACTTCCAGCTCTACCACCATCCTTCTATGTGACCATGTCAGCTCCAACACCCCACAACTCCCCAATCCTCCCATAACTGCAATCCACCAGAATAAAACTTGAATGGCAACGCTTTGGAGCCTACTTAGAAATAATAGGAAACTGCCTCACCCTGACTCAGAACACTGGTCCATCTATCTCAGTATGGTCTACAATGACTGGCAGTGGCTCTCTAACATTTCGGACAGAGGACATTCCCAGCCTTACCGAGAGATGCCAGGGATTGAACCTGGGACATGAGACACCCGGGAAGTGTGTTTTATAGCGTCCTTGCCAACTACACACACTTTGCTGGAAACAAGCTTCCAAACCACCAATATCTCAAACTTAGGATATTCTCCTTTACAGGCTCAAGCCAGCTGCCCTGATCATACCCCCATATATTAGAAGAATGAGTGAATATCCTGCATGACAAATTAAGCTGGATTTGAAAGGAGTGATGAGATATGCCACTTAAGAGCTGCAGCTAATGTTGACCCCCATGGTGGCATTGGCAAGAGACATTTAAGTTCTATAGATACAATAAATAGGTAGCTTCAAAAGGGGAGTAATTATTTAGCTGAAGTTTCTAAAGGAGACTGAAGTCGCACCGGTAGCTGAACAAAGAGTGGATTGTTTGGTGCTATTATGTACCTTGTTTTCATAGCCAGTTAGGAATTTCATTTCTATTGATTTCTTCAGCACCTTCTCTCTGTCCATGTCAGCAGCTGCTTTGATTAACTGTATTGGAAGAAGAAGAAAAATTCAAAAGCCAGAAGGTGTAGGTGGGAGCCAATCCTATTAAGCACTTCAATAGCAAGGAAAATCCTTTACTCAGAAACATGGTCAATACTAGGAAAGCTATATGTTTTCATCCCACAAAAAAGAATTCGGCCAAGCCTTTAAGAAGCGTGAGCAGTTCTGAAAGATCACAAACTTCAGCTGTCTTCACTTGAGACCAGAAATGTGATACTAGGATGAAAGGAATGCATGCCCTTGTTTAATGTAACTTTTTATTGGGTTTTATAAACAAGGATCATGGGAATAATAAATGATACAAATGAATAGACCAAGTCTTCACATGTTATGTGTATAAAAATAGCATAATGAATTTGCAGAAGTAATGTCTGTGACATACAGTTCCTTATTAGTGGTCAATGAAGAAGTTACTGGTTTGTGAACTGCTTTAAGCGAAGGGGAAACCAGATAGAACAGAGTTAATGGATAACATTCCACATTGCAAAGCTAAATGCCCAACTGGGAGTCCTTGTGGTTATGCTTAAATTAAGATTTAGTAATGGTCATTTTCCCTCCTGTGTTACCAGTGAAACAATAAGAAATGTTGGTATACTGCGAATGGATGCCCTAATTTAACATGGCTAGTTACAATTGAAACACAGGACATATTCCAACCCATGAAAAATCAGCAGGCAAAAGGGGCTCTACTCTTTGCTGGCAGCATGGAACCCTTTTCAAGAGTCCAGATGCTTGCCTTGAGCAGATACTGCCAGAAAGGGGGAGAATACTTTTCTCAGAATGACATTTGTTTTTAGACTACTAGGAAAATATTGCAGTTTTCACTGCACAAGTCCCACTTAAGAGAAAATCTCTGGGTCCTGCGCAACAATACCTATTTCACTGGGAAAGGACCAATATATTCCCTATGGCAGTTTGCTAAAAAGCAATTTTGAGTCTGTCCACAAGAACAATAGAATATGTACTTGGGTCATTTAAATAAAAACAAACAGCAACACATCTTAAGCGTTACTAAGGTTTTAAAAGCAATTTCCCTCACACCATCAACTCCCTTTGCACATTTTAAAAAATCCACATTAGGAAAAAGTGAATTATGACAGCAGTCCAAGTTCTCCAATTTTAGAATGCAACCAACAAAGTTGGGCTGCCTGAGATAAGGGAGAACTAAAAAGCCAGTTAAACCTCTAGCTTTCTTTCAATCCAGCGACTTACAAGTCAAACATGCTTCTCAAGCCCACAAAACAACAAACCATCACAAAAGGTTTTAGGAGTCCTCACCTCTATGTAGAGGTCTGTGAATTCCTCATCAAAACCCCGGGTTGCGCCAAAATCCAGAAGCGCCACCTGAATGAGATGTACAAATGTGGTTTTTTACACTAGAACAGAAACTATTACACCGAGAGCATCCGGATGCTTGTCAGAACAATATTAAGTGCTACAAAGAGCTGGAGTTCTTCATAAAGCCACTTTCTTTTCCCACTTGTTATTGGGATAGGGTGAAAACCTAAAACAGCAACACTTCACAGGTTGCTTTAGTACATGTGCTTTTATATACAAAAACTACATGGCTGGCAAGAACCCTCCTTTCATTGGGAGAATTTCAGCACTTTGTCCCCAGTTCTAACAAAGCTAAGGAAACAAGGACAATTGGACAGCCCACCTGGTTGGAAGGGTCACATAGCACAAACATGAGGATGGACCAAATAACCACCATGGAAAGAGGGTCCCCTCAGCAAATTTCAACACAGTGGCTGCAATGCACAGCTATAGGAAGGCACGGGGTTTATGCTCAAGCACACATGGATGGGGCTTAGATTAAGATGCAGAATCCCCTGCAATGCACACACCACATTTCCTTAGCAGAACAAGTTAATATGGAAAGGGTCTTCTGGATGTTGAAAGTTTAATAGCCATTGCTCCAGTGCCCCTAAAGAAGGTAAATTTCTCCAGAGCTTGGGGGTGGGGGTGGGGAACCTGCAGCGCTCCGCTTAATTTCTGGCCCTCTAGACCCTGGGAGCCCAAGTCCTGCTCTCTGATATGTGAGAGAGGTAGGTGGGGTGGCACAGAGGAAGAGCTATACCAGGCATAGGCAAACTCAGCCCTCCAGATGTTTTGAGACTACAATTCCCATCATCCCAGACCACTGGTCCTGTTAGCTAGGGATGATGGGAGTTGTAGTCCCAAAAAATCTGGAGGGCCGAGTTTGCCTATGCCTGAGCTATACAGTCCTGCAATGCTGGTTTTTCCAGTGGGTCAACGGCCCTTCAAAAGGAAAACAGCTTCCCCCATTCCTGCTCTAGGCATCTGGCAGGTGAGAATTTCTTACCTTTTCCTTCAAAGACATCATCAGTGGAATTCTATTTGATTGTCAGCAGAGTCTTACTATCCCTCCCATTACATTCTTGCTGTATCGTTTCCATGAAATATGATCCCTTTTCCACCTAAAACCCACAAACTCCAGATTCCAGGCGCTACCCTCAAACCCACTTGCCCAGCTAATCGAACCACCTCCACCTAAAGGAGCACATTAGCCAAGAAGCCATTGCAAAAAAAGGAAGCGAGTGCTGCATAAGCAGCTAGTGCCAAGTCCAGCTAGAGCCATTTACCTTCTGCAATTCTGGGTCATAGAAGAAGTTGGACCAGTTTGGATCTGTCTGCATGTATCTGAACTCAAATAACTCTCGCAGGCACAAAACGAGTATGTTGTGGCAGATCTGCAAAAATTGCAACAAAGGGACAAAAATGAATTAGAAAAGCTCCCACTTGCATCAGATTAGGTAGATATTCAGAATATACTGAAGCTGTAAGTCACAGCTATCATGAATGTCTGTCTGGCAGGCAGAGGATGCTACAAAGACTCCTGGGATTAGGTGGATTACACATCTCCTTGGGGAGGGAGGCAGGAGGAAAGAGAGAGAGAGATGCCAAAGAGTCACTGCTTTGGACAATGCACAACTACAAAGCTCTAGAAGAAGTGTGGCCCCTTTCGTGTAACATGTGATATAGTCGGGGTGAAACTACGTTGCTCGCCCAACTATAAGGACCAGCAAGAGGTCACTTAACTGCCCTCTAGCTTCCAGAAAGGCTGGAGTTATTGAGCCAGCATTGTGGCCAAGTTAGTGGCCCAGAGTAGGGATGCCATTTACAGGAGAGAAGGGCTGAGGAAGAAGAGAGCACCAATTGCACCATTGTTTTGGTGAAAATTTAGTTCAGCAACCAAAGGGTCAGGATTTAAGTGTGCACCTCAGATGGGAAGGCAAAGTGCAAACATGGCAACATGTGCTTGAAAACACAGATGCCATACAGGCACACTTGTCGGAGCCGAGACCAGCTTCTGCCGACACAGAAAGAGGACTGCTGGAGGGGAAAAAGGGCAGAGCAGCAACACGTCAGAGTGACAAAGCCTAGACCTACATACATCATGTACCCGGGAGTTTTGTTGTCTAGAGACCAAACTTTATACTCCCGCTCAGTGACTTGCTGACAGCTGTTAAGGGTGTTTAATGGCCTCCTATGGGGCACGTCGGAATACCAGACCAAGTCCATCTGCCAATCTGGCTGTAGTCAGACTTGCTTGTCCTCCCGTTAACTTTCTAGCCCCTTGCTATATTTGGCTCCGATGCTCTTTTGTCCATGCTTCACCTCTCGTCTGACCTCTTGTTTACCCAGTACTTTTCTACCAGGCTTCAGCTGCTAGGACTGGCCCAACAGAGAAGCCTATATTTGGGTGCTTATGCAACAAGAGGGGGACGCGTTTCTGATTGCTCGTTCCAGGATGAGATGATCTCTTTTGCCAAGCTGGTCATCCTACACACAAGGTCAGGCTGTCTATCTGAAAGATGGTTTGCAGATTAGCAAAGCCAGTGGCTTTGGGGTCCCCAGTGCAGGTGGCCCCAATACTGAGATTTGCAAGACACAACCAGTAGCAAAACATTTTCTAGGGTGCCCACCATTCCCAAGCGATCGATTTCTGCACACAATACTCAGCATGGCCCCAACCTGTCCATTCAAAGGACCTCTCTCGCAAAATGGCCTGAGGAAGAGGCCCGTGTCCTCTGGTTCTACCAATCTTCTTCCTCCACCTCCAAGCTGAAAAGGGGCCAGGCGACCATACCTCGTTCCTTATCTCCTGGCTGAGTTCTTGGGCTTGATCCAGCGGGAACCCAGTCACCAGCTCCGTCGTCAGGACATGTGGGCTGCACAGCTCCTCCACCACAGCAGGAACATAGAAAAAGGGGTGGTCCTTGAGCAGCTCCCTGAGGGGCAACAGACAAAATGCTAAGAAGCTGCCCAACCCCTGCAGGGGCCTGGGGTTTCTGCAACATCTGGGTTCAGCAGAGGTAACGCCATTTTGCCCAAAAGCATCCACTTGCTACTCTAGATTCTTTTCTGAGCCTCTTTCCCCCTAGTCCAACAGCATGCACAAGCCCAGGTGTTTGGGATAAAACCAGAATCCCTCATTGCAGCATCTGGCGGGGGCAGATCCCCATAAAACACACCTGAATTTCTTAGCGCAGGCAGCTTCTCTCTTGTAATCGCATTCCAGGGCCAGCTCTCTGCTCAGCACTTCAACCAGATGCTCAGGGAAGAGACCTGGAGGCAAAACGGCAGGAGAAAGAAGCAGGTTAGGACTGAAATAGAAACAATGACAGAGTCAGGGGTGGGGGACCTCAGACCTTAGAACCAAATGCGGCCCTCCACTTCTCTCTGCCTGGCCCTTGGAACACTACCAGGCCAAGCCCCTCACTGGCCCTATTTGCTCCTCAGATATTTTGCCCTGGCTGGCATGTGTCCATGAACCCTGATAACGCCTCTTGCTTATCTGGATGGTGAACAGAGAGGACCACACAAGTGTATGTAGAAACTAGCCTAGTGTACATAAGGTAAAACCTGCCATTTCTTCTTTGCCCCACCCACCATGGGCATATGGCCCTCGGGAGGCTGCCCAGAAAGGAATGTGGCCCCCGGACTGAAAAAGGTTCCTCAACAGAGAAAAGAGCTCAGCCTGGAAGGCAGCGCTTCGCCGGTTACTTTCAGCCATATACAAACGTCCTTAGTTAACTGTAGCAACTGCACCTCTCTGCAAAGCATGAATGGTTCTCCTAAAATTAACGCATCCTGGACTTCAGGAATAGCATCCCCCCACACATACGAAATCAATTTAGGCATGTATCGGCATCCCGAGGGGCAAATACTGAAGCCACCCATGCTCCATAAATGGAAAAGGTGGTGATACAAAGCATTTGCGGACTTATAGCCTCCCACGGCTTCTTTGATGCCAAGATTAATGAGAGATATCAAGGGGGGATTACAATTAAGGTTGTGGATCTCTGCCCAGCATTCCCACAGCCAGGCAAAAGAAGTTCAAAGGACAAAGTGGTTCTGTCTGCCTGAGCTCTGCTCCCATCTGGCAGCCAGTCCACAGACTGCCAACGAGGGAGGGAGGGAGGAGTTACGTTACACAGCAATCTTGCTACTCTCTCTTCATTGCCACATATCAGGTTCAGAATGCTGGGCTCTCCTGTGGGTTTGGACATGATTGGACTTTTCTTCCAGATGAGCAAAGCAGAATGGATTTCTATCAGGTAAACATAGGCTAAAAACTCACCCCACATTTCATGTAATAACCTGTTGCACAATAGCGAGAGGTTGTCCCCCAGAATATGTGGGGCAGAGGTGGTAGCCCAGGGGGCCCAAGCCCTGGATATTCTGCCCTTCCCTCCATCCCCCCCAAAAACCCTCAGCTGGGCCCTCTACAAAGTGAAACCCAGGGCACAACCCATCTTCATATGCCCAGAGGCAAATCATGGGCCTGTGGCTCCTGGTCTTTTAAGCACCTGGCAATACCCCAGCGTCATTCTATGTCTCATCTTAGCAACTACGCTGCTTGTAAGAGGCAGCAGGTGAAGCTTCCAACCAACTGTTTTAACACTGACAGCAGACAACAGAGTAGTGTTCAGCAGACACACACAGAAGACTTGCACAACAGCCCCCTTCCCAAAGTTACCTTCTGGGAGAACATTGCTCATGCTCAGGACAGTCATCAGGTTGCTGACATCACTATTGATGCTCTGGGCTATTCCAGGATACTGCACGAGAGAGAGAGAGAGAGAGAGAGAGAGAGAGAGAGAGAGAGAGAGAGAGAGAAATGGAAATGCTGAGCACCTCCTCCAGTTCAAACACCTGCTACACTTTCCTGAACTAAAACAGAGGGTCAAGGCTTCAGTCATGGCAAAAACAAAATCCCTAAATAAAGGTGCTGAAATGCAAGGGTGAAAAGAGGTCACGGGAACCTGGCTAATCCTGTGTCTGATCCAGCTAGCACAGTATTGCTTGCCTAAGAGTAAGTAGAGCCACCCCTTTTCTCTCTGCTTGCCACTTTCTCATGCGCAAGCCCCACATCCCTCGTTCCTCCCATCCACCCACAGGTAGACACCCCATTCATCCATTCTCTTCCCCACCCACCCACAACGGCACACATGCTTTCCATCAGGAGCAACTCACACACATTCTCATGCCTCCTCCTCCCACTCCTGTTCCCCAGCCACACTGACGTTTTCTTGCTTTGTGTTTTGGGAAAGCAGAAACCACTCCCTGCCACAACAGTCACAGGCAGGTAGGTTCATGGAGAAGCCTGGAGGTCCAGCTATGGACTGTGGCAGCAAGAGCATCTTTCTGAAAGATGCTAGCCACTCTAGTTGCTGCTACTCTGCAGGCCTCTTTTACTGAGGATAAAGGAGGGTGAGCTGAGATGGGGAGGAGGGGGCAAGAGTGGGGCAGAGTAGAAAAGGTGGGACAAGATGACCCGCAGGATGCTTTCCAACTCCACAATTCTATGATCCTAGAAGGTTCTACAAGCATGATCCAGCCTAGAGGCGGGCAGCTCTGCCCCCTGGTTTTTTACTGTCTGAGAACCTGGAGAGTTGCCTGCCAAACAGGGAAATTTCCCAGGATTGAACGGTTTGTTTCCCCATCATTTGCAAAAATCCTTCAGAAAAGATACAGTCCTATCACAATCAAGAGAGTTCTACGATAATGCAGTTTACTCTGCATAAGAAACACAGGCTGGTTTGGAAAATAATTAAGGGGAGGCATAATGAGCTACAGTTCCCTCTCTCCAAGGTAATTTAGACTGTCCAAACCTGACAGCACACTTCTCAAATGCTCCTGCGAAGCATAGCCTGCGGAGTCTAAAATTCCATCCTCTCCACCTCCTTTCTAAAAAAGAGCCAAGGGAGCCAATTTTCACAGCTTAGCACCTGTGCTCTGGGTAGCAGACTGACATGAACAGCTGCAAGAACAGGAACTTTCTGTCACTTTTAACCTACACTGGGCTTAAAAATAGGGGCGGGGGAGAGAGACAACAGCCCAAGAAATGCCACCTAGCAAAACCTTAGATCTAGAGCAGGTGAGTCGGTGGAAGACTGGAAGAAATTCAAAGATTATCTACAGAAATATTGTAAAATTAATGAATGTTAGAATGATGTTGGATGGTAATTAAGTGGTTTCCAGCTGTAATGCTTTAAGGGAATATGAAAAAAGGGTTATAAATAGGTAAAAATTGAATATTATTACTTTTAAAGGATTTGCTGAACCAACAGATTGAAGTGGAATACAAAAAAAGGGAGGTATGAGGAGGTCCGGGAAATAAGTCAAAGGAAAATAAGTAATGGAAAATCTGTGTGTTTTTAACTATTTTTATTTTGTATTTTTGTCATTTTTTTTTTCATTTTTATTGTAATATTTTAAAAAATCTTAATAAATATCTTATATATATAAAAAAAAGATCTAGAGCAGGTGGTCCCTCCAGGTGTTGTTAGACTACAATGCCATCATCCTTGACCATGATGGAAGTTGGAGCCCAACATCTGAAGGGCCAGAGGCTCCCTATCTACAGGACTTTTCTACTGTCATGGGGATCATTCGAACTCCCAATGGAGAGAATTATGGCAATTGCCAAAACCAGGATTTCCAGAAAAGGAAAATGCTTCTGGCACATCATCCCCCATATTGCGCAAGTCTATAGTACAAATGGTTCAGACACACAGTTTGATCAGCAAAAAAGGGAACTATAATGTGTGAACCATTCGTACCATATACTTTGTCACAACCCAAGAATCAGGTTCAGGATTTGAAGGAGCCTGTCCTCCATCTGAAAATGTCTGTTGATCTCAGACAGAAGTGTTAGGGGCACAGTGACAGAACTACCCTACAGCCGCATAGGCTTCACACAGGGGCCAAAGGTGATGAGATGAACCTCGGGATCCCTTCAACTCTACAATTCTATACTTCTATGAAACTAATATATTGTAAAACATCAAGGAGTGGGTCTCAAAGTGCATATTCAGAGCTACTGGTGGGCGCCAACTCTGAAAACACTGAAGACCACTAGGCCCACCTGGATTTTCATGGCAACTTCTTTCCCGTTCTTCAAGCGCCCCAGGTGAACCTGTCCAATCGAAGCTGCAGCGAAAGGTCGCTCTTCAAAGAACTCCAACTTATCACGCCAGTTGGGACCAAGGTCATTGTTCAAAGTTTTCTAGCGGTGAATAAAAAACACAAATTGGAGTTTTCCCTTCCCAGGTAGACACTACCACTTGTTGCTTAGACTAGGGACTTTGAAATCCAGCTATGACAAACCGACAACTGCAAACAAGCACCAAGGGCATATAAATGGCCAGGATTAAAAATCCAAGCAGCCACTAATGTATACAAATTAGAGAGCTAAACAATGAATTCCACCATGATTTTTTAAAAAAATGGTGTAGGCAAGGAAAGAAGGTGCAGTAAGGTTATTTAATGCTTTGTTCTCGCAGCCTGCTCAGCAATGGCCCAGAACCTGTAAATAGAGGAAGGCGCCTGCTTTCTCTTTCAGCACAGGTCTACTTCTGTTCGTCCACTTTGATCCCCGAGGCTCCCTCCTGTCACACAGCCCAGGCAAATCCTCACCATCATTTGCTTCAATGGCATGAAGTCTGCACTCTGACGGACACGTTCAAAAATCTTCTGCAGATGAGGGTTGATGAAGGCATCATCTGACAAGAGGAAAACACAAGCCCAGTCAGGCAATCAGAGCCATAGTTAAACATGATAGCTAGTTCCTTTGATATGCAAGTACAGTCTCATTAAAAAGGTAGAAGTAGCCTTCAGTACATTTCGGATTGAGCACTGACATATAGACGTGAGTGGATTTTGTGCTAGGGTCAGACAACATTCTATCTTGCACAAAGGAGCCAGCTTATTGTTCATAAATTCCTATAAACATATGACACTTTACCCTCAGTCTTTGTCATCCTTGAAATATCCAATGAGAAGCCCGAAGACTCCCCCCCTGCTGCAAGGAACTCTGCATATGCTCTGAAACCCAATGTTCTGCTCAAGCAAGCAACATGCAGCTAGCTATGTTAAATTGACTTCAGGGAATTAATTTATTTAGTAATTTGGGTTTCAAATACTTAAAGAACAAATAAACAAAAAGAACATCATATACAAAAAAGGCAATTATCTTTAGGGAATTTTCCCTAAAGTGTGCGCAAGAGAGAAATCATTGCCTTCACTCTTCTCCAAATAAACTTATTTATATTTTGTTATTTTGTTTCATTAGTTGTTGTTTTTAAAGCAAATCCCTAAATTTTCTCATTAGAATCTCCCTGTGTGACACTGCAGAGATGCTAAGTGACCTGTTGTGTTCCAAATTTTCCCCTCACACACAAACAAAATTGTGTGCCTCTAAAGCTTTGGGAAAGTAAATTCACATCTGTTTATTATCCCCTAAAGCAGAACAGAAAGGGGAATGGGTCCCTGGCAGTAGGACCATGAAATCCTCGAAGCAGCTGGACACACTACAGTGCGGCCCCAGCTCTTATACAAAACAGGGACCTGCCAGTAAGGAGGGATCCATTCCCACCCACTCAATTCCTTCACACATGGCAAAGGGTCAGATCCCCTGACCTACGTACAGGCCTTGCCCACAAACCTTCAAGCTCATTTTTGCAGCTTAGAAGGTGCAAAAGAAGAAGAAGAGGCGTTTGTATTTGATATCCCGCCTTTCACTCCCCTTCAGGAGTCTCAAAGCGGTTAACATTCTCCTTTCCCTTCCTCCCCCACAACAAACACTCTGTGAGGTGAGTGGGGCTGAGAGACTTCAGAGAAGTGTGACTGGCCCAAGGTCACCCAGCAGCTGCATGTGGAGGAGCGGAGACGAGAACCCGGTTCCCCAGATTATGAGACTACTGCTCTTAACCACTACACCACACTGGCTCTCATAAGAGCCAGTGCAAAAGAGCTTTGCTCAAGAAGGGGTACTGAATTTGGGCACGATGGAAGAACGCCCACGAGATCCTGGCGATATCCCTCATCCTAAGGCTTCCACAAGCAAAGAAAGCAAGTGTGGCATCCTCCATGGGGGTGTTGTGTGCTGAAACCTCATCTATCCTACCCCCGTCCCTTCCGAGACATAGCAGGAAGGACTGGAGCTGGCAGGAGAACATTTCAATTCTCAACAGGCTGCTCTACTTTCACCACCTCAGAAAAACAGAGAATAAACACTTGCATCAGCTGTGACTTGCATGTCTATTCCAACACTTATCTGCTTTGCTCGCTAACATGCCGATGAACCGCCTTCACTTGCTATTTATTTGGCAAGTTTATTAGGCCTTCAAAGAACTCTGGAAAGAACGATTTGCCAACTGGTGCTGAAGTAACCAACCAGATTATTTTTTTAACAAAGCATGCTTGTGGTCAAAAACACAGGAAGCAAAGTATATGCAGAGTCAGACCATTAGGCCCATCTAGATGAATGCTGGCAACACTTGTCTGAAAGCTGACATTCCCAGATGCAACCCAAGGACTGAACCTGGGACCCTCCACATTCAAAGCATGTCCTCTGCTGCTGAGCTACAGATTTTCCTCTTTGTGGTTTATGGTTTAGACTAAACAATAAAAGACACCCCTGCAATTAAGCAGTGACAGTCCGTTCCTCCCTTGCAGTTAAGGTTGGGCAAGACACTGGCCACAGAAAGGGTTCATGGTAAAGTTTTGCAGGGTGAAGCAACTGCAAGCAGAGGGCAGCCTGCAAGTTGCATCAACCTATTGTTTTTAACGGAAGCAAAGGGCTCTTGCTGGGGAAAGCTCATTTTCCTGGTCCTTTTCAGAAATACAGAACTGCATCTTTCTCAGAAGGCTGGCGAAGTTTAAAGGAGGGACAGAATGTCCATCAGATTTGTGAGCATTGCCTTGGCCTTCGGTTGTGTTTATTTCTTTAAAAGCCTCCAGTGGGTTTGGCAATGCTATGCTATTAGTGGGAAGAATCTTAGTTAAATTATCTCTCTCTCTCTCTCTCTCTCACACACACACACACACACACAGAGAGAGAGAGAGAGAGAGAGAGAGAGAGAGAGAGAAGCCACATTGCTCTAGTAGTTACTTCAGATCCCACCATTGTAGTAACTTTGGTGGTAGCCACATCAAATATGGATCATCTACACACACACACACACACACACACACACACACACACACACACTCTTCTGCTAATACCACTATTCCATTTTCTCTTGGTCACAACACAATGTCTACATTTGCAATATTCTAGCATGGAATCCTGGGGGGCATTTGCAGCCTTAATGGGTACTCTGTTGGGTTTCATGTTGTACCAAGGCTGCTGAGGACATTATGGCAAATATCTCCTATGATTATTTTACAAAATATAAACTTGAGCAGTTACTTCAAAAGGCACTTTCCCTCTGTACAAAATTCCCAAAAAAAGGCACTGTTGTGCTGGGTTATAAAACAGAAACTGTATTACTGCCTCTTCTGCTTCCTGGCTCTGAAATACCTACAAAACTGAACAAAATCTGGAAAAGAGTCAGGAAACTCCCAAAAGGGAAAAATGGTTGGGAGAGTCAAAAATTCACCCGAGAGATGAGAGATCAAAGGGGGAGGATTCAAGGAGCACCAACATGCTGTTCATCCTTACCTTGGATGCTCAGCATCTGCCCCAGCTTCAGCGCTGCTCCTCGAACCTTGCAGAGGGTCCTCACGATTCTCTCTGCATTGGCCTCCGACATAAATGGACTGGTATCCATAACAGCCTTTTTGCCTGAGGACAGGGTAAAAAAATAAAGGAAAATGCTGCATGGGTGCTACTATTGGCACTGTACCCACTTGGTCCAAAGCACCTTGCTTTCTTCACCTTTCAGGTGGTAGAGAAGTATCAATTACTGTGCAGCATTCCTCAATATAAAGGAGGTAAAAGCAGACAACCTGGTGCCATCCAGAGATTTTGGACTAAAATTCATCTCAAAACGCTTTGTTCAAATGTGCTCTCACACGTTTTACCTCCCTGCCTCTGCAAAGCTAGGGTGCCAAGAAGACGAGCTGAGAAGCCTTTGCCTAGGAGGTACTATTTGCCACAGACACAAGGAAATCTTAATGAGTGAACACATTTGCACACACTTTGTGCATAGGGCTGCCCCTGAAGACAGTTAGGAAACTTGAAACTTGTGCAAAATTTGGTGGCCAGGTTGCTCACCAGGGCAAGACAGCTTGAGACTATTACACCAATCCTGGTCTGATTGCACTGGCTACCAATTAGTTTCTGGGCCCAATTCAAAGTGCTGCTTTTGACCTTAAAACGGCTCAGGACTGCAATACCTGAAGGACCACCTCTCCTCATACAAACCGATCAGGTCCCTGCGATCATTATCTGAGGCCCTTCTTCGTGTGCCTCTCCTCCACGAGGTCCGGAGGGTGGCAACACAGGAACAGGGCTCCCCATTTGTGGAACGCTCTCCCCAGGAAGGTTCGCTTGGTACCTTCATTATATACCTTTAGGCGCCAGGCCTCTTCAAACAGGCCTTTAGCTGATTAACATCCAACACTCTTTTAAATGTGCAGGCGGGGGGGGGGGGGGGGGAGATTGGGTTGTTTTTGTTCTTTATTTTTATTATGTATTCATATTGTATTTTTATATTGTGAACCAACCTGAGATCTAGGATGAAGGGTGGCAGATAAATTTAATAAATAATAACAATAACAATTCTCCTTCTCCATCTTTTTTTGTTAATAATTAAATAATCTTTATTAATTTAAATTACACACATATACTGTACAAAGAATTTACAATCTCATACTACAAAAAGAAAACTAAAGAAAAAACAATTAAGAAGAAAAGAAAATACAGAAAAAAGAAAGAAAAATCAGATTTAAGTGCATAAAAAAACTTAATCTTCCTAATTAATACTTAAATAAACACGTAAATAAAAAAGACTTCTGACAAAACGAGTCTTCTAATCATTCTCATTGTACTGTTTATACTGTCGTCGGTTTTCCCCGCACAATTTTATATTCTTTAATATTGTTCCCGTCTACTCCACAAATGGTATTTGTTGTGTTTACAAGTATCACTCAAGTTCTGCTAATATGGTGTGGTTGGTACAATATGATCTTATATAATCCTTAAATATTCTCCATTCTCCAAATATTTTCTGGTTCAATACTCCTTAACTCTTCCTGTCAGTTTTGCTAGCTGTAAATATTCTAATATGAGTATCTGCCAATCCTGCGATTGTCAGTATTGTTTCGTTTTTCCACTTCCTCACCACAAGAATTCTTGCTGCTGTGGTGACATACATGAACAGTATCTCCTTCTGCATCCTGAGACAGTATAATCCCAAGAAACCCCACCCTTTTAATGAAGTTTGAAGCAAAAACATGAAGGCTTCACAGGGCAGGGATTTCTATTTGCTGGGCCATGGACTCCTAACTTATTTGTTCCTGAAATACTGAAACTCATTGGAGGCTCTGAGCAGGTACTGCTGCAACAAATCTGTTTACTGACCTTGAAGCACAACTCAACTCTCCTCTCCTGACAGAAGAGGGCATGTAGAGACTGGATTTCATTTCACGGCCCTGGAAGGACTGTCCTTCCCAACAGCTATCTGGGATCACCTCTAATTTTTCCTCTGCTGCCATAAGTACAGCTTTGAAGGTTAGCAGTGACCAACAGAGCTATTTTTACTTGGCTTGCTTGACAGACACAGTGAATCTCATCCAGAATGCACGATGGACATAAACTTTTGCACACCTTTTTTTTTCTCTTTCCAGGATAGCTTGAATGGGAACAGCCAAAGACAAGTTGGCTGGTGGGTCCAAGGTCTCTCATGCCTTGGAAAATAAGCTCACGGCACTTTAACTCTTCTCTGAAAGGGGTTATTTGGGTATTGTGAGGTGGGGGCCTTTACCCCATAATTTTAGCAGCAGCTCTTAACAGCCAAACTCTACCGACAAAATCATACTGTTGCTCCTCTTCGGAAGAGAACAACAGCAAAAAAGTGAGCCGTGATGCTTCATTTGAAAAGTCTTTTCGGAATGAATGACAAGATGGGCAGGTGGAGACAAGAGGCAGCCACAGGATACATCTTTTGACTTCATCAGAAAAACAAACTTGACCTGGAATCGCAGAGGTAAACTCAAAGAGGAAACCTACAGAACTTACTGCTATTATTTTTGATTGATATTGCCATTTCCTGATGTTCCGTATTGATTTCACTATTAAGTGGAAGGACATCTTCAGGAACAGAGCAAATGCCAGATCAAAACTTGCACTCACTAGCTGGAGAGCACCTGCTACCAAATGAGCCATCCCTTTCGTGCCCACTCCCTATTCTTAACAGTTGTTCCATGCAACATTACCCAAAATGTGTAAATCCCACACCTACTAGGTGTGTTAAGGATCGCAGTCTAAGATATCTGAAACGTTCTCTGATGCCTCTCCAACCTTCACTGGAAGAGGTCTATTGGGAGAGCATTTGCAAAGCCTACCTTGTATCAGCCTAAACCGTGTTATAGGATTGCAAAGGTTGTCTTCTGAGTGTTGAGCCTAAATCTCCTGTCCTGCTTTACTGCCCCTGTTTTCCTCACCAGCTGTGAACAATTGATGTTTATGAAAGCCAGTGTGGTGTAGTGGTTAAGAGCGATAGACTCGTAATCTGGGGAACTGGGTTCGGGTCTCCGCTCCTCCACATGCAGCTGCTGGGTGACCTTGGGCCAGTCACACTTCTCTGAAGTCTCTCAGCCCCACTCACCTCACAGAGTGTTTGTTGTGGGGGAGGAAGGGAAAGGAGAATGTTAGCCGCTTTGAGACTCCTTTGGGTAGTGATAAAGCGGGATATCAAATCCAAACTCTTCTTCTCTTCTATCTCCTTTCCAGAACGATTCTAAAGGCTGATTTCCCTGTTATCTTCTGAATGAGAGGCAGCACGATTTAAAATTCACCCCTTCTGGTCTTCTACTCCAGGCAGCCAAACAGGCAGTATCCTTCACGTCTCTGCCTCACCCTTTTTTTACCCCTTTCCTCCTAGCTTCTCCCTGGAAAGGGGGGGTTTGCTTGAGAGCTGCAGAATTGACTAAAGAACACAGACATCTCTTTTAAAACCAGCGATCTATCCTTTCCATACTAATGTAGAATGTAGAATCATATTTTTAGTTATAACAAGAGATATGGGGAAGCAGTGGCCTTCCATATAGGACTCCCAGTTTCTATGACCACTAGACCATGCTGGGTGAGGAGTCAGAGTCCAACAGAACTGAGAGGACTACAGGTTCCTCCACTGCTAATCTACAGGTGGTCAGGAAAAAGGTCTCATGAGCTTGACCACTACACACACATTTCTACTTTTCTTCCTTAAACACACCAGCAAATTAACAGAAAAAGCCCTTAATAGGTCAATGTCTCCTTAAACCAAATCCCATAAAAATAGCTGCTCCCACCTCACCTTGCTGTTTTTGCCAGCAACAGCAAGTTCTACACCCTTTCATAGTATGGCTGAGCTTGCATGCAGGTCAGGGAGTGCCCGATTATACAAGGTACCTCTGGCAAACAGAAAAATGTAAACAGAACTGTTACACAATCTTTCTTTGAGAACAAGTTCTCTCCAATATGAGGAGCAAGAGTTGCAAGGGAATGCCTTCAGAGCCATTCAGGGTGATCTGCCACCATGCTTTTTCAGATATACATTTTGAACCTGTGCACAGATTCTGCGATTGTACAGCCTGATATTTCTGCAAGAAATTCTGACATTTCTGCAGGAGATTTAAGGTCGACCACAGGTGACTTTAAACTCTTGTTCTACATGCCCCAGTTTTGCTCTGTGCACAGCAGGGAGTCCCATTCAGGGGAGTATATATGCACTGAGACACTTTCACATACTACACAAGCAGAATGGGGTAACACACATTTGTGAAACTGTCTGATGGGAACAGTGAAAGCTTTGCTGTCAGGAAACAGGAGCCAACATACTGGAAAGGTTGCAACTGAGATGCTAAAGTTTAGGGCATCAAGCGAGATCAGATAAATTCCATCTGCACTCTCAGGAAGGAACTAACAGTTTCTCCAAATATAATATGCACCTCTAAGAAAATGCTACTATAATTACGGGAGGAACATTATGCAGGGACAGGTTATCACAGATTGAGCAAGACTAAGGTAAGAGGGTTTAGTGACAGAGCTCACACTTCACATACCAAACAAAGGAAAGCTGCATGACCATTGCTCTCTCTGGTTCTGTATTGTCTACGCTGGCCAGCAGTGACTCTCCTGGAGATGCCAGGGATTGCATGCAAAGCAGATGCTCCACCACTTCCATGCACCTTCCCAAAACTTTCATGTTCAACCCCAGCAGCTCAGGTTATAAGGACCCCAATACTAAGACAGAGAAATCTCTGCTTGAGACCTTGGAGAGCCTACCAGAGAAGACAGCAAGTCATGTGTAGTTGTCAGGTAATGTAAGAAGCACAAGAATAGCCTGCTAGATCAAGTCAATGACCCAGATAGTCCAGCATCCTGTTCTTACAGGCGTAACATTCAGTTATCAGGGCTGAAACTAGCAATGGGCAGACACGCTCCTCTCTCTCTCTCTCTGCCATCTGCCAAGCTGAAGGGCATATCGCCAAGAGCTTTTGCAATTAGGTGAAGGGCCGCATAAAATCAGGCTAAGAGTCACCCCTGCCTATGCTGGGGGTGGGCACACATAAGGAAGGATCGGTGTTCACATATGTCAATGGGTCAGATGCTCAGTGGAAAGGCAGCCCCTTGCAACGTTATTGAGCACGAGGCTGGCTTCATGGCCAATTGCACTGTCAACCAGAGATCTTGACCTTTCAGTAATATAGCCCTGTTACAGAGGAAAAATGGACCCTTGGTGGAGTCACAGTTAGGTATGGCACTAAAGGCCACTACTCCCAGGTTACTTTTCCCGATGCACATTTTTAACATGTAGCAAACCGGTGGGGAAGAAAGAGAAGCCAAATATACACATCCCTGATTAAATACCAGCCATAACCAGGCATCCAGTGAATCAGATTTGTCAGACTTACACCTTGACCATTCACCAACGTTGGGCAGCTTTCTCTTATAATATTTTGAAGAGTGGGGAAATAAGGTGGGAAACATTTTACCTAACAACAATAACAACACAAAGGAAGAGCAGAAGGTCTGGCTTATGGCAGCAAGATGTAGATAGATAGATAGATAATTTATTACGGTCAAAGACCAGCTCGCATAACACAATAAAAACAGCGTTCATAAAGATAAAATATACAATCAGAGCAGATTGCAGCAGGCAGCAAGATGTAAATTTGGCACAGTCCTCTTCTTCCCAAACTAATCCAAGTGCATCCATTTTGGTTTTAAGAGGTATGAGCACCTTGGGCAGGATGGAAGTCCAGCCCTCTCTCCGCAGCCCTGGCTGACCCCTCCTGAGTTTGTGAACTTGCATCGGCCAAGATCAGATGCAAGTACAGAAATGACTTCATTGCTGTTGCTGTGCAATAACACTTTACTCCTTATCGCAGATATATTCTGTATAACCTTCACTTCAGTGACTTGTCGTTAGCCAATGCCAAGACAAACAAGAGATCTATTTATGGTAAAACAAGGACTGGAACCATTATTATTATTATTATTTAATCATCTGAAAGGATAGAACCAGAAAGGCATTGCTGCAAAACAGGACAGGCAGCCATGAAGTCATTCATTTTCCTGAGCAAATAGACAGCGGGCTTCTGTGTTGATCAGGGTCAGTAGAGAGGAAGACTCTTTGAAGGGGTGGACAAGCTCACCCTTCTCCACAGTTTAGCTTTCTCCTGTCCTGCTTTAGGGGCAAGAGGAAGGGGATTTGCTTTCCTTAAATGCACTGAATCACCACTACTCCTTGAAGTATTTATTCAAAGAGGAAAACAATTGAAGGTTGCTGCGTAGGTTCAGGGGGAGAGCGGAATCTGGATGCAAAAACACTGTAATACTTTTATTAGTAACTACCCTAGTGACTATAGTGTTGTGCTGCCCTTCCTTTAGTTGTGATTCTGTGCACTTGTAGAGCAAATTGTGTTTGGGGACAAGGACACGACCGGATGCTTGTATTAGCAGTAAGCAAAGGAACACTCACCATTCTGCTCTTCGGATCTAAGGCTCTTTTTCGCAACCTCTGCCAAGGCTCCGATGCCAAGACCAACAGCTAATCCTTTAATGGACAAAAAGGAAAGGGGGGGGGGAGACAAGAGAAAGTCAAAGGCAGCGGGATAAAATGCCATCTGTATGCGGTTACATATCTTTGTGGCTTAATGAGCAGAGGCAAAGTAGCTCTTTATTCAATATGGTTTAAACTTGACTACAGAGCACAAAGGGAAAGAATTCAGCACCGCTCCGCTCAGTTTCAGAGGCATGCTGTGCCCACTTTCCCCAGGGCAGCAAAACCTCTGTCCAAAGGAAACATCTTCTGTTCAGAGAAAAGGGCTTTAGAAACCAAGAGTTAAGGGGGCAAGCAGGGACAGTAGTAGAGACTGCAAGTTGTCCATCCATGTGGTCAAGTTTAGTACTAGTCACACAGGGTCTTTGATCTGACACAGCAAAAATTAGGGAGGTCAGTAAACTCTCCTGGAGGCTGTGCCTAGACCTTTAATATCCCCACATGCTCGTTTAATGCAACTGTTATTTCCACAACTGAAATAAAAGTTACCCCACCTCATCTGGCATCCTCAACGTTTCATCTTTAACCTTCCTCCACAATCTGTTTTACCCTTTACCTTACTGTGGCCAGCAGGGCTCCAATTTGACCCCAGGGCAACTGGAGGAGGAGAGTGAGTGACATAGCTTATACGTCCCCAACAGCATATTTGCCCTGGTGTTGATACCTTGGAGCATTTAATGGTATCTAGATGGAGGATCTGGCAACTCAAGTTCTTACATGATAAGTTCTCTCCAAAAATATTTAATAACAAGATGATTTGAATCTAGAGCAGTCAAATGCAGGACAGGGGAGGGAAAGTTGCACAGGCTGGAACTGGAATGGAAAACCTCAATTTGCAAGTGCAATTAATGCAATAGCACCTCGGCATGATGGCTGTGGAAGATAAACACCATTCTGCCACACATGCAGACACGCACATACATGCATGCAATATTTGCACAAAATAACACAGGGAACACCCAGCTAAGCTCTGTTCAGCATCAACAACTATGAAACACTAACTGTTTGTTCCATATCCAACCTAGCTCGTAATTGCTTAGAGAATGAGATTTTGGAATCTGCAGAGGTGAAATCTGAAGAGAATCTCTATATTCTTGCCTTGAGTGCGGATGTGTCGAATGAAATTAGGAGATATTTCAGCGATCCTCACTTGAGTAGCAGTTCACAGTGACATAATAACCCAAAGCTACAGGATTCATATCTCCATAACTAGGCTGGCAGATCTTCTAACCACCTCTTCATCTGCAAGTACATCAGCAAGGAGCTACCACTAATATGTATGTGTATATGCACACACCCCACAGGAGGAAAGAAAAGGCTGCAATTTTATGAAGGAGTTGGTAGAAGACTCAAGGCAAATCTGACTAGCTGAACAAAGACTGGAGCCCTTACTAGGCCTGCAGGGCGATGCAGAGGGATAAATCTTACTTCTCTACCTGCGTTGCATTCACTCAGTGGTGCTTTCTCACATCCATGTCATTAGTTTCCTTCAAAGCCCTAACAGCTTAAGACCATGTTAGCTGGCAGTGAGCTTCAGGCTTGAGGTATTGTTGGACTACAAGTCCCATCTTCCTTGACCAGTGGCTAAGATGTCTCAGAACAATGGCGGCTGTAGTCCATCATCATCTAGGGCAGAGGTTTTCAACCTTTTTGAGTCCATGGCTCCCTTGACCAACTACGTTCTTTCTGCAGCACCCCTGTGGGGCTCAGGAGCCTTTTTATGTCATCCCTTGCCTGGCAGCCTCTCACCCTTTTTGCGAACACCCTCCCTTGTGGAGTGATTCCTCGGCCTCCTTTCCTCTCCCCTCTCCTTGGGAGTCCTCCAGGTAGCCACTGCTGCCACCCTGGGTCTCTGAGCTGTTCCCCCCCCCCCCCGCCCCAAAGACAGGTACCTGGTCACACTGTCCATTCCCAACAGCAAGGGCTGGCGGGCTGGCGGGCTGGGCTCCCTGGCCTGCTTGCTTACGTGCTTACTCCGAGGCCGCTCCAGCTTCTGGCAACCAGCACCCCCTGGCCAGTTCCAGAGGCACCATTTGTCTGGGGAGCTTGTAGCCAGGCCTGCTGCAACAAACAGCCATGCAAGCCTTTTGGAGGCAGAGATGCAACAGGGCATCAGAGGAGGGAGGGAAGGAAAGAGGGTTGCCCGTGGCACCCCTGACCATCATTCAAGGCACCCCAGGGGGCCACGGCACACTGGGTGAAAACCACTGATCTAGGGACCCAAGACTGAAGAATGCTGGCTTAAGGATGAGTTGCTCCCATACAGGTCAATCATGAAATGAAGATCAATGCCAGAAGCCTTTGTTATTGGAGTCATGTCAAAAAAAATTAAGCAAGTGAGCATGACATATGGGGCCTTCTCTGTGGCAGTGCCATGATTGTTGCATGCCCTCCCAATTGAAAGACGTGTTTATTTCAACAGCCTTTTTATTGTTGCAGATTTCAATATCTAGCATCTTTTACTCTTTGTACTCTGTTACGGCTTTTAGAACTGGCTGTACCTGCTTTTTTATTAATTAGAACTTATGCTATATGCTACATTGGGAACTTTTAGTGGAAGAGTGGGATATATTTTATTAAATAAGAAAGTAATTATATAACTATAATGCAAAACAACCTATTGTTATGCCAGCAGTTTAAATGAGCCAAGAACTTGACATTTACATGCGCTTCGATTTGACTTATCCAGCTTCAACACCTCTTCTTCCCCACTGGATAAGGTTTAGACGTGTACAATATGTACTTTCCCTTGCACTGCACAGCTCCACCTTAATTATCACAATAAACTCACCTCCCTCCCCAGAACCACAGCAGCCAAAGATAGGGGCATGTCATAAACAACTCCAAATGGTTGGCTTTTTAAACATTAACCAGGAGGTATATCTTGCTTCACTGTTTTAGAACTGTTTACATTATCAATTTATTTTGATAAGGCCATTCTCCTTCAAGGGAGGCATTCGCCTTAGTGTTTGCAAACAGACTGCATTGTAAAGCCAGGTTGGTGGTGCTGCTCTTTTAAACAGCAGTAGAACATTGTAGGGGTATTTTCAAGCCTGCAGAGTTTTTTGTACATCTGACAGTCACCTAAATAAGAATTGAATTCTTCCACCACATGCTCCAATTCACAATTCTCAATCTACTTCTTGGGGGGGGGGGGTTTCCTGTTTTTAAGGAATTATATGCCATTATAAGAACCTTTCTTTTGGGTGGTGCAGTTGGACCACGACAACAGGTCAAACAGCAGGATTCCCACCTGCTGATTTACACCAGCACAAACCCAGCTTGGCTACTTGGCCACCCTGTGTTGAAGTAGAGTTACCAGATGTCCCCGGTTCCCGGGGACAGTCTCCAGATTTGCAAATCTGTCCCCAGGAAACATGGCAGCTCAGCAGCCTGGAGCCAGCCTGTTACTCTGCGCATTTATGTTTCACAGGGTGCGAAAGAAGGGCTTTGCACCTTTATACAATATGCGTGTGTGCTTGGGCCCAGGGTCTTTTGCCTCACCAACTCCACTACTGACTACCTGTTGCTACACAGCTTCAAAAAAAAAAAATTTAAAATTAAAAAGAGTCCCCGGATTCATTGAAAAAAATCTGGTAACCATATGTTAAAGCCCCCTCACCAACGTCTTCACTGTAGAATCATAGAATTGTAGAGTTTGAAGGGACCCTGTGGGTCATCTAGTCCAACCCCCTGCAATGCCAAATGCATCACAACTGATAGAAAGATAATATGGGGAATGCTATGCAAAATCAGTGCATAAAGTAAAAGCCTAATCTGGAAATGCAACACCAACAGTTTTTTGTTTTTGTAAAAAAATGTTTCTTAGAATCACAGAATTGTAGAGTTGGAAGGAACCGAAAGGGTCATCCAGTCCAATTCCTGCATTGCATGGGGTTGGACTACATGACCCTCGTGGTCCCTCCCAACTTTAAACTGAAAGCAGCCCATATATTTTTCATTTGCCGTCCAGCCAATGCATGAAGATTAGTACCAAGGGAGTGTGAAGGGCAAATACGAAATGCAATACAACAGAAGGCTGGTTTGGAAAGATAGGCACGCCCTTGTAGGGTTTGGCAAACAAGCCTATGATTAGCAGAAAAATCAAGTGATAACTATGCAACCAATAACCTTGTTCACACTGTAATAAAATCCTGTTGTTACAGAGTCGCCACAGAGTCTTGGCAGGCATAAACACACCCACCCCACACACATAGCTTCCCTTCAGAAGAACAAACAAGCCCTCCCCTGTTCACAGGGTTCTAACAGTTGAAGAGGAGGAGCTCCTATGCTTCTGAACTCTGTGGCCAGCTGTGGAGGCAGGCACATGCAAAGTCCACCCAACAACCAGTGCTGCTTACCTGCTGCACTAATAATTAAATCAATTCAATACCCATAATTCAAAATGCACTGATATAGGCCAGACTATGTATCGAGGAAAGCTAAACATTGCACAGCATGCAGGTTTGCATGCATCTGCCCCAATGTGACATGCATTTTAGCAAAAACAGCCAGAAGGAAACAAGACTCAAGAGAAACCCAATTGAACAAAGGCTGGAGTCCATACTAGGCAGGCAGGATGGCGCAGGTGAACAAATTCACGGAGTGGGGCTCTCCCACATCAATGTCATTAGCTTCGTATTTGCACCCAGGCTCGATTCAAAGTGCTGGTTCTAGCCATCAAAGCTCTAAACAGCTTAAGACCACGCCAGCTTGCAGTGATCTTCAGGCTCGGGATGTTGTTGGACTACAAAGCCCATCATCCTTGACCATTGGGCTAAGCCAGTGTTTGTGAACCCTGGTTAAAGTTACATAGTTACATCAGCCTTGATGCAGAAGACACACAACATCCCAACCAATGTTGAAAAGTGAAGACAGGGAAAGTTTGCATGGGAGAATGGTTACGTGACGAGGGAGCATTATGCCTGCGCAAGGACTCTTGAGACTATGTTCACATTACATTGAGTTCCAGGCTTTCTGTAGCCCACCCTTCCTCCAGATCAGATCACAGGGCAGCTTACAACGCCACACATTCAGTGGCAAATGTTAAATAAAACAGAATTAACTCCAGACACCCAGCACCAAGCAGAAGCACCAGCCAGCATCATCTTCTAAGTCAAGAACTACTGTGTTCACCGCACTCATCAAGGACCTCATTACACTTTCAGAGAGAGAGAGAGTGCAACTGCAATTACTGTGGGCCTGAATCTGATTTTAAAAGAGATCTCAGTGATCTGCAATTTCTGACTTTACATTACCTTTTTTTAAAAATTGCTTTCACTTCTCCAAAACCAAGTTGAGCTTAACATACATATATATATATATGTATATATATATCATATATATCACTGCAGCTATATTTAAATAGCAGATGAGGAGAGCTTTTGTTTTTACTGAGACCGGTAAACCAGAAACAGAGAAAGGAGGGCCATACGAACTTTTAAGAGAAGGTATATTTTCAGGAAGGTTTGGTGAATCCTACATCCAGGGTCACATTCTGTGCTCAGTGAATAGCCTATGCACACAGAGCCTGACAAATAGCACTGATCTTAATATGACCTACTTATGTATCAGCCTGTTTAGGACTAGGATGCCAAAACAAAGCTGCAAAGCTTTGCCTGCTGTAAAAACTGGTATTTTAAGGGAGAACTCTTGGGCTTATACACTTCTTCCACCCCTTCCGTAGTATACAATTACTCCTTCCTTCCTTCCTTGGCTGCAGGCAACCCATGGTTTTCTGTTTGTCTAAGTCAATAAACTATGGTTTCCAAATGCTGGACTCTAAGGCAAGTGCAAGCCAGAGTTTGCTGGTTTATGCAAAAGAGAAAACTATGGTTTGCCTCATACAAGGAAGGGAGGGAAGCACTGTACATGAGGGCAGAGGAGGTGGAAGCCAATGAGCCAGAGACTCCTTAAAGCCTCTTTCATATACTGCTAAACCATAGCTTGGCACTACTTTTAATCAGCCCAGTTCAACACTGAGAAAAATTATTTTGGGAGAAGCTTCTTTTAAAGACAGCCTCAGCAAACAGCTGTTCACAGTAGAAAGAGGAAACTGACTAAGATACCAAGCTAGTTTAAGTACAGAGAGTGACTTTTGTGTTCCCACACCAAGCTAGAAGCAGATTACAGCACTCCCACCACCCCTGCTGAATTGTTTGAGTCAATTCATAAGCCTGGCCTGTCAAGTTTCAGGCACTGGTCATTCCCCTCCTGTGCATTCCTGACACATTTTGGAGACAACAGTTCAAAATATCTGCTGCATATACTTAGTTAACTGAAGGCTCAACCTTCTCAACTCAACACAGAAGCATATATTTCCTATTTAAAGCTTGAGTGTGAGGAAATTCTAATGGGAAAGCTGTTGGTACAGGATTATGAAGACACTTGTGGCACACAGCTTGATATCAATAATAAGTCTGATGTGCAGAGCCAAAAACGTTCCCCATCTCTGTCAGGCCTCCCCATTTGGCCTGTGAAACCATTCTGGCCAATCTTCACCCACCCACTGTACAACTGACATCATTTATCTGTTTAACCCACCAGATGGATCCAATTCCCCACCCCTGCCCTGGAGGAGAGCTTTCTACTCCTCACCTGCAAAACAAATGTGACAAAACACTTAACTCAGAGAATTCTTGAAGAGTTCTTTCCATAGCTGATATAGAGATGACAAAATAAGATTCAGCCCATGGCATCTGTCTTTTAAAGGTGCCAAAGGACTCCTTCAGCTACAATCTGCAATTGTTCCTCAGCAGAACCATAAATGTCTACAATAACTCAGCAGACATTCCCATTAGTGAACATATTCAAGGAAGAGGAAGTATTCAGGAGGTCCCAACCTAAACAATGTGGATTAAAGTGTTTGCAAGCACAAAACTTATTTACAAGGGAGGGAGGAAGCATTCATAGCATTATTTCTTGTACTAACTCAGGGAAATGTTTACTTTGTTCCCTAGCTTTGAATCTGCTTCAAGTAAAATTGTATACTGCACAGGCCTGAGGTGCCTTGCCTTGTAGAAGCCAAGTTCCTTAACACTTTGCTACATAGACATAAATGTTCAAAAGGCATATAGAAGTAGATCTCATCTTGGAGAAATGAATACTAAGGAGAGGTGCCAACTCTAGCTATAAATAGGGAAGGTCACAAAACAGCAGGGACGCATGTTGGCTGTCTATACACTCGCTACACCAAACATACCAGAGGGAAACTGATACCCTTTCATCATGCTACAGGGTTCAAGATGCTAGCGATTCCAGGGAGCTCAAAGAGGTGCAGAGAGGGTTCTTGGTCTGGTTCTAGATGTAGAAAAGTACCTTTAAAGAGCCAGGATATCACAAGCTTCAACTTTTCTATCTGTTGTGTTATGATGATGGGGAGGAGCAGGGGTCCCACACCTGGTGGAATCCTCCCTTTTAAAAGTAAATCTTAAAAGGAATAGTATCTATTTATAAACAAAATGTGTGCCCCAAGTATTTGGAGTAATACTGACTGGGCTAAGAGTCAACGGCTGAAAAACACTGCCACGGAGATGCTGTAATTTGAAAGCCACTTGTTTCTTGAATCATTTTATGCCATCTCTGACACCTTTTGAGTCATTTTTGCAAAACAAAGACCATGTGGATAAACTTTCTACTTCTACTAGATCAGCGAATGGCACCTGAAATGAACCCTTAACAACCCATGCCACCCCAAACACACACCTCCCCCAGCAAATTCAAACTTGGCTTTGTAGTTCAGTCAAAGCTACATGCTATGTACTGCCAAGTAGTATCAGCTCAGACATTCAGTTTCAGCATCCCTGCTAAAAAGATAATCAGAAACCCTGATTCTTCTACACACACACACCCATGAATGTGCATGATGCAGTTCACAGAAAACTGCCTGGTTTTTCAGAAGCATCTACATTCACAGTCTTATTTGCCACCACAATTCAGAAAGACTCACCTCCAAAATTAGCGAGTCTCCCAATTCGAGTAACTGGTACCTTTCGCTCCCGGGCACGTTCACTGAGCTGCAGGGATTTAGGAGAATACAGACCATTAATATGGACAACTATTTTCCTAGCAAATGCATCAAGAATTTGATTTTGGCAGCAGAAAATTGGCTGGCAGTGCAATCCTATGCCTGTCTGCACAGAACTAAGTCCCATTCTGTTCAACAATACTAGTTCTGTAATTACTTATGAACGTGTGTGATCACATCCAGATCAATCCTAGTTGCTACCATGCCTCTAACTTTTAGAGCTAGATAAATTAGCCTGACAACCAATGTCTGATGAAATCATAGAAGGCAAGCTGGAAGAAAGAAGATGATTTTTTGTTGTTTGAAGGCAGAATTGCAAGGGCTGTGTGGAACATGCACAAATTTAGAAAGGTTGCATAATTTGTCTAAATTAAACAACTTGAATATTTCCATTTGACCAAGTATGTAATTTTGATTCTGGCGTCGACGTCTTCAAATCACAGGACACACAACATCCATTTCCTGCACTAAGTAATTCCCCAAGCTGTACCAGTTACTTAGTTATATCTGGTATAGTTTGTTAGTGGTAGATCTCTTTAGGTGGGTGGGAGTGGGTGATCTGGTCCCTGATGCAGTTACAGCATCTGGATTACACTATTTCTTTCTCTCCCTCTATAGGGGTACACTGGCACCCAATCATTCTGAAAGTGCTGGGTGTGACCTATAAAGCCTATAGCGGCTTGGGACAAGACTACCTGAAAGATCACCTGCCTAGACTCAGAGTTCATCCAGAGAGAGCCTCTTCTCTATCCCTCCAACATCTGAAGGGCTATTGGAAAGAACTCAAGAAAGCACCATCTCAACCAGAATTTTGGAACTCGCTACAAGGTAGAACTCCCCTCACTGATGGTGTTTAGCTCCCATGCTTACCCCTCACTGATGTGGTTACCTATACACACACCCCAAAAAACCCCAACCCGCATCAGCTTGGAGGGGAGTTGAGAGAGATTCACCTCCAAAGTTAGTGAATCAATACAGTCTCAGGTCCATTGACTGTGCTGCAGAGTGTTGGAGGTTCAGCTCTTTTCCTTTTAAACTCAGAGGAGTTGTGCACTGCAGCACTTGTGACGAGTATACTATAAAGTATCTGCTTTGCATGCAAAAGGGCCTGGATTCAATCTTTTGCATCTCCAGGTAGTTAGGAAGGACACCTGTCTGGATCCCTGAAGACCCACTTGCCAGTCAGTGATGAGCTAGATTGACCAATGATCTGACTCAATATTAGGCAGCTTCATGTGTACTGAACGGATTTGTTTGTTTGGTTTTTTTCTGATGCTGCTCTGTTTTCATTTGTATTTCTGTTTTAATTATGTTTTTAACTAGCTGCCAAAAAAAATTTGCAAAGAAACATAGGAAACTCCACTAAACCAGGTCAGACTATTTGGTTCGGGAGATTAGTACAGCACAGTCTAGTCCAGTGTTCCACTTTAAGCTAGGATTTTCTGCTTTAGAAAAATTACTCAACTTCCAGCAGACAGAATCGTCTCTTAAGAGGAAATGCAAGGCAGAGGGGGGTGGCAAGCAAACCTGGGTTGCACCTGTTCTGAATTTCAGCTGGAGGAGCACAAGAACACACGACAACAACAAGTACAACTTCTTAACCATCCCAAGCATTTAGCAGAGTACTGAGTGTCCAGCAAAGGGAAGGTGAACACCTGTTAAACATTAAAAAGCAAAGGTCTATTTCTAGGGGTGCATTTTGAACTCTCTAAACAAATGAACAGTTGCTAGCCTGCCTTGCTTAATTGCAAGAGGACATTTACAATACAGCTCCCTTCACTTTGAAAGGCAGAGCTGAACAAAAATGTGATTATCATCTATTTTAACTCCTCTCTCTAGTCTGCCTTTCAGTTGAGAAGACCAGCAAGAGGGCTGACAGTATAAAAGCAACAGTAAACCAACTTATCCACAGGAAAGGCCCATCTCGTCAGACGCTCCATTCCATATGACATAGGAACTGGGCCTTTAGTGTGGTGGCACATAATATTTGCAACACCCTTCCAGTATATATCAGACAAGTGTTGGCTCTATTGTCTTCCTGGTGCCTATTGAAGATTTTCTACTTTCAGCAAACCTTTTAAGTGAAGGTGTTTTTTATCCTATTTTTTTGGACTTGAAATTGTTTTTAAGTATGTTTTTAGTGTTGGTGGGTTTTCCTTGTTAAAATCACCTTGGGATGTTTTTTTAATGGGAAACAATTCATATGTTAAGTTAAAATAAACAGACAAACCAATAAAAACAAAACAAGACAACTACAAACCAAAGAAACCAGTTACATCTTTTCTGCCCACCGAAAGGTAACCGAAAGGGAGGAAAGAGAACCTACTAAGGAAAGACATCTCCACACATTCGGCATTCTCTGAATAACCAAGTGTTAATCTTGGGAGTCTGTACATCCCTCCAGCAAATGGAAGCCCATCTGAGTGTCGTACAAGGCATGTACCACATTGAGATTATTCCAAGGAAAATAATAGGTTAAGAAAGCCACAGGCTTTGGCAAGTTATTCAGTTTCCCCACCTGTTAAAATGGGAAGATTAAATTTAAAGAGTGTCCTCTCAAAATTGTTACTGAAATGCGTGGCCTGGTTTCCCGAAGTGACCTGGGAGAAAAGGAACTTGCATTTCTTGGCACATTTCCCATGCGGTTACCAGTTGAGCAGCAGACATGTCTTAAAGATAATTAAAAACGAAGGAAAATAATGCACTGCTCCCACTACTACCCAGACATGTTCATCACGCAAAAGTTTGGTAGGGCAGGGTTTTGTTTTGGTTTTTTAAAAAAAGGATAACCTGCTTTTTAAAAAACAACAACAAAAAACTCCTATTTTCCAGTGGTGTTACACAGCCTACATACCATCTGTTTGTACGGTTTCTGTTGTGGATCTGCTTTCGCCTGCCTGGCTTTGTCAATATCTTCAGCCGTGAGTCCGCCCACCGAGGAATGGTCTTGGTGAAAAGCCCGGCTTTGCCCCCAAGCAGGAGCAGAAGGATTCCAAGGGTCCCTAAAGCCTCCAAAGAGCTTTGCATTCACTTTGGCAGAGATGGGGTTCCAACCCACACTAGGGTCTCCGCTCTCACCGACGTTTGGTAAAGGTCCTCTGGCAACGTACGAGTGAGACGGGCCCTCTGCACCACCAGACTTGGGAGGGTGTTCTAGAGGGGGAGGGTAGAAGTCCTTTGCAGCACCTCCCAGCTCCGATTCAGAGAAGCTCTCGTCTTTTCCATAGTCCTCACCAATATCTTTCAAGTTCTCCTGTTGCTTGCCCAGATCCTGCAAACAGAACATTGAAAGGTGTTTTTCCTCAGCCAAAAAATAAGGTGTAAACTGCTCTCACAGTCACTCATACTGCTCCATTCTTGAAAAGACAAAACACTTTCCACACCCCTACAAATTCTGATATTTCCATGTCTTGTGTTGTGAACAGCCCCAAGATCTATAGGTAGTATAATAATAATAATAATAATAATAATAATAATAATACAGTGGTACCTCAGGTTACAAACACTTTGGGCTACAGACTCCGCAACCCAGAAATAGTACCTCGAGTTAAGAACTTTACCTCAGGATGAGAACAGAAATTGCACAGTGGCAGCGGGAGGCCCCATTAGCTAAAGTGGTACCTCAGGTTAAGAACGGTTTCAGGTTAAGAACGGACCTCCGGAATGAATTAAGTTCGTAACCAGAGGTACCACTGTAATAATAATAATAATAATAATAATAATAACTACTCTTATTTGTATCAGCAAGTATTTTTAGAGAATTGATCCGAATCAGTGTTGGTCATTCCTGTATTTTATGATTTTATAATAAAAACTTTCATAGTAATGATTTTATAATCGTGATTATAATACAGTGTCTTGATATCTGTAACATTTAGTGGTTTATAAATAGACTTACATATAAAGGAACCAAAATGTATGAAATATGCTGATAATTCACTCCAAGTGATGGTGCCACCGCCACCACCCCTTCTCTACAGCCAACACTTTTGGTATTTGTACTCCACCGATCCCAATTCCTGTCTTCATTTATCCCTCACTTCCCGAATGCTTCCTGAAGCAGGGTTGCTTCATCCCGCAGCATGACAGGACCAGGAGTGCCACTTCTGTCGGTATGCCTCCTTGGAAGCAGAAACCGTTTTGCACAAATGTGCTTAATGGTGTACATCAACCTATGTTTCTATTGAGCGGGATCCAGAGAGCTCCTTCTGCGATTCAGTGGAAGCTTCTGCTTGAGGAAAGAGATAGGCAATCATCTCCTACCCATTCCCCATGCGGTCCCACCCACCCCATCACCTCTCGCACAGTTCCAGGGGGCCTTGGATTTTTTCAGAGCAACTTTGGGGGGGGGCAATGAGAAGGAGGAATCAGCAACAGTCACTTCCCTCCTGACCTCCTTCCTTCAGCAGAGCATCCATCAAACAGAACTGCGCTCGTGGAAACTTTGGATTCAACCCACTGCACAACAATAAATTGCTATTCTTTACTATTTTGAGATGTTGTAGAACTCAGCAGTTTTATCAATGGATTGGGTGGGCCACATAATGCCGGGAAAGAGGCATAATCCCGATTGAAAGAGAGCTATGAAGGGAACAGCCATTCTAGCCATTCCCAATCTAGTGCATCCAAATATTTTGGACTACAGCTCCTACCAGCCCCAACCAGAACAGCTGTATGATGCTGGGGCTGAAGGGAACCGTAGTCCAAACATCTGGAAGGCATTGGGTTGAGGAGGTCTAGCCTAGCAGTTCCCCTTCATAGCTCTCTTTCCGTCTACATAGGCGAACCCTATCCTGTGACCATGGGCCACTGGTGTAAAAATCTAGTATGTTTCATGCACACAACAAATAATATATTTACATGTATCAGCTGGTTAATGTGCTTGTGACTGGAGACAAGCACTGAGCAGTGTTGATTAAGACACCTACTTTATAAAACATTTGCTTTCAAGTTACATGTTCAGTGCTTCCAAAGATTTGTATCATGATTCAGACACCACCTAGACTTTTTTCACAATAGGAGACTCTCTCCAGTTTCCCCTCTTTTTTTCCAAACCTTTGGCAAAGATCTCTCTGAAAATTTGAAAGCTGGAAGTCTTTTTTTAAAAAAAGGAAGAGTAATAATAAATTGAAAGGTCTTTATATTCTACATTGTGAGAACTAGGTGTCCCAGTAACAGATTTTTCCAGAATGCCATTTAACAACACCTCTTGGCCGATTTAACTACACCGCCACAGAGGTAACACAATGGAAACACTTCTCTTCCAACATTAATAAAAAATAGTTTAGAAAAGGCTACAAGTATCAGAAGTTGGCAGGAACACCACCAAAAACAAAGAGTAATTTACTGGAAAACACTTCACATTTCCACCCCCCACCCCCAGTAGGAAACAAAAATAACTACAGCTTTTTTAGGCAGACATTGCGCATCCATGGAAAAGGCAGCTTCCCTCTTCTCTAAGCAATTGCTAAAGAGAAATAATACATAGGCCACCAAAGGCTGAACTACACATGATGAAAATTGCGTTTCACGTAATCAATGTGTACTTTTTAAATTTTAGCTAGCTGCTATGGGGAGCACAAGCAGAACCCGCACCAAAAGGGGCACCGACAGACACAGCCATTGAGGTTAGGGTTTCTTGTTGCTCAATTTCTTTCTCCTTGTGTCACCTTCTATTCTACTTTAATTCACCTCTCTGATTCTTGCCCTTCCTGATATCAACTTGCCTGAAATCAAAATAATATGTACTTTCAAAAGGGCATGTGATTTATTTAAATATTGTTTTTAGGATTGTAAGAGGTCAGATGCTGAGAAAACCTGTGGGATGATAAATGTGAGATATAAATTTTAAGAAACAAACGAAACAAAAGACCCTAATTCACAGTGTGCAAAAGTTTTCACCAGATCTTTAAACAACAGCACCTTCAGTTATGTCAACTTTCTAGAATACAGTGGTACCTCTGGTTATGAACTTAATTCGTTCCGGAGGTCCATTCTTAAGCTGAAACTGTTCTTATCCTGAGGCGCGCTTTCACTAATGGGGCTTCCCGCTGCGAGCACGCCTCTCGCTCACATCCCAGGGCAAAGTTCGCAAGCAGGAGCAGCTACTTCTGGGTTAGCGGAGCTCGTAACCTGAAGCGTGCATAACCAGAAGCGTTCGTAACCAGAGGTACCACTGTAGTGAGACTACAGCAGCCATTGGTCAGTTATTGCTGTACTACAACTCCCAAGACCCCTGTCTGTTGTCCATGCTTTCTGATGTAGTTCAGCAACATCTGGAGAACTACCCTGGATTAGAGGGACACATAAATTGACAACTGCTACAGGCTGCAATCCTCAATTTACTTCCAGTTAAATGTTTATATGATTGCAACCTCACATGCATTTCACTGACAAGAGACTGGGAAAGATACCCAAAACAGGCTAAATGCTTATTGATATGGTGGTGCGAACACACACATACACTCTCTTACCTGCATTTTCCCCATGGCAGCACTGAACTGCTCTTCAGCAGTGGCCTGGAAGCTCCTGACCATGGTTACTGCATCACCACCAAGGACAACTTGCCGAAGCTGTACCGTCTGTGTTTCTAGAACTGCCTTGCTGAGCTTTGCTAGTCCTCGCATCACCATGATGGCATCGCCTGCCATGACTGACCACTTCCAGTGCTGGAAAACAGAACCATAATAATAATAATAATAATAATAGTAATAATAATACCTTTATTGTCATTGTACAACCTGTGTACAATGAAATTAAACGAGCCTTCCTCCCCACCCCCAAACACTTATAACCAACAGTTATATGCAGTACAGCAAAACCAAAGGACTATCTTGCAAGTAAAGGTAAAGGGACCCCTGACCGTTAGGTCCAGTTGCGGAAGACTCTGGGGTTGCGGCGCTCATCTTGCTTTACTGGCCAAGGGAGCCGGCGTACAGCTTCCAGGTCATGTGGCCAGCATGACTAAGCCGCTTCTGGCGAACCAAAGCAGAGCATAGAAACGCTGTTTACCTTCCCGCCAGAGCGGTACCTATTTATCTACTTGCACTTTGTGCTTTTGAACTGCTAGGTTGGCAGGAGCAGGGATCTTCCAAGTACTTATGAGTCAGTGGGTCCTCAACCCTGTCCCCAAAGCTTTGACAAGTTCACTCAACACTTTGTGTTTCACAAAAGCAAGCTACGTGGAAATGTAGCCAAACTGCCTTTCCATCATGTTTCCTCACATGGCACAGCAACCCCCCTTTGAAAATGGGACACATCTCCAATGCAATTTATGCCACAACACAAGGGTCTGCACTTCACATGTAAAAGAAAACTGCATGTGGGCTTGAGAAGTTGTCTGGAAACCACCTCTGCTGCCTCTGGAGGAGCCTTCAACACCCCAGCCCAGAGGATTTTAGGTGGGTAGGAAACAGCACAAACAGAAAAAAGCCACGTGCAGAGACACCAAATAAAAAAACTTTAGAAGGATATCCTTTTGAAATTTATCTGAACTTGTCTCAAAAACCAGGATTGTTCTTTCATTCAGAGGACTAATATTTAAGAAACATGTTGGTCTCTAATATGAGCAATTATTTAAACATGTTATAATAAGCACCTGCCACCTTGACTAGAAGTTGTACTCAACAGTCTTTGGGACTATTGAAAATAAACTTTTGCTCAGTCCCTTTTATCTGCTGCAGTTTTGAGAGACACAAGGGAATTGCTAAGGACCCACAAAGTGGCATTTGCAAAATGCATAAACTCCTCACTATCCCAATGCAGATCACTGTTCTGCAGTTCTCCCCAGCAAGCCAACAGCTCTAGCTGGCAGAGAATTGTATCTATGGCTAAAGGCCCCCTTTGAAGTGAATTCACCAGCTACTGTCCTTGTGAAAAGTCAACACTGAGCAATTAGAATTCTGGCTACACCCTAACCTGGAAACTGCCAGAGTTTCAACCATTCTCCAGGTAACCGTTTTTAAGAGTCTGCACTGCTTGTTGACATTAGAAGATTGGTTTGTCATAAGCCTTTGTTCTGCCGCACAAATAAGCTGGTCCAGTTACATTCTGTGGAAGTGGAAAAAACTACCTTGAAAAGGTTGTGATTTATCAGTCACGTATAGGCAGCATGAGAGGCTTATGGCAGACAATGAACAGCAGAGCAGGAATGCCAGTGCCTGAAAAAATATCAAGGACAGTTTACAAACAGAGGAGCTGTTTGCTTAGCAAAACTGACCAGTCAAAAGCCCTCTTCTCAGCTGAAAGAAAAGCCTCTTAACAAATACAGATGTTAGCTATGTGGAAACATGGCAAATTGAAAACGAAGAGGGTACCTGGGCCATTCCACAAATTAATGAACCCCAACTTATCTGAAGACAGTAGAAACCTCAGGGTAAGAGAACTGTCCTAGGAAGTTTAGCTGAAGCACTCCAAGGAAATAAACATTAAATCCACAGTGTAGATCCACAAAACAACCCCCCCCAAAAAAAAGAATCCTAGGAACTGTAGTTTAACCCTCACAGAACTACAATATCCAGCACCCTTAAACTACAGTTCCCATGATTATTTTGCAGGGGGAGGTACTTTACATGTATGGTGTGAAGGCAGCCTCTGTGTCAGATTCAAGTGCCCTTACAGAAATGCAACAAAAATCTGTAGTGCCTAAACTCAGATCAACTGTGCCTACCTGGTGGCAGAACAGGCGTCTACTTCCCCGATGCCCACAGTCCCCTCAAATATACCCCCCAAATCTGTTCTGTATAAACTATGAGACCCTTTGGAGTAGGAGGGAGGACTTTAAGAAGGGGACACTCTGTTGGTGCAACTTTAAATCCACTTGTGCACAATATTAGATCACCCACAGATCTCTCTTCAGTCTACAAGCATCACCAGTTTGGCCATGTTCACAAATTATTCCAAAAGTTTGCCAGAAGAGGGGCCAAATGAACTTCAGAATGGAGATGGCATTTCATGAAGGCTGGCTTCCCCTAGACAGAGGAGTGTCTGTATACCACATACATGACTTGTGATAATCCAAATGCCCTTATTCTCCCAGCCGCTCCCCCCCCCCCGTTTCTTCTCCTTTTTAATCTTTTTGAAGTACAGCTCGCACCCAAATGGAAGTCAAGGAGAGGTGCCTCATACAGTTATTTACTGTGTTTTCAAATCCTTCCCATGATTCCTTGCAAGCAGTCACTGTTAATATACAGGAAACAGCCACCATAGAGTTGCTTCCTAGAAAGGAAGGAGTACCCTTCTCTGCAATGGAAATAAGCACCTTAAGAAGGGGGGGGGGGGCCTGTTCTAGGAACACCCTGGCAAACAAATTCAGCAAAAGGAACATAAACTCTTCTTCTTTTTAAGCAAGCATTTACTCCCGAGTCCTGCTTCTTTCACCTGAAATTATTGTTCCGTGGTTGCACAATTTTGTCATGTTCAGGGGCTTTGCGTATTCTGGGCAAACAACTCACTGGCAAAGAAAGTAGGTCTTGGGAAGAGAATTCAGGATCCTGAAAAATCTCAGCTCTTTGGTTTTTGTTTTGTTTTTAAATGTAGCCCTTATGCAAAAATTTAAAGCACAGCAGTGGAAAGAAGAATATCTTAGTAAATAAACAGAACCTAACACAACTTAGTGCCACAATTGGCCTTTCATCAGGGAACTTTGGATACAAAGAAGGCTCTGTCTGCAACACAGAGCAAAGAGGAATTAAGGGGAAATTATTTGCTTCCATTTAGGTTTTGAATTGACTTGGATCCAGCTATCCTTAAGATGTGCAAGCAATATCTGGGGCTCTCTCTCTTTCTCAAGCCAGAGACGATACCCCCAGATTTCTATGCACCCTGCATAGCTCTTTGGCCCTTCCCACAAGCAATCATGATCACAGAACAGTAGAGCTGGAAGGGACACCAAGGGTCATCTAGTCCAACCCTCTGATAAGCAGGAATCTCAGCTAAAGCATCCATGTACCTCTTGCTTAAGGTATAAAAATCCAGCATTTCTGAAGGACAAATACACCCAACCCTGGTTTGGGAAGAGGCCACAGGTTCAAGGGGTTAAGCATATGCATTGACTGCAGGAGGTCCCAGGGTCAGTCTTCAACAACCTCTGGTCAAGAGCCGAAGTAAACTACAAACACGAATTAACTAGTGCACATGACATTTTCACAAGTATTTGGAAGAGAGTATAAATACTAAATGATATAATTAGTGAAAGCTGTGACTAGCTACAAACACCCTAACCAGAATAATTGCTTAAAATAGACATGTTTGAACTCATAAGTCGTCTTTTGTGGCATTTCTTAACATTCAGAGTGACTGCATTAAAATGGATCAAATCACTTAAAATAGCACTTAACATGTGGGTGTGGTGTTTTAATTACTGCATTGATATTGCTCTAATTCATTAACACATTTTATCTATATGTGTGTGTGTTAGTAAAAGTTTACCATTATTCCCCTGACCTTTCATTTGTTTCCGAGTGCTAGTTGTCCAGAGAGTATTTCTCTGTTTTGCTCTTCAGTAGAAGGACTAGGAAAGGCCTTTTACTGATTTTATTCATTACATTGCCTTTCCTCAAAGGAGCTCGAAGCAGCTTGCACAGTTCCCTTTCCCCATTTCACTCCCCACAACAACTCTGTGAGGTTGGTTAGACAGTGACAGGCTCAAGGATGCCCAAAACCCAGTGACCTCCTATAGCTGGGCAGAGTGTTGAACTAGTCTCTCCAGTCCTAGTACAACACTCTAACCACTAAACCACTCACAAGGCGAGGGAGAGCCACTTTAAGTCAGAGCAGCCAGCACTGGAAGAGATAGGCCAGTGATCGGACTCTGTATAAGGAGCCTCACTGGCATACACTGCCAGCAACACTCCACTGAGCATAACAAAATCAGGAGGAAGAAAACAAGCAAGGCATTGAAACAACAGAAGAAGAAAAAACAGCCACACTGAAAGAATAGATCTTTTAGAACGACCCGTTTTCCAAAATAAAGTTAACGGACAAGCTGCAAAGGAAACAAGTAGCAAACTTCTATTGCTCAACATGTACTCAGCTCTCCACCAGCTAAATATATCGATGAGGAAATAGGGCCAGTTCCCTTTTGTTAGTTTTAAATGTGAAGCAGATAAATAACTGGACCGAGCTCAGGGCTGGCAGAATTCCACATGCTTCCTTGGAATGAAAATGTCATAGAAACAAGGCTCTATCTTATGTTCACAGAGAGGACCAATTCTGTTACCTTGAAAAGTTAAAGGATGCACAAAACATTTGGGATTGATGGATACAATGGTATCCAAAACCAAAGGAGGAAGATTCAGTGGATGGCACAGGCCTTTAATGGCCTGCTGCAGAAATCATGTTGATAGTAAACTATGGTTTAATCTGAAAGCTGCTCAGAAGTTCACAATTTGTTCCAGCCCCTGCTAACCCATTTGCCATGCTAGGGGAGGAAACAATCAGAAACTCACTCTGCATGATGCAAACCATGAGTTCACATCAATCAGATGAGGAGGGGAGGAACTTAGTAGGAACTCGGCACAGTGCACACCAGTTGTTATCCATTCACATTAAAACCTACAACAACACCACCTATGCTTTAACACTGCATTTGCCAACTTGGTGTCCTCCAGATGTTTTGGACTACAAGTCTCATCAAAGGATCTGGAAAGCACTAGGTTTGCAATGGCTGACTTAGTCCGATGTCTAAACCAGGCAAATGTGTGAAAAGGGCTCTTTTGATGCTAACCTAAGCCTTTTACAACTCTCACACATATTTTAAACTATTCCTTGAGCTATGAGAACCAGTGAGATGTAGTGGTTTACAGTGCAGAGTTAGGACTGAGCAACATCATAGGAGGAGTGTTTTCTAGGACTAAGGTGAAACTGTGACGCTCCCTTGTTATTTTTGCTATTGGGTGCTGAATGCTGTCTTAGTAATCTTGTTATTATTTCATTGAATCGTAGAACAGAAGAGTTGGAAGGGACCAAGAGGGTCATCTAGTCCCACCCCTGCAATGCAGGAATCTTTTGCCCAATGTGGGGTTTGAACACACAACCCTGAGATTACATTTCTCATACTGTACCGACATGCTGTAGTGGGATGTGTTATTTTGGTATGTTGTTATATTCACTATTGTTTTGCTATGCTATTATGAAATTGATTTTGTTGTGTTTGAAACGCATCCCTGTTTCTTTGTTGTAAGCTGCTTTGAGCAGGATTTGGCATACAAATAAAATGAATGAATGAACGACTGGGAAAATCCAGGTCCAAATATCCACTGAGCCCTGGAACTCACAACAAAATGCTGTAGTGTAGAGTGCTCCTGTTCCAGGGTTCTCTTCAAGAGTAGCTCATTCCTTTCCTTCTCCAACCCCCGGTTTTCTGTTTCACCCATCTCAAATAGCACCCTGTGGCCACAGCAGATGCTCAGGGAGCTGTTTGGGGATCCCCACTCTTGAGGTTGTTTATCCAAAAATGTTTTTAGTCCTTCTGCAAACCTTGAATTTCCCCCACCATGGATAGCTCAGTTGGTTAGAGCATGGTGCTAATAACAGCAGGGTTGCAGGCTTGATCTCTGTATGGGGCAGCTGCATATTCCTGCATTGCAGGCAGTTGACCTAGATCATGGGTAGGCAAACTAAGGCCCGGGGGCCGGATCCAGCCCAATCACCTTCTAAATCCAGCCTCCAGACGGTCCGGGAATCAGCATGTTTTTACATGAGTAGAATGTGTCCTTTTATTTAAAATGCATCTCTGGGTTATTTGTGGGGCATGGGAGTTCGTTCATTTCCCCCCAAAAAATATAGTCCGGCACCCCACAAGGTCTAAGGGACAGTGGACCGGCCCCCTGGTGAAAAAGTTTGCTGACCCCTGAACTAGATGATCTGCAAGGTCCCTTCCAACTTTACAATTCTATGATTCTATGCCAGTTTCTCCCTCTTATACGCAACAGACCAACCACCATAGCAGCCAATAGCACGTGGTTATTATGAACCAGAACAATCTCTTAGACACCCTTGGCTTGCAACAGGGCTAAGGCTACAGAAGCGCTGCACAGCAGACATGCAGTTCCCTAAGCAAACCATCAACCCTAAAGAGAAAAACAGAGTGACTCAGCTTCTTCCAGCGGATCTTTGACCCTCAGAGAAGTTTTGACAAACCCATCTCTATGTGGGCAGGAAACAATCGGTTCATTATCAACAGAGCGCTGCTGACAAACTGGCCCTGTTTATATTATCAGGAAGATTCTAACCTCCTCCTACCCATCTGAGCTCAACAGCAGGTTTTGTTTTCCAAGTGCACAGCCTGCCCTTTCTCCTCTCCCCCCGCCCCCATATCTGGGCTATTTATCGTTTCACATCATTTTCAGCAATGCTGAAAATGCTTCCCCTTATCTCAGCACGAATGAATGCAGATTGCACAGAATAATAGATCTTGGATCTGTACCAATCACTGTAAAAGGCATATCTTTTAAAAAAGAAAGAAAACATCAAATTAAAGGGCAGCAGACTATTCTCCTTGCTGCGCCTTGAATTTCAAAGCCTACTGAACTCTTGTGGGCTGTTATCAAGAAATACAGCAGCAAAAGGCTTTGATTCCCAGCAACTATTGAGCATGAAGTATGCTGTAGAGTATTCTATGGAGATTTACTATATTGAAAGACAAGGGCATGTTGGAAGGTTTTCTTCCTTCCAGAAGAGTAGGTACATTATCATTAAAAGAGCAGAAAGCGCCCCACTGTAGGCTGGGTTACACAATCACTTTGCCCTTTCCCTACTTCATTTGCATCAATATTTGGAGCACTTGGAACAAATCAAACATAAAATGAGATTCTGAAGCAGAGAAGAGCCCAAGTTAAGCAAAGGCTTCCCTCTATCCTCAAACTCTGATCACAGACCAGTGCATAGCAAAATCAGATCCTTTCATTTGACAAAAATCCCCTTCCCCCATATACTTCTGCTGACAGTTGATTCTCCTGGATCAAGAGCCCACCCATGAGCTCAAGGACACCAATTGGGGGCCAACCTGTGGTGGCTCTCCAGATGTTCTGGAATACGGCTGTGTGATGGCTGCTGCAATGGGGTTTATGGCTGGGTTCAATTGCCAAGCTGTCAAGATGGGGTTGGTTACAAATATTATAAAATAGGGTGGGTTACCATCATTTTTCTAAAACCACCAACAAAAACAAAGCTGTCTGTAACTGGGTACAGTGGTACCTCTGGTTACGAACATAATTCATTCCGGGTACTCAACTAGAGCACAGAGTTATTTCCCAAAGCTGCTAAAACACCCAAGCCCACTGCCAACAAAGTTTTCTCCTTAAAAGGCCTGAGGCAACAGGAAGATTGGGGTAAAAATCCAACCCAGGAGGAAGCAGACCAACTTCTTTATTTTAGGCAGAGACACATCAGTAGAGTAAGTATGAATGTTCTGGACCGGCAACTCTATTTACATCATCATGATTAGGTCAGACATTGTCTAGGGATATGCAAAACTGTAGCCATCAGCTGCATGCCTGGAATTAATGCAGCCTCATTTATGCTGGTCATGGATCTAGAAATAATTCACTTATACCCAATTAGGCTCAGTATTACAAAACTGCAGCCTACTCATTGCCGGCCACCCGCTCCATACAAGTAGCCAGCATGCTCCTGCTAGGATAATGTCCACAAGCCAATTACAGCTTACTTACTCTGATGGAAATATTGGCATCAGTCCCTTGATTTCAGCAGCAGAAACAGACCAAAGAAAGAAACTAGTATGAATTGATTATGGGGGGGGTGGCATCCCCAAGTATGGGTTCAGAAGTGGGAATGGGCAATAAGAACTCAATCTGTGCCTGAGCAATGAGTTTGTTAGAGGCGTGGTCTGCACAAGACAGGGAGACATGGGGTTTGTTCTCAGCTCATGCCTGGAAATGAGAGTGCTTAAGCATGAGTCCCGGTTCTGATGAATCACTAAGCCAAACAACAGTGAAATGGACCAGGAGGTGCAGTAAAGAGGGCTCCAAGTTCTTCTCTGAGAGCCTGCATGTTCGCACAATCCTTAAACCAGATTGAGGAGCCATACCCTAGTCAGCTGATTTATTGAACTAGGTGGAGCCCTATTGGCTCCATGTGTCCCCTGATTCCTACTGAGCCAGCCAATGCAACATGGCTCTCTAGCTATCAGTAGTAGTGGTAGTGCTGAAGTGGAGAAAGATAGCAGAGCAGCAGCACCTCCTCTATCACAGAGAAGCCACTTGGGTCCTCCTGCTGGACTCCTGGGTCCATGACCCCTCTCACCTTTCAGTACCCCACTGCCTCCCATTCTTTCTAAAACAGAAAGGAGGTTCCTGTAGCCCTCAAGATACAGTTGGACTACAACTCCTACCTTCCTTGGCCATGGTGCCCATGGTTGATAGGAGTTGCAGTGCAACAACATATGGAAGACAACAGGAACCCTATCCGGGCTCCAACCCCAGGACTTTTCCATTGCTCACATTGTTCAAAAAGTGAGGTGAACATTTGGATTTCACCATTTTACGTTCTGTACTGTGAAGCTAGGAAAACCCAACTTCAACTTGTGCCTCAAAATTGACAGTGCACTGTTAGAGACCATTTCTCATAACACTTATAATCTGTTAAATCGCAAGGTTTCCCTTTAAAAAGTAGGAACCTTTTTCCCCTCCCAGAGGATTTCAACTTAGTTATAGCCAGGAGTTGTGTTTCTACAAAAGCTATAAAGAACAAAAGATCCCTCTCATAACATCAGTTGCTTAATAGGACAAGACCACTCTATGCAAACTGTCACAAGTCTGCCAATTGCTGCATTACTTTCTATCAAAGTTTTAGCTTCCCCATCAGTAGCAAACAAAGCTCAATTATGTGCAGAGGGCCCAATACAGAGAATTCTCAACATGCAATATTTTTTTCTGTCACAGGCAAGAGAGTCAAGGGGTGCTTTCACACAAACTGGCCCCATGTTAGATAATCAGTTCATTTCACAACAGCAGCCACAAATACATCACTGTGGATGTCTAAAATTTAGTGGAATTCAACATTTACTTGTCAACAATAATGGCAAGCGATAATAATTCAAGCAAATTGTCTGAGTGCTTGAAAACTGACTCACCAATTAACATTAGCAGACATCCAAATGTAGACTATCAACGTTAAATCCTCCTTCCCCAAGTTTCGCCAGCCCTGAAAACAACTCTTTTTAAACAAGCCTTTGATTCTGTTGCTATTTAATTTTCTCAGTTGCTATCCTTGGATCCCTTCTGTAATGCTCCTTTTACATCTGACTCATGGTATTTTATCTAGCTATCTTGGGGATAGGATTATTATCCAATTTTATTTTTGTGATCTGTTTTTATACTTTGCTGGCCTCTTTTGAGCATCTCCTTCAGAGGAGAAACAGATATAAATTTCTGCACAAAGAAACACACAAGCACAATCAGTGAGGACTTTGCCAACTGGCAGCTTGCTTCCAACTGACAAACTCACCATATAAGAACAATTTAAAGTGGCCACACTGTTCACCTGCAGAGACAGCCAGAACAGACCCTTTTCTTTTTTTTGGCAATAAGAGATGCAAACTATGCTGAATATTGTAAGTATATAGCACACTGCATCCCTAACTCCTCACATGCAAATTAGGTATCCAGCCAAAGATTTGTCATCTTAACAGCACGTGGTGAAATTCAACTGGGGCTCTTGCCTCTTTAGCATGGCAGCCTCTGCACCCACCCTGTTCTGAAATGAATTCTCTGGAACTAGTTTTAGGGGTACTGAGAGGGGAAGGAAGTGGGGGGATTAATCACCTCCCCCGCTCTTCATTAGTGAAGGCACCCACTTCCATGAGCACAAAAGCACCAACTAGATTTTATCCTGTATCCCGTCAATGGTCATTATCCAACTACACACGGGTTATAGGAAGACAAGTATGCTGAATAATCATGTTACGAAAATGCAGTGCTTCCTTACAAAAAGCCATAGTATTGAACCATATAGTTCACTTTCTTATGCATGGGGCCAAACACCTTTTACATAGTGAAGCCCCAATCCTACAGTTGCTAATTCACACTCAAAATATTCAGTGACCTTTACAAACACGCACAGATTGGCTTCTAAGAGGCCTTCTCTTTCCTGTAGACACAATGCATGGATCTCAACCTCTCAATAATCACTAGCTTTCCAAAATAGTTTACTGCTGCAGAAGATTAGGCTTCAGTAATACAGCTATGGACACTGATATATACATACAGCTTGTAGGCTTTTTCAGACAGAGATACAGATATATACAAGTACAAAGTATCTCTGTTGCTCCAGCAATTCAGTACATAACACAGACTCCGACTCACTTCTGAAGACTGACCCTGACACACTACACAAGAACCCTGGACCAAAAGAGCTGACATGCCTTAGTCACTTATATAGACAGCACTGGGCTGTTGCCATAGCAACTGGCTTGCCTGACCTTGCACCTGTTGGCTTATCTCAGACCATGGAGTAAATTGTGCTCATGAAGGAAATTAACCACTTCCTCCATTTCCAGTTCCTCCAACAAATTCAACAGAGGGAAAATAAATGAAGTGGGAAGTAGGGTAAATTGGGAAGTGGTTGTTTCTGTTGCATATGCTTAGGCTTAGAAACAAGATCTGTTATAGTGGGGTACAGGAACTAGGGGACTAAGCAAAAGGCTTCACAGAAAACGTGGGTTTTTTTAAGGAAGGGAGAGATGGCATCATGCAAATATTCTGGCAAGAGTTCCAAGTCTACGGGGCAGCAAGCAAGAAAATAAAAGAATTTAAGGAAGCAGGAGCTCTTATATGACTGGAAAAATGGGAGAGCTGGAGCAGCAAAGATCAGAGGCAGGGATGTGTATGTGGATTTGAATGGAAAGTAGTTTGCACTCCAACAAGGCTGGGTAGAGAGTTACCTTCTACTGCCTTGTACAGTGGTACCTCTGGTTACGAACTTAATTCGTTCCAGAGGTCCATTCTTAAGCTGAAACTGTTCTTATCCTGAGGCGCGCTTTCACTAATGGGGTCTCCTGCTGCATGCACACCAGAGGCACGCGATTTCCGTTCGCATCCTGGGGCAAAGTTCGCAACCAGGAGCAGCTACTTCTGGGTTAGCGGAGCTCGTAACCTGAAGCGTTCGTAACCAGAGGTACCACTATACAGTGGTACCTCAGGTTAAGAACTTAATTCGTTCTGGAGGTCCGTTCTTAACCTGAAACTGTTCTTAACCTGAAGCACTGCTTTAGCTAATGGGGCCTCCTGCTGCCGCCGCGCCACTCCTGCTGCGCGATATCTGTTCTCATCCTGAAGCAAAGTTCTTAACCTGAGGTACTGTTTCTGGGTTAGCGGAGTCTGTAACCTGAAGCGTCTGTAATCTGAAGCGTCTGTAACCCGAGGTACCACTGTATAGGAATATCTCCTTCAGCATCCTGAAACAATTATATGAGGGCAGCTGACTCCCTTTGCCCCATCATCTAGGTAGGTTCCCACTCTTGCCAAACCAGAATTGCAGACAGGAAGACCTGTGCCAGCACAGGAAATATTACATACACAAAGTTCTAAAAGAAATACATGTACTCTGGAGTTCCAGAAAATTTTAAGACCAATAAGGAGACCAAGGAAGGCCTGACCTATTTTTTAAAGCTCCGTTCACTAGCATTAGAACATACTGGGTGGTTACCTGTTTGCAACTAGTAACATGGGCACAAAGGGGCCAGGCAACTTCAGAGATGTTGTGCAAATAAAGCTGAGAAACGACTGGAAGGAATTTAACAGCAACGCAAATGCTATATTAATAATAAGCAATACAAAAGTGCTTCTACATTAGATTCATACCGTAACTCCTAGTGATTTTCTAGTAAATAGAAAGCAAAAGCATATTTTTATAGGAAGAAGCTTACTAGTCTGGAAACTTGGGGAGGGACAAGGGGGAAAACTTTTTTTAAAAGCACAGCTCCATATTTCCCATCTTCATTCTCCACAATCCTTAACAACAAGGGCTAAAATAGTAGAAACCTCCAAGCTCTTCAATCTGTCAGGCATGGCGTGAAATAATATCCCAGAACCATCTGCCTTTAAGTTGCCTATTTTGGGGGAGAGAGGGCCAAAAAGAATTCTTCTTGCTGTAAAGATTCAAGGTCTATTCTTAGTCTCTTAAATATTGCAAAGAAAGCAGTTGCCTGTGACAGCACATGGAAAAGAAAAGCATCTGGCGTCTGCTTTTATATATACAGGCACGACACACATCTCTAATATGTCACATAATAGCAAGTTGGGAATAAAATGGAGCAGCTAACACGGTTGTATGGGAACCCTTGACTGTTCTCCCCATCTCCTGCATTTCATCACTGAATTCAAATAAGATAAAGAATCAACACTGTTGGTTATTGTGGCTTTCCAAGGTCATTGTTTTTTACTCATACACGCAAACAGCGTAAGATAAATGACTACGAACATATTTTATCTAAGTTTTCAAGGTCACAAGGGTCACGGCTTTCAACCCTGGTCAAGCCACAGAAATACATGCATGTTATTTATGCAGTTTTGGCCTGCAGTAAGAGTCGCACTATCAGCAGTGATTAAAGGGAGTAAAGAAACGTGAGCAACCCTGAAGTCTCTTAGATCAAAGACATGAAACCACAGTCTTCTACATTATCATTTCCTCCCTCTAAAAGAAACAGTTCTGTCTTTGCCTTCCTGACCTTTGCGGTCTCTCTCTGATAAAACTCACCAAGGGAAGGTGAGGGCCTTCCCCTTTCTGTCTCCAGCAGCTGGTGTTGAAGTGAGGGGCAGACAGGGCTTGTCAGCCTGGGAAGGTAGCCCATCTAGGAGAAGAAAAACTCTGACCCTAAGCCTCCACTGCTTTGGGGGATATCTTCAGGAGAAGAAAAGTCTAAGCAGTAGACCCAACACAATCAAGAGTGGAGTCCCTGTACTCCTCCTTCCAGCAACTCCTGCAGCCAAGCTGGTGCCAAACATATTGCTCTGCTTTCCTTTCGACCACATCAACGAGGCCACAAACTGCAGGTGTGAGGAATCCTTTTCAACCCAAGGGCCACAGTCTTCTTCTGAGCAACTTTCCAGGGGCCACGTGTCAGTGGTGGGCAAGGCCACAGGCAAATGTGGATGGAGTAATGAAATGGAAGTTCAACCTCTGTACAGTCGGCTACTTTCTATATTCTCACACACTCTTTTTTAATCCTCCATTCAAGCAAGTGATGGCAGCCAGGCAAACAGACTCATGGAGGGTACAAAGTAGGGTCAGTGAGGGTGTTGACCTAGGAGAGGGGGGCATGTCCAGAGTAGTGGGCAGGTCAAAGTCCTGAGAGCCAGACAGAGCTGTTCCAGTGTTCCAAAATTCACCAGGCACATTTTGAACCTGGCCTGGCTATCAGCCACTTGCAACCAAGTGAAGGTGTCCGAACAGCAGAATGGCACCTGATGTCTTCACCATCTGGAAATTAGGATCATTGGATCTGGACTGCTTTCACACACTAGCAACACATCCTATGGAATTTTATGGAGGATGGAGGCGGCTAACAGATTGAGGTTGAAACCCGGCAAGACAGAAGTACTGTTTTTGGGGGACAGGAGGCGGGTGGGTATGGAGGACTTCCTGGTCCTGAATGGGGTAACTGTGCCCCGAAGGTGCGTAGCCTGGGAGTCATTTTGGACTCGCAGCTGTCCATGGAGGCGCAGGTCAATTCTGTGTCCAGGGCAGCTGTTCACCAGATGGATCTGGTACACAGGCTGAAACCCTATCTGCCTGTGGACTGCCTTGCCAGAGTGGTGCATGCTCTGGTTATCTCTCGCTTGGACTACTGCAATGCACTCTATGAGGGGCTACCTTTGAAGGTGACCCAGAAACTACAACTAATCCAGAATGTGGCAGCTAGACTGGTGACTGGGAGCGGCTGCCGAGACCACATAACACCGGTCTTGAAAGACCTACATTGGCTCCCAGTATGTTTCCGAGCACAATTCAAAGTGTTGGTGCTGACCTTTAAAGCCCTAAACGGCCTCGGCCCAGTATATCTGAAGGAGCGTCTCCACCCCCATCGTTCAGCCCGGCCACTGAGGTCCAGCGCCGAGGGCCTTCTGGCAGTTCCCTCACTTCGAGAAGCCAAGTTACAGGGAACCAGGCAGAGGTAGTGGCACACGCCCTGTGGAATGCCCTCCTGCCAGATGTCAAAGAGAACAACAACTACCAGACTTTCAGAAGACATTTGAAGGCAGCCCTGTTTTGGGAAGCTTTTAATGTTTGATGCATTACTGTACTTTAATATTTTGTTGAAAGCTGCCCAGAGTGGCTGGGGAAGCCCAGCCAGATGGGCATGATATAAATAAATAAATAAATAAATTATTATTTGCTATATTTTATCTGCACAATTAGAACAAAGCTCAGGAACCAAAAACTTGTATTGAAAAATATGACTTTCGAGCCGTCTGGCCCCAAAACGGCAAGTAGGCATTCCATTTTGGCGACTGTAGCCCTAGTTTAAGTAGCCATTTGGTGCCTAGCTTATATATCTGAGTTTCTAACACTGGAATGTTCAGATGGGCACATTCAAGCCTGGGGTCCAAGGACCCACAACTCTCTGACACAGAGAGACCCCTTTGGCTGCCCATGGCTGGTGAATGCGTATCTAACGTAGTAACATCAATGAAGTAGAATGGCTGAATTCTTAAGACTTTAAAAGTTCAACTGCTGTCAGTCTGCAAGACTAATAAGCAGCATCTGGTTTCCCTCTAGAACAAAAACTAAGAGCACAAGCAGCTTTCCACAAAGGTGATGCTAAGCAGAGTTCTACAACTTGGCACACATCACAGAAAAGCTGGAACAATACAGCATGGGTAGGCAAACTAAGGCCCGGGGGCCAGATCCAGCCCAGTCGTCTTCTAAATCCAGCCCGTGGATGGTCCGCGAATCAGCGTGTTTTTACAGGAGTAGAATGTGTCCTTTTATTTAAAATGCATCTCTGGGTTATTTGTGGGGCATAGGAATTCGTTCATTCCCCCCCCCAAATATAGTCTGGCCCTCCACAAGGTCTGAGGGACAGTGGACCGGCCCCCTGCTGAAAGTTTGCTGACCCCTGCAATACAGTAACAGACTCCAATAATGAACTTGAACCTCAGCCTTCCCCAACCCGGTTGTTGTTGTTGTTGTTGTTGTTATGGCCCACATTTCCCCCGTAGGTTCCCTCCAGATTTTTGAGACTACAATTCCCATCAGCCTCAGCCAGCAGTTATAGTTCAAAGATGGTGAGGCTGCTTTATATTTTTGATCCAGTAAAGTTTGCATTTGGGCAATGCAATCCCTACCCAGAAGTAAGTCCTACAAAATTCAGGTGTTCTATGATTCTATGTGATTCTATGTTGGCCGCAGAAGAGAAAAGCCCTAATCGCTCCTGGCAAGCACGTAAAGGCTAGCCTCTTAGGCTGTTAAAAAACAAAACCAAACCACTGACTTCTACCAAGCAAGATGTAGATAACTCTGTCTTCCAAGTTCCATTTTATCTTAAGAACTATGTACTTTCCCCTCAAAGAAGCCTGCCAGAGCTTTAAGATTAGCCTCAGAGACCTGGCTGGGTGCTCCAAAAATGGTTTTATGTCAGCAAGCATCTACTGTTCAACTGTTTGCTGCTGTAAAGTAACTATATAGGATAATGCTATCTTTATTGCTGTTGTTTTTGTACTGGAAGAAGGGATTTAAGAGTTGTTGCTTTGTTTCATTTTACTGTTTATAAACATGTCTTTATAGGGCAAGTTACACCTAAGACTACCAAGTCAATAAAAAACACTCAGCCAGCCAACTAAATTCTCCCAGAGGCAAGTGCAGGTCTGTGACCAAAGTCTTTGAAGTACCTAGCAACACCCTTGCCTCCAGGTGATCATCAGACAGGCAGGTTTTTTCTTCGTTAGGATCTTTTCCCTCTATGCAGTCAATTTATGGCACAAACACATCTGGGACAGGTAGTAAGATGTTTGTGCAGTAGTCATTTCTGCACACTTATCTGCAAGGCTGGTCATAGTAGAGCCAAGATCTGTGCACGTGAAGTTAAGGGACGTTTTCAATTCCTCTGGCTAATAAACTATATTCTACTTGCAAGCTTCCCATGGGAATCGGGCAAGCCAATGTGAAAACTGGATGCTAGACTAGACGTGCCATTGGCCTGATCCAGTAGGACTCTTCCTAAGCTCTTATGAACACCTGAGACAAAATAAGTCCCCTCCCATTTCCCTTTCACTTGCTCAAGTGACAGAATACAGGATTTGCAAGAAGGGGGATACCAAGTATTAAGCAGATCAAGAGAGCATCGGCAAGAGAGCTATATCCACAGCAAACACAGAAAAATATGAATCACAGCCCTTTAGATGTTTGCATTTACCCTAATCACTGGAAGGAACACCAATTCATTGGGTCTGGAATCCAAGCAGACACACTGTGTACATCAGGCAACCGGCAAGAGCCACAACCTACACAGCAGGTGCGTTAAACAAACACTGACATCACTCACTTAAAATGTTGTCACCATCTCATTGCCGCTAATACACAGCAGGTAAATTGTGCTTTTCTTCACTTCTTCTCAATGCAATGGGGAATTATGCTGTGTTCGCACTACATTTATTAAGTATACAGTGGTACCTCGGGTTAAGTACTTAATTCGTTCCGGAGGTCCGTACTTAACCTGAAACTGTTCTTAACCTGAAGAACCACTTTAGCTAATGGGGCCTCCTGCTGCTGCCGCTCTGCCGTAACACGATTTCTGTTCTCATCCTGAAGCAAAGTTCTTAACCTGAAGCACTATTTCTGGGTTAGCGGAGTCTGTAACCTGAAGCGTATGTAACCCGAGGTACCACTGTACTCTCAATATGCATTTATTCAATATACCAAAAGAAACCTTTCATTTTTCTGTCTGAGGCTTTTTGCAATGCAGAGTATTTAGGCTTGTGCCACCAAGTCACACAAGCAGCTCTGGGTCAATGGTACAGAGCTGGCTCACCTCAGAAGCAAGGCAAGGTTAATCAGGCTGACTGGAAAGAGGATTGCCTTAGTGCATATTATCTTTAGGATCAAGGTGGACATGTTGCACAGAGACAGCTGGCAAATTCAAATCTGTAACACTCAAGTAATGGGGGTGGGGGAACAACCCAAATAAAAGTGTGGGAAGTTGGCAGAGTGGGAGATGCCAGAAGTGAGAAAGGGTGGCACTAGTGGAATGCAGCTTGGGGAGACTTCTGTATCCAACACCATCAGTGGAGGCACAAGTGTGTTCAGTGGCACAGAATGCCTTCTAGCAACTTTGACCAACAGCACAGTTGCAACCCTACCTGGACAGGGATAACCTGGTTTTCAGTTGTCTATGCTCTGATTACCTCCTGGTTAGACTACTGCAATGCACTGTATGTGGGATTGCCTTTGAAGACAGGTCAGACGCTACAGTTAGTGCAGGACTACTTAGCAGAGGTAAATTGTTAACCAAAACATAAAGGTGGAAACACTGGTTCTGACCCAACTGTGTTGGCTGCCAATTTGTTTCTGGGACCAATTGCTGGTTTTGACCTTTAAAGCCTTATACAATTCGGGACCACTATATCTAAAAGACCACCTTTCCCCATATGAACCTGCCAGGACCCAGAGGCTATTATCTGAAGCTCTTCTCTACATGCCACCTCCACAACTGGAGGGTGACAAGAAAATGGGCCTTCTCTGAAGTAGGCCCTGATTATGGAAGTAGCCTCTGTTTAAGAAGGCCCACTGTTTAAGGAGGCCTGTGACAAATACATTTTTGTTTTCAAGGTCATTTGGACATCATCGGGACATTTGATATTATCATTATTACTATATTGTACTGTAATAATATAGTGTATGGTTAAATTTATTTACAGTAATGTTTATGTGAGTTTATTATAGCATTTTTACTTTAGTTGCAATCACTTTGTGGCCTTTTTGGTGGAAAGGAATGCATAAAAAATTAAGAAACCTAACCTAGCAAGGAAAAATGGTTCCATATGTTTATGGGGGGAAATTTAGCTACTTTTTGCATTCAGGATCGCCTGCCACATAGCATGTGGCTTCTGAAAACCAAACTAATAGTTTTCTGGAAGGGGACTTCAAAAGAGAATTTCCTCCTCTCTCCTCGCCCCTACTTACTGGCCTGCACAGCTTGAATCCTCCAGATCTAGTGGTTTTGCCTTCTTTGTTTCTATCGACGCTTTCTAAGCATTTCCTTGGCGGGTGTAAAATGGATTCAGACCGAGCCCTTCCATCTGACAACCAGACAATTTGAAATACGCTACATATATTTTAACAGTGAAAAACGCCGTCCAATAAAAAGAAAAGAGCAGGCCTGGGGAGATTTGGGGAGGGGCTGCAGATTGGGATGATGGACATTAACAAATACAAGGTATACGGATGGGGGTTGCAGCAGCTGCTGCTGCCGCCCCACGGACGAGAAAAGCAGGAAAGAGCGCCACGCCTCCCGTTTCCAGCTCCGGCGCTGCAAAGACCGTATCCGGCGCGAGCTGCGGCCCTTCCACTCCCCGTTAGCGGCAGCGGCACCGACGTGCAGCCCCGGGGTCGTCCCGCTCGCTTCTCCCACCCGCAAGCACTTGAGAGGGCGACTCGGAGCGCGGCCGCAAAGGGAGCCGAAAGCCTTCCCCCCCCCCCCCCGTTAACCGAGCGCATCTGGCCCGGCGCCACTTAAGGTCTCCCCACCGGGTTCCCTCCCAACCTTTGCGTGGGGAGGGAGGGGTGCGTGCATGGATAGGTAAACTAAGGCCCGGGGGCGGATTCGGCCCAGTCGCCTTCTCAATCCGGCCCGCGGACGGTCTGGGAATCAGCGTGTTTTGACATGTGTAGAACGTGTCCTTTTATTTAAAATGCATCTCTGGGTTATTTGTGGGGCATAGGAATTTATTCATATTATTTTTCAAAATCTAGTCCGGCCCCCCACAAGGTCTGAGGGACAGCGGACTGGCCCCCCGCTGAAAAAGTTTGCTGACCTTTGGCTTAGAGGGAGAGGTCGCCCACTGGAAAGGGCTTCTCCCCCCCCCCCTTTTTGGGCCTCGTGCATGGGGACGGGCGCCGCGCTGAGGAAAAGCTGGGCTCCCACCTTTCCCCGCCGGCGCAAGCGCGCCCCTCACCGCTCCCCCTCTTCACCCACCCACCCGCCATGCAAAATGCAAGGGGGCCGCTCCCCGACGTACCCCTCGCTCGCTTACCTCCCCGGGCAGGAGAGCTTCGCAGCAGCAGCAGCGTCGTGCCCGCTCGGCGACTCCGCTCGCCTCCGCCCCGCGGCACCACGAGGTGCGCGAGCTTGTTTACCAACTCGCGTTTCCCTCCCCCCCCTTCCCGCACCGCCCCGTCGGCTGGAGACCCCCGCGGCCAGGCTCCGCCCCCGGCGCGCCTATTGGCTCTGCCGAAACCACCGCCCTCCCCTGCCCGGGGATTAGCGCGAGAGCCGAGGTTGCCAAGCCGCCGGGAGCGTGTTCGGCTCGTGGGGCCCGCGCTCTGGCCAATGGGAAGCCGGGGCGGACGGAGATTCCGCCAATCCCGAGGCGGCGTGTCCTCTCGTCCGTTCCCTCTCGCCGCCTCTCGCACATCCCGTCCTTGTTGCGCTGCTCGCTCGACGCGGTGGCGGGAGGGCTGGGCATGGACGCGGAGAGAAGGAGGAGGGTCGGTGCATGTGCAGCGGGGCACGTTGCTGTTGCCGCCGTGCGCGTCTTTCCTTCCCTTCCCCCCCCCCCGGGGTTGTGCTGCGTCGTCCCCGCCCTCGGACAAAGCTGGGGTTCCCGGACTCCCTGTCTAACAAAGGCCGCCTTCCCAAAAGCTCCTGTCTGCCACCCTGAAGTTACGTGTCTCCCTGCACGTATCTGCACAGGGCATTTCAGTGCAATGCTTGTTGGTACAGGGAAGGGGGGAGACGCTTGGAAGTTTCCTGTGTTAATGGGGTTAACTGCAGGGCGGATAATTTGGAAGAGAAATGGTGTGGTGCGAAAAGGCAAAGATAAATGGTTGCTGGGTTTTAAATCTTTTTTTTTTTTAGGGTACTCCTTTTGTTACTTCAAAAAGGGTTAAAAATGTATGTTGCAACTAATCACTTTAAAAGTATACAAAGTGATTTGGCAGTCCGTTCGTTTTCATTTCGCAGAGAAGCGTAAACAAATAGCCACACAGAAAGAAGCAAATGTCAGTTTCCCTGCTTGACATCCAGCGTGCTGGCCACCAAAGTATGCAGCCCCTGACCTAGAATTCCCAGTTCTCTGCCACACTTGCCAATTATTTGCTCTTAGCAGAGCAGGCAGTCAATAAAATAAGGCTGCAATCCTGACCCTACTTACCTTGGAGCAAGAACCGTAGTGGGACTTACTTCTGAGTAAACATGAAGTCAAGATTGCATTGTTCGTTTGGGTCTCTACTATTGGGGCTAGCAAACACCCTGCTTCTGAATTCGTGTTTAAAAAAGAAAGCATGTTGACAATTCAGATTGCAACAGCTAAATAAAAATGGACACTTTAATTTTATTTGTTACGTTTGTATCTCAGTCCTATTCCCAAAGGGAAGCTCAAAGGGATGTTTTGATCCTTGGCCTTCTCCTCTGGAATAAAACAGTCTTGTGGCACCTTAAATAATTGTATAATAGCATGTGCTTTTGTGGACCAGAATCCACTTCATTAGATGCTTGAAGTGTAATCCTTAGCTGCACGTACACGCACACACAGAGAGAGGTGTAGGCACGTGGGAGAAGAATTGTAAGCTGCCCAGAGTGGCTGGGTTAACCCAGTCAGATGTGCAGTTAGCTAGCTAAATAAATTAGCAAATATAAAATAAAATAAAAAGACTAATCAGCGAACACTGTAAGGAATACTAACTTTCCTTTTGGTTGCTGCCAGGCTTAAAATGGTGTGATGTTGGTGAACACTTGAAAGACTCTCAGCTGATGCACAGTATAGTCATGTTTGGACCATTGCCCAGGCAAACTCAGCCCTCCAGATGTTTTGGGACTACAACTCCCATCATCCCTAGCTAACAGGACCAGTGGTCAGGGATGATGGGAGTTGTAGTCCCAAAACATCTGGAGGGCTGAGTTGGCCTATGCCTGCATTAGCAGATAAATTGATATGCCCAGTCAAAGTAGCTAAAATGACTGCAGACCCCAACTCTTTTTATGCAGGTTGGCATACAGTGGTACCTTGGGTTACAGACGCTTCAGGTTACAGACACTTCAGGTTACAGACTCTGCTAACCCAGAAACAGTACCTCGGGTTCAGAACTTTGCTTCAGGATGAGAACAGAAATTGTGCAGCAGCGGTGCGGCGGCAGCATGAGGCCCCATTAGCTAAAGTGGTGCTTCAGGTTAAGAACAGTTTCAGGTTAAGAACAGACCTCCAGAATGAATTAAGTTCTTAACCCGGGGTACCACTGTATTCTCATTTTCCACATGAGAAGAGACAACCAAATGAGAAAACTGCCACAAACACATGGCAAGCTGTGGAGCAATATGCTAGAATTATAAGAAGTTGGACAATGTATTTGTGTATTTGCTCTTTTATTATAGAATACGTGTAAACACAAGGAATTTGCTTATGATCTCAGAGCAGTTGTGTCTTCTGCCTACAGTTATATCGGTTTGTATTCCTTTGTGATTGAATATAAATATATATCCAAGAAGCCATTATATCTCAAACTGTTTGTATTTAATAATATTCAAACATTTACATTTTTGCAGTACAATGCTATACATGTCTACTCATAAGGAAGCCCCTTACACCCAAGTAAGTTGGTTTAGGATTGCAGCCTAGAAATAACAACAAAACATAGAGAGTTGTCATGCACCTCTGTCAATCTTTCTGTGTATGTGTGATATGCATGTGTTAAGTGGAATATTTGTAGAGCAATAGGTTAGATATACTTCATAAAGAACTTTCAGTCAGAAAGATCAACTTTAAATACCAAGTTTCCCCATCTGTCTCTGTATCCACAGAGCTGCATGCCAGGGTTTTTGAAGTTAATTTCCAGTATTTTATATAGCTGAATGGTTTTCTTTCCTCCCAGCTGGAATCAATATTATTCAGACATCTTGTTTTAAGTGGATATTTTTCTTAACCTTTTGGTGTGTTGAATTTGGACTTTAGCTTTGTATTGTCTTTGTTCATAAGATCGTTTACCCTGACGGCTGAGTTTCAACAGCTGGATCTTCATTTGTACAGCATCAGGCTTGAGACTACTTGCACAAAGAGTAGTCCCACATATCTTTGGGGAATATATTATCCAATATTATTTGAGGATTGCAGATTTAATTGGTCCATCTCACGTACTAAAGCCTTGGTTCGTTTTTTCATAAAGTTATTGTTTTACATATGTCATACTTGAACAGTCAAGCTTGGTATGAACTTGTTACCAGAAATAATTCCCAGCAGGTCCCAAGCAAATCAGGGAAATGGTTTCTGAGATGGAACATTTCTGATAATTCATGATAATAATAAAAAGGCTTTTCTCCGTCTCTCATGACACCAGAACTCACAGACAACTAAGGAAGCTGGAAGATTCAGGACAGAGAAAACAGTAATTTATTTACACAGTGCATAGTTAAGCTATGGAACTTGCTGTCATAGGAAGCAGTGATGATCACCAACTTGGGTAGCTTTGAAAGAGGATTAGACCAATTCATAGAGAAGGCTGTCAAAGGGCCCTATCCATACCTTGGCTTAATGTGGATAGTGAACCCCTTGTAAAACCCACTTTAATTCCCCCTCATCCATGAGGCCCCCCCTCCTCCAACTACTGCTGTCCCTAAATCCAATAATTCCCAATTCAATAATAATAATAATAATAATAATAATAATAATAATAATAATTTATTTATACCCTGCCCATCTGGCTGAGTTTCCCCAGCCACTCTGGGCAACTCCCAATCAAATGTTATAAACAGTACAGCATTAAATATTAAAAACTTCCCTAAACAGGGCTGCCTTCAGATGTCTTTTAAAGATAGGATAGCTGCTTATGTAAGTGCTTTATTTAAATCCTTTTAGTAAGTTCTTTATTTAATTCCTTCACATCTGAAGGGAGGGTGTTCCACAGGGTGGGCGCCACTACCGAGAAGGCCCTCTGTCTGGCTCCCTGTAACCTCACTTCTCGCAATGAGGGAGCCGCCAGAAGGCCCTCGGTGCTGGATCTCAGTGTCTGGGCTGAACAATGGGGGTGAAGAAGCTCCTTCAGGTTTTCAGTTGATGCAGCTCTCCTATCTGGATTTTCATACCATTTATTTGCTTGCTTGCTTGCTTTTTTCACAAAGGTGAACTCAAAGTGACTTCAACCAGCCCCAGGTGCCTGCCTTCTCCCAAAGAACCAGCCCAGGGGATGGCACTGGCTGTGAGCATCTTCTTTGTCTCAGCGTAACCACTTGCAGACCTCAACAGGAAGGAGGATGGAGATGAAACTAGGATTTGTTGCAGGAATAGGCAACCTAAGGCCTGGGGGCCGGATCCAGCCCAATCGCCTTCTCAATCCAGCCCACAGAAGGTCTGGGAATCAGCATGTTTTTACATGAGTAGAATGTGTGCTTTTATTTAAAATGCATCTCTGGGTTATCTGTGGGGCACAGGAATCCGTTCATATTCTTTTTCAAAATATAGTCCGGCCACCCTACAAGGTCCAAGGGACAGTGGACCAGCCCACAGGTGAAAAAGGTTGCTGACCCCTGATTTATTGTCTTTGCCAGTTATGGGCTTTGGCTTTACCTACAGTAGGCCTCCTGGTCTTCTGCCCTACCAGTGCCAATAGGCACCAGTCACCACTGATGTGTTGCACGCATATGCATTCTCCTTCCAAACTGGATGCACCCATGCATTTGCAATATTCTCGGCACCTGATGATTTACCCCAGGATAATACAAACTGAATGACACAAGAGAGACCACAAGTGAGTCTAGATGAAGAAGGCAACAAGCCACAGCAAGTCTGGGGCAGAAACACATCTTCTGCTGACAAAGGAAGCAAACAAGGAGGTTCCACATATTTAGCATTTTGCAACACAGTCTGTTGAAATGTGTGCCATCAACATTTGTTGTCCTATAATGTTACACTCATTGTTGAATTCTGAGGGTTTACATTGGTGTTTTTTTGTTTTTTAAGGCAGGGCTAGGGTGGTTGGAACTGGATTTTCTGGAGTGAAAAAAGAGTCTTTTTGTAAGTGCTTTATTTAAATCCATAAATAAGAACACAACAGCAAGATGTTGGAGTCAACCAATATATCTGGATAGCTCAGTTGGTTAGAGTATGGTGCTAATGAAGCCAAGGTTGCAGGTTCGATCCCTGTATGGGAGAAGCTGCATATTCCTGAATTACAGTGGGTTGGGCTAGATGATCCTCAGGGTCCTTTTACAATTCTGTGATACAACTGAAGTATATTCATCATATGACCAATACATTAGAAAAAAAACTTTAGGGATTTAGGAAGTTGCCTTATATTGTGTCAGGCCTTTGGGTCCAGCAATCTCAGAAGTGCTACACTGACTGCCAGATATGTTCCTTCCCTGTGATCAAACCTCCTGTGGTTGTTGTGGTGGTGATTGTTAAGCACAGGGAAAGATCCAGGCACTATACCACAAGAAATAGCCACTTAAGCTGGTGGGAGGAGGAAGAGTTTCTTTCATTATAGCTCACACATCATGCGATCCAAATTTGAAGACCAGCTGGTGATGGAGAGTAGGGGGACAGGCATTTTGATGAAAGAAAAGTGCTAACAAACAGCCAAATTAGCTGTGATCCTATATATGTTGCTTGAAGTTACATTTTTAGTTGTTGTTTTTTTTAAATAACTATTAAATATAGCCACTTCTAATGAGGATCTCAGTGCGAAGTGAGGGTTTTAAACTGGCGCCCCGTACATATTCCAGGGGCTGTTATTAGCCCTGAGGGGAGCTTCATTTGTCAGTGGGATCTACTTCCCTGGGGCTAATGATAGTTACTGAGGAGGCAATTTTCATCAGAACTTCAGAGCAAAATTAAGTGCTTAAATCCAGGGGCGACCCACCCTGTTTTGCCGCCTGAGGCAAAACAGAACATATTCAGGCTGAATCTTCAGTGACGGGTGCAGCAGCAGGATATGCCGCCTCAGAAACCCAGTGGGATCCTGCTGCCTGAGGCAGTCTCCTCAGGCTGTCTCGTGGCAAGGCCGGTCCTGCTTAAACCCTTTTCCATATGTCCCACGGTTCCCATGAACATAAGAAAAGCCCTGCTGGATCAGGCCAAGGGCCCACTTAGTCCAACATTCTGTTGAGGATATCTTCTATTAGATTACATGCCTGTGGGTTTTGCTTTTAAATTTTAGACTGGACAGACCCAGAAATAGACAAAGAAAACCTCAATAACGACATAAGTCATCCGTGTAGTGTCTTGGTTCCAGTAAGATCCTTTTTGTTTTGCATGCCTATGTTATCTTTCTCTCTGAACATGTGCAACTCAGAGCAGGCTCCAAAGCCACCTCTGTTTTGTATACGCACCTAATGTACACAGTGGCGCTAAGGAGTTAGCACCAGCATTGCTAAATTTATTAAAAATCTGCCAAACAGCGTTGGAAACTTCCTGTCAGGGAGGTAATCAGAGAAGCCTTTAGCAATTGCATGGTGCAGTTTAGGGTTATTGGAAAGGTGTTGTTGTTTAGTCATTTAGTCGTGTCCAGCTCTTTGTGACCCCATGGACCAGAGCACGCCAGGCTCTCCTGTCTTCCACTGCCTCCCACAGTTTGGTCAGACTCATGTTTGTAGCTTCGAGAACACTGTCCAACCATCTCATCCTCTGTCGTCCCCTTCTCCTTGTGCCCTCCATCTTTCCCAACATCAGGGTCTTTTCCAGGGAGTCTTCTCTTCTCATGAGGTGGCCAAAGTATTGGAGCCTCAGCTTCAGGATCTGTCCTTCCAGTGAGCACTCAGGGCTGATTTCCTTCAGAATGGGTAGGTTTGATCTTCTTGCAGTCCATGGGACTCTCAAGAGTCTCCTCCAGCACCATAATTCAAAAGCATCAGTCCTTCGGTGATCAGCCTTCTTTATGGTCCAGTTCTCACTCCCATACATCACTACTAGCAAAACCATAGCATTACTATACGGACCGTTGTTGGCAAGGTGATGTCTCTGCTTTTTAAGATGCTGTCTAGGTTTTGGAAAGGTAGTCAGACCATATCAATCAGCTATCATCTTGGAGTTGGAATACCATCTAGCTTTCCTAAATAGCTGGGATATACAGAGATGCATGGTGCCTCTGCAAAACAGGTGGGGATAGAAGGGAATATCTTTTTATTCTATTAAGTATTTCTTTCTTTCCTTATCATGAGTGGTTTCTGGAACATAAAGGAGGGAGGAAGTGCCATATTGTTATTAGGCATGCAAGGGAGAGATGTTGTATTAATGCATATGAAAGCGCCCACCCTAAGTCCTAAGTCCACCTGCGCTTGGAGTGGATGCTAAATCTTGCCCTGTAATTCTAGGCCATGCTGTGAAACACACACAGACCACATGGCTGGAGCCTTCTCCTATCATAACAAAACAGCTTGCTTCCCTGGTGTCCTATCAACATGAATCTAAAGCAGCAATTGTGTAGCTGGTTGTGGGCTGAGAGAAGCAGTAAGCAGATGGGATGAGCTGAATCAGAAGTTTTGCATTACAAAGCTTGTTCTATTGAGAAAGAAAGCCTGTTGGGTTTATGATGAGTTGGCCACAAACTGATTTGATCAAGGTCACAGGTTCTTAAGTATGCTGGCAGCTGAATAAAAGAGAAAGGGGAGCTCTAATTACTGGACTGCATAGTGGTATTTAGACTAGTCCTCAATAAGTTTATCTGATGATGAGAAACATTCCACAACTATGGCATTAGGCAGCTAATTAATTAAGAGCAGAAACTTCCAAATGGTTGGAATGTTGGGGTGAATTGCTGGCCAAATGATGGTGAGAAGTCATGATGGGGTTGTTATGATTTGGCTCTCTTGAGCATGAATTGGCATGGTCCAATGAGAGAACACTGAATCATAAGCAGTTCCAAATATCTGAAATAAGTCATACATTCTGCCAAGGAGGTCTGGTCTGGTACGGCAGACAAGGAGTGTGCAAGAGACCTGAATAGGAATTGGAGTTTGATGCAGGCTTGCAGTGTGGTTTTTTAAAAAAAGTTTTCTGGCTGCAGCTATTCCACTGTGATTTCATCTGTGCCCCTGCGATTTCTGTAGTTTGCATCAAACAAAAGCAACAACAAAGGAGGGAACCACTCTTTTTATGCTGCAACTGCAGCATAGATTGGCTGCAGAGGTAAAATCAGCACACACATAAACTTAAAGCACAGTTTAAGACTATGCGGAAAGGAACTTAGTAAATCTGAGCAAAATGCTCTGTCCATTGAAGCCACATTTGACAGAATATGACAAAATATGTCATCAATAGGTTCTGGTCGACCCTGCGAAGATTTGGGAAGCAGAACTGAAACTGTGGTTGCTTTTGCACATTGAAGAATGTTGTCCACTTCTCTGCTTTTTTAGCACAAGTCAGTCTTCTTGGAGCCAACAGCTGCTGCTTCCAGAGATAACCTTTGCAAATCCAATCTAAGTCCTAATCTTGGCAGGTGTTTTTCCCCTCCCCTTTTACCTTGAACTTTCCCCCCTGAGGGAATCAAAGGTCGAAAGGTCGAAAAAGAATTCACAGCTCTAATCTTCTGTCCAGCTACAACATTTCTGCTGAGCTCTAGATCTGTATGTTCCAAAATAAATCCAGCTTGACCTGGTTGGCTCTGAGGAGGATTCTAGACAAGGACTTTGTATTGTAAAGGGCCAGTCAGAGATCACAGATGGGGAGTTGGAAACAATTGTGGTTGTTGTTTTGCTGGATTTCCACCCAGCATTGTAAATCTAGATTAAAGTGGAGGCTGGCATTTTAATGCCAACAGTGTCATGTAGATGCTGCAAAACAGGTAAATGCATAGAATCATAGAACTGAAGAGTTGGAAGGGACCCTGAGGATCATCTAGTCCAACGTCCTGCAGCTGTCCCATATAGGGATTGAATCTGACCTTGGTGTTATCAGCACCATGCTCTAGTCTAACAGAATGAGCTATCCAGTTGTGAAGAGGAACCCACCCCAAAATAAACTCCTGCCTGAACACAGCTTTAACAGAACAGGAAATTCGTCCAGATTCTCCCCACTCCACCCCAACTGCTCATCAAATTGCCAGTTGTCTTGTAGTTTTTTGCATCCACAAAACTACTAAATACTAAATTGGTTATTAACATGCTAAGTAAATCTTCTCCCCACCCCCGGTTTGGACTTGGTATGAACTTTGAACAAAGTGCTGCAGAAGCCTTGTGAAACATTTGATACATGCCTGTGTCCAGAAGCCACACGCAGATACAAAATATTCTGCTGTAATCGGTTTTTCAGTCCCAAAGATCCACTGATTGCGATCAATTCCTGCATTGCAAAGGGTTGGACTACTAGATGACCCTATAATTGTATGGTTTTAAAATATCAAAGAAATCAGAGGAGCTGGTCATTCGGGCATTTAAATCCCTGGCCTGCCACTACTATTTCTGGCAGATTTTGCATTTCAAGCTGGTGTAAGTTATGTTTAGCTTATTGTGACCTGGAAGTTAATAAGACCTTCTTTTTAAATAAAGAAAATATATATTGGGCATAATGGAATCTATGAATCTGCACTGTGTGTGTGGCATGAATCAGCAGGGGGGTGAGACAGTTGCCCTTTTGCCTGCAGCTGACTGACACATCATTTATAAGAATTAGGATGCTGGGAAGATCTGAATGTGCACATCTACTTGCATACATGCTGGGAAAACCTTGCACGTTTCAATACAGTAAAACCTTGTTCAGCCCAATGACGAACTAAGGACATTCACGTCTGTACTTCCAGATCATCAGAAATTCATGTGCGCCACAGTGACTCAAGGCAGCTTTACAGATAAAATAGAATCTGCTAAAAACTGGGTTAAGCTACAGTTTGTGTTACTGCAAGGCTAAGGAACCTGTAGCCCTCCAGTTGTTGTTGAACTACATTTTCTATCATTCCTGACTATTGGTTGTGCTGGCTGGGGCTGATGGGACATGTAGTTCAAAAGAATTTAGGCTACAGCAATTCAACACACATTTAAAACACCCCACTTTAACAGTACAGTAATGGAGATTCCTGGGAACTGTAGCTTGCTAAGGTTGCTAGAAATGATATAATATAGGAATTATAGCTCTGTGAAGTCAACACCTTTAACCAACTATGGTTCTTAGGATTCTCCGTGACTTAAAGTGGTATAAGAGTGCTTTAAAATCAGAGAATCTTAAGACTGGAAGGTACCCTAAGGGTAATCTAGTCCAATTCTCTGCAGTGTAAGAATCACAGCTAATGCATGCTGATGCCTGTGACTCAACAATGTCTGCAGAGCCACAGGTTTTCCACTCCTGGGGAATGGGTCAGCAAAAACAAAGATGTGGGAGCCAATGGTGGTACCTGAAGCTCCCTTTTTCCTACAGCATGTGGTCAGGAATGAGGCACTTTTAGATGGTTTTTGGAGTCTTGGATGTTTTCTTCCTGGTCTGATCAGAAACAGTGGCTTAGGGCATACTTTCCTTTCCAAAATGTAAGGGGGTTAAAGGGTGAGAAGGAATTAGTATAAATTAAATTAATGACTGAATAAATTAAGATGCTGTTTATCCATTATTAGTTTTTATATTATTGTACCTCTGTTGGTTATATTTTGGAGGGGTTGTGTTGTAAAAACACCCTTGAATAATCCTTTTTGTAGCATGGGATATAATTTTTAAAAATGGTGTTCTTGTTTTCAATAGATGAATAAAGGAAGGCCGGTCTAGAGAAATCTAGTGGAGAGTAGCACAGAGGATTAAAAACAACAAATATATTTAGGAAATAAATATAGATAATTTAGATGTGTTATTCAACTCTTTTCTAAGTGAGAAACTGTTTTGATTTACACAGCTGGAGGATATATGAACTGGGATTGAGAATCCGCTAAACCTGGTAGGACTGTGTAAAGTAAAGGTAAAGGGACCCCTGACCGTTAGGTCCAGTCGTGACTGACTCTGGGGTTGGGGCGCTCATCTCGCTTTACTGGCCGAGGGAGCCAGCGTACAGCTTCCGGGTCATGTGGCCAGCATGACTAAGCCGCATCTGGCGAACCAGATCAGCGCACGGAAATGCTGTTTACCTTCCCGGAACGGTACCTATTTATCTACTTGCACTTTTATGTGCTTTCGAACTGCTAGGTGGGCAGGAGCAGGGACTGAGCAACGGGAGCTCACCCCGTCACAGGGATTCGAACTGCCGACCTTCTGATCGGCAAGTCCTAGGCTCTGTGGTTTAACCCACAGCGCCTCCCACGTCCCTATGGACTATGTAGTTGTTGCCTAATACATGCTTCAGATACATGAAGTTCATCCTGTAGGAATTCTAGAGGGATCCGTTGTCTTGCTTACACATTGTTTAAAATGTATATGCTGCCTTTTAACCCAACAGGGCCCTGCAGACAGTTCACTATAAATAGGATATGACATAGGAAGAAGAAACCTATCTTAGCATTGCTGGGTTACCTCATCTGCCCCAGGCTGACGTGTCCCTTATCCCAAGATGTCCTTCTGTGTTGCCAGTCCATCCACACTGGCTTCTTCAAGCCTTGCTAAGTCTGAGGAAAGTTCCAGCCCAGTTGTCCCAATACTTTACCTGGCTCAGAGAGGCCTGCATAAAAATGCCTCCAGCTGCCATCACTTCAGAGGCTCTGTTTATTTATATCTCTCTTTATATCATACCATAAATAGTGTGGAGCATTGATACCTTCAGAGAGGCAGGCACACTGTGCCCGCATTTGTACAGGCTGTAATTGTTGTTATCTCCCCTGCTGGTATGTGGCAGGAAGATAAACAGCCCACTGGTACTCAGTTGTCTTCAGTTCCAACCACCTCCTCTCATTCCTTGGAGAGGACACAGACCTGGACCAGAATAACATTTGAGGGCTTCAGAAAGCCCAAGGGGGAGGGAAGAGATTACGTGTGAGGAGAGGAAGCAGGAATTACTGGTACATTCCCTAGGGGAGGCTACTCAATGGATTAAAGCAGATGTAAATTTCTCTTGTATGGTGGTAGGCAAGCAAGCCAACGAAAAATGTGTGCAGGTGTAGGCTGATGGAGAGAGCCCAACCACCTGCAATACAGGAATCTTTTGCTCGACATGGGGCTTGAACCCACAACCTTGAGATTAAGAGTCTCATGTTCTACCCAAGGAGCAATTTCTTATGGATTTGCAGTACTTTGTTCTTTCCTTCTACAATGCTTCCCCTTTTCTAGTCCAGTTGTCAGTGTGCATGTACCATACATACCTTGGCCACCATCTTTGTTGCTTTTGTCATGCTATGTGTGGTTATTTAGCTTTATGGTATCGGCAGTGCAGGGTTCTCTTAGAAACGTTTGTTTCATCAACTCTCCATGCTTTCCACCCATCTCTGTGACACTGCTTTGGATTGTTACTAATGGCGGGTTGTTTTAACTTGAAACAAACGCGATCACTCTTGCCCCAGCCTTATCTCGATGTCCATTCCTATCCAAATTAAATAGGAGTCTAGCACCAATCTGCCTGAGGGAGTTGTCGCAAGATGGGGTCACCAACTTGCTGGTGCCCTTCCAGATGTTGTTGGGCTACAGCTCCAATCTGCCCCAACCAGCATCTCCAACGGTTAATAATGATGGGAGATGAAGCCCAACAGCTAGAGGGCACCGTGCTGGCTACCCCTAAGGGTTTCTGAGATACACGTGAAATGTTTTCAAGCTCAAAATGTGCTACACAAATCTGACATATTATATATCGAGCACCGAGAAGAAACATCCACTATTGTTACAATGCCCTCTGGCGGCCAACTACAAAAATCTCATTCTACTGATCTTGTGGAATGGAGAACAACTGTCTTACTTTATTCAAAAGAGGGGAAATTTCTTGCTGGCCACAGCTTCAGTTTGTTGCTAGAGGCTCAATGAGAGAGAGAGAAGCTTTTGGCAGATGTTCAGAGAATTCCTACACCTTCTTCACAGCTTTTATTCAGATAAGATGAGAGATGTATTTCAGAAAGTAAATCACTTTTTTAAAAATAGTGCTGCCTCGTAAGTATAATTTTTATTGTACACATTGCATTTGCAGTAAGTACACAGGGTTGTTGTTGTTTTCCTAATGTAGCTAGAAGCATTTCCTGTATATATGCAGTATATTTGTTTCCCTTTCACCAAATACACAGACATACAGCCACACACATGTCCCAGGACGAGAATTAATCTGCTAGAATTACATTCAAAGAGATTTCAGGTAGAATTCTTTCCTGTTGTCCCACCCCCTGATCATCCATGCAAAACTGTATAAAAAATTAATGGAGAAAATCAGAAGCAATATAAAAGGGAAAGAGATCTGTCATGTAATCACTATTCATTTCAATTCCAGTTCCAAGAATAATCAGAGAAATCCTATTGAAGTCAATAAATCATTGTGGGATAAATCAGTCCACATTTTGAAAGTTAATAGTTCTGGCTTGTGCATACCATATATGTGATTAACATTTCTCTAGTCCACAAAATATTTGCTACCTTGCTACAGCTGACAGGTGCATTAATGAATATTTCAAAAAGCACCTAAAAGTGCAGCACATGCTAGACAGCTTAAAGTCTAGAAAAAGGGGGGGGAGGATCTAGACCAATTAAGCAAACATCAGTTCAATACCTTTGCGCATGGCAAAGCTCAAAAGTAGCCCCATGAATATACTTCATAATCTTGAAATCAATACATTAAATAACCGTGGAAATATTTTCATGACCAACTTACTGTTCTTCCTTCATGTTTGCAGCACCAGAGTATTGAGAAGCAGCTCATTTAATTAACAGAAAAGTAGATCAATTTTTTAAAACATAAACTCCTACAAAGTTCCTTGAAACAAGCTTATATATGAATGGAAAAGCAAATACTGTATGGATTTGCAAGCGGTCTTAAAAATGTAACATTCATCAATATATTACTATGTAATTAATAGGCTTTTTCGAAGGTAAGCAATTTAAAATATGTTTTGGAAATAAAAATGGTTGAAACTTAATCTTGTTATAGTTTTTAGAGAAGGAAACTTCAGGCACACCCTATAAAGCAATCCTGTTGCTCAAGCCCACTGAAGCTAGGGACGAACAGTCCATGTCACTTTTACACATATTCATTCAGAAGTCTGTTCGGTCCCATTTCTGCATTAATGTACACCTTTGCAAATTATCATTTAGATTTCTAAAGAAAAATCAACACTGAATTGAACACATTCTCATAAAAGAGCAAACGTACACATATTCTGCCCAAATGTATGCATTTCATCCTAAAATACAATTTTTAAAAAACACATTTTGGTGAGTTTTTTGAGCTATGAACTGCATTGCAAAAATCTGAGAAGAACAAATCACATTCTAAATTCCAAAGGAAGGTTCAGATCAGCTCAATTTGAATTGAATCCAAACAAATCCAATTCATCAAGCATCCAAAATTGAAATCAATGGGAGCTGCTGCACTTCAGTGTCTCTTACATTGGATCCTCCCCCTGACCCGTCTCAGTCCCTTTTGCTTCATTAGGCTATTTCTTTTGCTTAGGCAGATAAATCACGTAAGTAGCGTTGTTCTTAGAAGGGGATATTTGGAAGCAAAGCAGATCAGATTTAAAATAAAAACCAAAACCTTAAAACAACCAATGTCCCTGGGAGGAAGTCCAAGTTAGAAGTAAACTATTTGCGGGGCAAAAGTCTTGAATATTTTGAGCACCAACTGTTTCTCATTTAGATTAATGTGCACACCAGATTCAAATCTCATCCCTGTGTTTTGATACAAACATTATTCCCCAAATAGTTCACTCTTACATTAAATATTTTCATAGCATTTCCAAGTTAGTCATTTAACACACACCCCACACAACTGAAAGAAGTTTGCCTGGCCTCAATCAGTGGCTTCTCCCCAAATCATTCCTGAACAGTGCAAAGCAAGAGACTGCATGCGGGCTGCTTTTTGGCCTGATTGCCAATTCAAGTATGAGGGAAGCAACAGGGCAACTAACCCCCGTTATTTACAACTTGCCTCCACTTAAAGTTGGGCCCTCTGATAGAGGCTCTAAAAGTATGCTGTATGGGGAACTGGTGGTCCCCTCCAGATACTGAATGGACTCCCAGTTCCCATCAGCCCCAGCCAGCTTGGCCAAAGGTTAGGAATGATGGGAGCTAGCACCCCAACAATATTTGGGGGGCCACAGGCTCCCCATTGCCACTGAAGGCCCTACAGCTCAATTTTTATGTTTGATCTGCTTGCTCACATTGACCAGTGCTACAAAAACCATTGGGTCTTACAAAGATGTTGATTTTGTGTGTGTGTGTGTGTGTGTGTGTCACCACACTTACGTGCTCAGGACATCTGGGTGGCAGCCCCATCCCAGCCAGCACTAATTCCCCAGGCAGCTCAGTTGAGAAGAGGGCAAGACAGGCCAAACATCTATTGTGCTTCTTGCTTCCTGCCCTTCTTGATGTGACCTGCTGTGTACAATCCAGAGTGTGGGGAAACTCCCATGCAAGCAGGTCGTTATCTTTGAAGGTCCACTTGCTTCCTTCCCTTGGAAGGGCTTTGGTGGCAAAGCTGAAGAAGCCCTGTACCCTTGCTTCATTCCTGGGGCTAAACTACACATTACACTGAATAGAGTTATGGCTTTTCTTTAGTGACAGGTGTGCGGGAGTCCCAACAATTACTGGGGAGGTAGCATGAGAAGCGGGGCTGTTAGATTTCTCCTTTTCCTCCCCAGCAATGACTTTCCTGAAAAAGTCATTGCTGGGGAGGGCCTTTTCACCAGGCCAAGTTCAAGGTTTAACTACTGGTATATGAAGCCCTTAATGGTTTGGGGCCCGTTTACTCGTGCGATCACTTCACCCTGTATGTGCCCATTCAACCACTTCACTCTATGGACTCTGCACTGCTACAGGCATCACAGCTGTAAAAAACCTGCTATTTGAGTATCGCACAACAACTTTAGAACTCTCTGCCTGTTGACATCAAGCGGGTGCATCTGCTGCACTCTTTTTCATGCTTAAAACTTCGTTTGTTTAGGCAGGTCTATCTCGACATGTAGATGTTGATTTGTTTTAATCTCTTTTAACGGTTTGTTTTAATTATTTCTAAATGCTTTTCACTGGTCATCTTCAAATTTCCTGTAAACCACTCAGAGGTTTTATTACAATCAAGCGGCACATACATTTTTGCGAACAAATCCATGAAATACCCCTGGCATAGCTGGGAGGGTTAGCATAAAACAGGAGGAGGTCCCATTGGTGCCAATGGGATTATTTTCTTAACCCTTATAGCTGCATGGAGCCCATGAATTTTGCCATGATAATGGCTGGGGAGGGAAAGGATAAACCTTCCCTCCCCACTTCCCTCTCTCGCAATTCTAGTTGGGCCTCCAACTCCCACGGCTGCAATTAAAGAAAAAACAGATTTGGAAACCTGCTACATATTAATCATGTGCAGTTTTGCCTCCACACAACCCCTGCACTTTAGCTGTATGCCTATTTTAAAGGAGCATTTTCACACTTTAAAAAAAGTGTGCTGCACAACTACTTACCATTATAATTACTCTTTTTTTTTTGCAAATTACTAGTGTAAACAGGAATCTTAAATTCACCTCCCAGCCGAGTAATTATTTTTCTCACCGTGGCCTAATATAACCAATACCTTTCAGAAAAAAATACCCTCTCATTTATTCCATTTAGATGCTCTGTAGTATTTTTTTTAAAGCATACTGTACTATTATTAAGGGGCTGCAGCTCTGTAGGGGCCTGGGGCTTATGAAACTGAACTTCCTGTTCCATCCGGACCAACTGCTGCTCACCCTCAAAATCAGCTGTGGAGGGTTGGCACAGATTTTGGAGATAACTGGTGGGGGGAGAGGAAACAAGAGGCCCTGTTACACCAGTGGAAGCATGCTGGTGCAGCCGTACATCGAAACCATGATTATTCTTCACTATGATTGCAACATCTCTGGCAAACTGGAATCTCACATTCATCATCTGCTCACCTCCTGGGAGAGGAATTTTGTTTCACCTTGGGCTAATATAACCAATGATTTTCACATTCATTTATACGATAAACTAAAGCAGGAGGCCAGGCATCTCAGGGTTATCGGGACTGCGATGCTATGCAAGCTGACTTGGGAGCAAGTCCAACTGAGATCAGTAGTAAACACAGATAGGATCAGGCTGCGTGCGTCCTGCTCCCGGTCAAATTGTTCACATCAGAAATCGAAGGACCTGGCTACTGAGTCTCAGGAGAGACTCGCACACGTGTTATTACCGGGATTCCTGAAAAATATATGGCACTAAGTGTAAAAACCATATCTATTGGAAAATGTCCTGTTGCACAGCAAAGACTCCAGAGAAGATCACCACTGCTTTGTTTGCTTTTTTCAAATATATAGCTGATGGGCTGCAAGGGTGTCCATGAAAGGCTGCACAAGGTAATCTGTTGAGAAGTAGAAGATCAAGCCAAAGGTGATGGAGATGGGAAGGGCAGGTAACGCTTTCTTGAATACTGCCAGCAGCAAAAGAGTTAAACACAGGCCCTAAGGAGGAAGAGAAAAATGTTACTCAGAAGAAGGCCGGGTTATTTCCCCCCTTAAGAGATAAAAACCAATAGATAAAATATTGGAAGTGTCTTGCAGTAGCTCAAAAGACTAAGGTCAAAATCCCAACACACATATTTTATTATTATTTTATTCTTTTCTATTCAATTCATACACTGCCCTATACCCTGTACACCGCCATATACTTGAGGTCTATGCTATGCTTAAGTGTACGAGGCCTAACAGATTTATAATGCATAAACTTTTGTGGACTGCAGAGAACCTCCTCAAGAGATCAAGAGCTCCCCCTCTTACCTTGCTTAATGTGCAAATTTCTAGGTAGAAAATATTTTGATGCATTGAATAGAATGAAAGTTTATGAGTCATGGTGGAGGGGAGAGCAAGTGTACAAACTCAACAGGTCTTTGTTTTGTTGCTACTTTGTTAATGTTGTTAATATTGTTTTATAGGTATGAATGCTGTCGTATTTTGTGAATCCTATAATATGATTTTTGGTGTAACTGTGATGTTTAGCTTATTTTTTTTAGTTGCTTTTTTAATAGCGTTACATAGATGGGAATTGTTTTAATTGGGATTTGTGATTGTTTCACTGATGATTTGTTAAGATTTTATACGATTTATGCTGTATTCATGATGTTCCATAATGCTATTTTTATCTTTTGTTTGTAAGCCGCTTTGGGATTTATTTGAATGAAAAGCGACATAGAAATAGAATCAATCAATCAACAATCGCCAAACTCCTATCAACCCCAGCCAACATGGCCGAGTTCTTGTGGGGTGAGTTCTCACCTTTTAGGGGGTGGGCCCCGTGTGGGCAGGCATCTTCCGCAGCTGAAATCGATTCAGCTAGCCTGGCTTTATGGCATAACACCAAGACATAACTTATCAATTTCACTTACTATGAGGATGGCTACGAAACAAGCCAGAGTTGTATTCCAGTCACCGCTAGCAGTGGCGGCTGCTTTGCCCACAAGTACACTGTAGAATATGAAGTCCCCAAGGCCCAATTTGACGCCTCCTGTTTAGAAGGGAGGGAAAGAAAGGATTCCGTCAGCTCTGCAGAATTGCTATTCTGACAAGAAACGCAGTGCCGTTATCACCAACCGTTCTCCGCTTATTATCGGGGCCAAAATCATCACGGCATTGGCAGCTCTCTAGTGGGTGGGGAAAGAGAACACCGATCTAGAGAAACTGGATCACGTTTCTTATACTTTACATCCATTTCAGATCTGTGCCAGCATTATCAAGGGTAATTTTTTAAAAAAGAAGGGTGGATTTTTCTGCTTGTCGGTAGGACATCACTCTTTAGCTTTTGCCAGAAACTGGATGCCATCATAGCAAGCAGTGCAAGATTGTTTAACAGCACTTCAATCCTACACACATTTACACTGGAGTAAGTCTTGCTAAACTCAGTAGGGCTTCCTTCTGAGAAGACATACTAAGAAATGCAGTTACTGGCCATGCCAGAGAGGTACTTCTCAAGAGAAAAGGTATTTTCCTATAAGATAATCCGGCTAAAACATCCGAAATGCAGAGAACTCCTGCTTTAAAGGTGGGTTCTGGAGACAGAAAGCCCTTACTCTGAGTTGCACTCAACTTTTTTGGGGGGGGGGGAGTGAAGTGTGGATTTTAATTCTCCAAAGTTTTGAATCTGTATCTGATCCAGTTCATGGTCAGGCATACATTATGTCCACACAAATCATTAGGGGAAGCCTTGGGGTCATAGCCTCATGTGAGTCCTAACTGAACATCACCATCTGTACTGACAAAGCAAATGATTTGTATTCGTAGCATTTCCAGGACACAGAACTATTGTGGAAAAAGCAATGGAATGCATTGGAATGCAGATGCATTCCAAGACTCCTCCCAGGAATAATTTTTAATTTAATTTCATAGACACTTTTCACAAACTGTCAAAGTCATTTCTAAAAGCGCACAGTACAAAAATCCTTTAAAGCACAAACACACACACTATCATAAAAGCAAGCCCCTTCATCCCCCAGATATAAGCTTCATCACCAAAATGATCCCCTCCCCAAAATACTATCAGCTGCTGCAGAAACTGACACTCAAAATGCTGGGGAGATGTTAAGAACTCTGCCATAGCCCCAAACCTTTCCATTCCAATTCATGGCATGTAGTTTGGCATAAATTAGTACAAAAGGACCAAAGAGAGCAGAGCTGCTTTAGGTACAAGATCTCACGTTCAGTAGCTGGTATCTCCATTTGAAAGCTTTCAGATAATATAGGCTAGTAAAGACCTCTAACCTGGAAGCTGCTTCTAGCCAAAGGGTGGCATTTGGCTATAGGCACCAATGGACTCAATCTGAAAGGAGCTTCCTATATTTTAAAGATACTACAGCAGGCTTCACCAACCTTGTGCCCTCCAGATGTTTCTAACTACAACTCCCATCAGCACCAGCCAGACACAGGTGGAAGACACCAAGCTGGTGAACAGAATGTCCAAATTCATATTTTGTGTAAATACCAGCAAAGTGGCCATAAAAGGGTTTCAACTTACTTTCCTCCTCCTCTAAGGGAGGATCGATTGGATGGTCTGTTCTTGAATTTCTCATGTCAGGAACGGCTGGCTCAGTGTAACAACCATCATCCTGGTTCTGTGCTCCTTCTACTGAGAAGACCAAAAGCCACCCGCAACAAGTCAGTACATACAATTATTGGATATATATGCACACAAGCACATATAAGCTGGAGTCTTCTACAGACTTACCTACGGGTCACTTGTAAGGAAGAGTCAGTATGTGTCAAAACATTTCACTGTTTTCCAAGCAAGGATTTCCATACAATATTTATATACCACTCTTATCATCTTAATTTGATGAAGCAGTTCACAGCACAAAGTGAAACCAAGAATAATGAAAGTATCATAAACACACACATACCAGATCTATATCGATGAAAGCAAATCGATGAAGGCTGAAAGAAGCAGCAGCCTTAATACGGTATTGGCCTGAATACAAGCCGCACCCGAATATAAGCCGCAGCTTTAAAATGGGGGGGGGGAGAGAAAATAAGGAAAATACCCAAATATAAACCGCTCCAATCCTCACTGCTCCTGGCTGCATACTGGGGGGGGGGGGGAGCTGTGCTGTACTGCGTTGCCAATGGCCTTTCCCTTTCCTTGCTCTCTCCCTTCCCGGCCTTGGGGGAGAGGACAGGGAACTACGAGCAGGGTGGGCACCGCTTCACCACGTTCCTGGCGCTGTTTGCCCCACGGTCCTGGCTGCATACCGTAAGGTCATGAATATAAGCCGCACTGTAACTTTTCACAGTCAGAATTTGGGGGGAAAGTGCGGCTTATATGCAGGCCAATATGGTACATCAACTCCACAAAGACTTGATGAAACAGCATTTGAAAGGAAAAAGGGACTACAGTTTTTTTTAAAAAAACAAGCACAACAGCAGCAAACCCTGCTCCTAGTGGAAAGCATCCTAGCATCCGGAACATTTGGAATAGAATCAGGGATTCATCTGCAGATCTCAGTACTTGAGCACACTGCCAAATAGATCTGGGTCCAAGAAAAATCTTGGGAGATTCTCACTCACACATAAGTTGTAAGAGGTGCCAGAATTGGCCCTCCTTTCATGGCCAATGTTAACTATTTCACTGAAGTTTAGAACGTCTAATTTCAAAAGTAGTCGGGAGTCTCAGTCAGCAAAGTACATCCACCATTTTTGCCAACTAACAAGATATTTCAGAATGAATTCACACGCTATTTATAAGCAAATGAAGACTTAAAAACAAAACAAAACAAAACAAAACAAAACAGAGAGTGCATAGGTCACCTTGATCCCATGTCTCTTCAGAAGACCTCCTTCGTGCATTGTCTTGTTTTGCCATTCCCACAGTCCACATCATAGTAGCTATAGAGTAGGAAGGAAAATAATACATGACGGAGTTCCATATTCCATATTATATAATGCATTGCAGGTAGTTACACTTACCCATCAGTACAGTGGTACCTTGGTTCTTGAACTTAATCAGTTCTGGGAGTCTGTTTGATGCCTGAAACCATTTGAAAACCAAGGCGTGGCTTCTGATTGGCTGCAGGAGCTTCCTGCACTCAAGCTGAAGCTGCGTCGGATGTTCGGCTTCCAAAAAATGTTTGCAAACCGGAACACTGACTTCCAGGTTTGCAGTGTTTGGGAGGCAATTTGTTCGACAACTAAGCCATTCAGGAACCAAGGTACCACTGTACATAGACTGGGTGAAGTGGGGACTATTTTGTCCAATCAGTTTGTTATTTTGTCCAATCAGTTTGTTATTTTGTCCATCAGTTTGTTATTTAAAAAATTCTCCAAACTGAAGAAACACTCTGCTTCCAAAGTTTTGTTAAGCCAAAACAGGTTTTTTTCATTTTGAAGTAGAACTTCTGCTGGCTGTGTTTGGACAACTATCCAGAGTTTCATAAGCTGAGCAATTCCATTTATGAAGCTTTTTAGCAAAACAAACCATGGTTTATGAAGCTATGGATGACAACCAAGACCATTTTGCAACAGTTGAAGCACAAAGACCACAGCATACATTAGGCCAATTTCCCCCCATTATGTGCAAACCAGGGAACCAAGAAAGTGCCACCTTTTTGGTGGCAGCTGCAAGCTTGCCACCCTTGGCAGGGCTTGCTCTTATGCGCAGGTGTCAAGGTCTGTTGGAACTACCTCAGGCTGCCCACGCCTGTGTCCTGTTCATCAAACAGCTGCACTTCACATTCTCAGTTCCAGGCTCTTTATAGCAGGTGGGGAACCTTTGGGTGTGATACAACACCCATCACCCTGGCCATTAGCTTGGTGGAGCTGATGGGCATTGTAGTTCACCAATATCTGGAGGATCAAAGGTTTCCTGTATTTGTTGTTGTTGTTTGAATTTATATACCGCCCTATACCTGAATGTCTCAGGGTGGTTCACAGAAAAGATCAACATAAAAACCACAATATATATAATCAAAATAAAAACCACAACCCAATAACACACACGCCCCCCAAGAGCCACATTTTAAAAGGGCATAGGATGTTAATCAGGTCAACCAAAGGCCTGGTTAAAAAGAAACATTTTTGCCTGGCGCCAAAAGGTGTATACCTGAAGGCGCCAGGTGAAATTTCCTGGGGAGAGCATTCTGTAGATGGGGAGCCACTGCAGAGAAGGCCCATTCTTGTGTTGCCACCCTCCACACCTCTTGAGGAGGAGGCACACAAAGAAGGGCCTCAGAAGATGATCTCAGGGTCCGGGTAGGTTCATATGGAAAGAGGCGGTCCTTGAGGTATTGCGGTCCTGAGTCCATGTTGCTACACTGCAGGGTATATTCTGCAATGGACGCCCCTATACCCCCTGTTTTACTCACACGAATAAATAAGTGCCGGAAATATGGGCTCATTTCTTTCTTGCGCTGTTTCCACTAACATCCTGAGCGGCCCCTTTGGGCACAAGACAGCCACCAAGTCTGGAGAGAGAGAGAGGGAGAGAAAGAGAGAGAGAGAAATCTATTTGATCCCAAGTCACTTCATAAGTATTTCATTTTCCTGCCATTTATCAGCAGGTCATTTTTTCCTACTTTTTTTTTTTTTAAGTATGCATGGCAGACGTAGTTCAGTCACTGCAGTGTAAGGGGTTGTTCTATTTATAGATATGCCCTCTTGGCAGCTTACAAGATAAAATAATAAAAAATCAAATCAAATCATGAGCAGCAAATTAAAAACACACAGCTATCAAGTAAAAAAAAACCACTTTGAAAAATAGAAAGCAGAGGAACGCAACTCCATAGCATTGAAGCAGAACAGAGAAATAAAAACTATCAGAGCTACAGCAGTGCTACCGCAACCAAATAAACTAAGTCCTGGGAAAACAAAAGAGGTATTTACCTAGTGCCAGATAGACACTTATCAGGCGGACCTCTAAGAAGACCATTGCAGACACAGGGCCAATGCTGAAGAGGTGCTGACATACATGGCCACTGTCCAAACCTCATTGGGTGGGAGAATTTGAAAAAGGGACCTTGGGCAACAACCTCAAGGCATGGGAAGGAACCAGGGGGTGAGGAGCTAGCATTTGGTTCTGATGAATCTGAAACTGGGTCAGTTCAGAGATTTAACCCTTGTCCAGGGTGAAGTGGCTGTCCTCCAAAACAGCCTAAAGCAACTTGGATCCTTCTCAAACCTTTGGGACCGATTCAGAGAGACACAGACTGGGTGTAGATGAAAAACAGGGAGGGGAGAGGGAGAGAAGGGGGAGTAGTTTTGTCACTGACAAACCTACACTTAAAAAGTAGGTGCAGCTGCAGCCACATGAACGACGGTTGTTGGGTTCAGTTGTAACTCTAAACCAGAGGTTGGAAACCTAACGCCCATGGGCCGCTTCCAGCCCATGAGCTTCCCGGAACCAGCCCAAGGCCATTTCCGTTGTTTTCCCCCCGCAGTGTGGGTGCCCCCCCGCTGACATTCCCCCCCTCCCTCACAACAGCGGAACCTCCTCCCTGCCCCTGGTGCAGCAAATTGCCAGCCAATCGCCTGCTAAGGTTTGAGGCCCTGGCCAATGGGCGAGTGGCTGCTGCGTGTGGCCGAGAGGAGGAAGGCAGCTGGGCTGAGCTGGCCAAGCGCATTTTTAGCAGCCCCTTGTTGGAGCAAGCTGTTTGCTGCCGCCGCCGCTCTGCCAAGCATGGCTCCTGGTGCTTGCCCTTGCGAGCGGCAGATGCTGTCATTGTCAGAATGAGCAGCCCGAAAACGGCCCTTTCGGGCTGCTTGTTCTTTCACCGCCACCCTCTGCCTCTCGGCAGCACCCTAGTTAGGCAGGGGGACAGGAGGGTCTGGGGGAGAGAGGGGGGAGAGAGAAGCCCCCTTTGCCGTGCACGCACACACGCACTCCGGCCCACCAGGAGGTTTGTGGTGTGGTGAACTGGCCAACCCCCCAAAAAGCTTGCCGACCCCTGCTCTAAACTATACTTGGTTCAAACCATGGTTCAATAGACAACAAAAAAGCGATGAGTCTCTCCTCTTTACTTCCATTCACAGAACGTTACAGGGGAGGGATATAGAAGGAATGTATCAGTTGACAGTTCATGTCAAAAACATAAACACAGCTTCTCAACTTGTTCCATTCATCATGATTCCCTAATCCCTGCACCAATTTTTCTCATATTTTTTCCAGTTTTCTTTCTAGGAAGCCTTCTGCAATGCTTGCAGAGGAAGCTGATGTGTCAAGGAGGAGATCTCGGGCCCATTAAAAGGACAAAAACAAATTGTCAATTATTTTATTGTCATCCAGGTGCAAATTCGCTGTGCATGCAAAAGCGAATGTCCTCTGTTGAACCCTGGAAAGCTAATCAATGTGGACAGGACTATGCGACTCAATACAAGTCAGGTTCCCGAGGGTTCCTCTCTCAGCCATCCCCCTGAAAAAACACTGTAATGGAAAAGGGGCCATTAGCTGACTATGAAATATAGCTGGTACAAACACCGATTTAGGCTAGCTCCTATGAGTTTCACTTTTCCTAGCTAAAGAATGTGATGAAGAATAGAAAACGGAAAATCTCTTCCATTACCCAGAAGTCTCTTCCATTACAGACGTACCGTAAACCGATATGCCTCCCAGAATGACCCAGGCTGACCACTCAGGCAGATACTTAATGAAGACTAAAGCCATCAAGGCACTGATCATGATGAGATAGGCTTGCTGGAGGTGCAAGGGCCCCTTCCAATGGATGCAAATCATCCCAACGGCTCCAAAATTCCAAATGAAGAAGAATAGGGTGGGATAATCCATGGCCACATTGTAGGTCTTTAGCACTTCACTGCAGAACAAAAGGAAAAAGAAGTTTAGTCAAGGAAACAAGTAATAATGATAAGAAGAATGATGATGTTGTTATTTGTACCCTGCCCATCTGACTGGGTTACTCCAGCCACTCTGGGTGGCTCGCAAAGTAACCACTAGAAGACAACATTACAAACAATGTAATGAGGATTTTGCCCTGATGTAAAACAGATCAGGGATTCTAATATTTTCATTATTATCAAACACTCAGAAGTCAGAAACTCATACTAATCTAATGACATAGTCATTGGCTGTTCTCTACTTTCTGTCTAGCCCTGCTGAGTTGCTAAAGATCAACAGCACTTACTCACACTTACCCAAGGTAGATGTAGGTGAAGAGGAACAGCAGCATCAGAGATGAGAGAATGAGCCAGCCATGAATGAACTGTTAAAACAGAAGGCAGTGGTACACATGGTTGCTTTGCACAGATTTATCAAAGAAGTGCTCCTCTCCTCAACCAGTTTCTTAACCATACTGCTTGTTTTTCAGGCTATGGCTTGTTTTGCATATAACATGAAGCCATGGCTTGTTTCGGCAAAGTGTGGTTTGTCTGAATTTCTGAATCCAACCCAAAACTATAGTTTTGTTTTTTAGCATCAGACTATGATGCGAAGCCATTGCTTTTTTAGGTGTCTAGTGAACCATGGCTTGAACAAAGTATAGTTTAGAGTTACGCCTGAACCCAACAACCATGGTTCATTTGGCCACTCTATCCCAAACACTTGCCACACCACAGAAACACCAAGCCAAGAGCAGCTGGAAAACAAAACAGGCTTTGGACTAACCATGGTTAAAGCACACCATGGCTTAGACCTATGTGCCAAAGACTTTGAACATGCGGCTTCCCTCTTGAGGTGTTTTGTTCCTTCTCTTTCCAGGGCTTCCTTGATATCAGACTTCAAATGCTGCTACGGTTAATATCAAGAGCAATGAAACAGATGCACCAACCATCCATCAGGCTTTAAGGCATGTTTGCTTTATGGAAACATTTCTGATGCAGCAATCAGGAAGTGCAAGAAATGGAAAGATGAAACTAGAAAGCCCTGGATTGTGTGGGAATAGTAACCTTTTGGCTCAGAGTGACTTTGAGCAAAAACATGAAAGGTCAGTGTATATTTGTGAGTTTTTTCAGTGTCTTGCTCAGGGATAGGGAACCTGTGGCTCGCCAAGTGTTGTCCAATTGTAAGTCCCATCATGCCTGACCACTGCCTGGGGCTGATGGGAGCTGGAGTCCAACAACATCTAGGAGGACCACAGGGACAAAAGGTTTCCCATCTTTCTGCTCCAAAGTACTTGTCAGAGATCTCCTTATTACAGGTCCCAAGAATCTTTGGCACACCACATTCTCTTCAGTTCAGAGGCACCCTGGTGTCCTCCTTGCTTGGGTGCCAATGTCAACATGTTATACTTTGGTGCAGCTTTCTCCAATGTGGCCTGAAATTGACATGCGCTATTTGGTTTATCGGTTCAGGGGACAAAGAACAAACAAAACCTGATTCATAGAAACTAAGTGGCAACCTCTCTTGGTAATCTGATCCCTTCTCTTTTGAAATTTGCCAATTTGGATGGCCGCAGGTTCCCCCTGCCTGTACTAGCCTACTTCAACCTCCTATTATGACTTTACTGCATAGCCCCTTAGGAAGCCTGCAGGGATCACCCAGATACTGTTGAAACACAACTCTTTGCAAAGGGATGCATTTGTTATGTATTACCCAAAGAGGCGTTTGTGCTTTCTCCAAGTGCTTCTTCCTGCTCTTTCATTCCTGCTCATTTCATTTCATAACATTCAAATTACCTTCACTTTAATAAAGTGCCTGAGCTTTATTAAGTTCTTGGGAGGTCATCCAAAATAACTAATAAACCAGATGAACAACTGGTCGCAGTCTCCTTTTAGAGAGAGAAAAAAAGCTGTTGCGTAAGCACTCTTTGGTGTCTTCTGAAGACCCGCCATCTACCAACTTCTCACTCTTCATAATGAACTGCTGGATATTCTCCTTGATGCACTTGGGATTGTTTAAAGAAGAGGTCTGTACAATTTCTGACCTCCCCGCTGGACAGAGCCCACCAGATATGTACTGTAGCTTGCCAAGCTCTGTTTTCGTAATCCCAGGCAGACAGCAAGGACAGGGAGTTTAATCAAGTCCCTTGTGGACCACCATATATGGCAGGTGGGCTGCTCTTTGCTCGATGGGTTACAAAATGTGCAGGCCTGTTTTAAAAATACCAATTTCACGCTTCAACACAATCAAGTTTCTTGACCTATTTTGGAATGAAGTGGTCTTTCATTTTGTCCTTAAAAAAATTGATTCATGTGCCATGAAGAAACTCTTTCAAAGCTCCATGTCAGTCTAATCCCATGGAAATGGCTTGTTTACCCAAACCCATTTGAAATATTGTGGACAGGCACAAAATGATGTATCCTGCAACCTTCTTAATATCTGTAGGGTTGCCAACAAAAACCACACTATACCAGTTATTGGATGACCATACATTCCATGTTGCTGAATCTAAAATTTGGACTCCCTCCTTGCCTATGACCAAGTTATCAGTCCTTTCATTTAAGGAATGAGAATCCCCAAATTTTTGGAAGGTGAGTTTTAGGACTGCATGATCACCATTGCACCATGCAAGCTGCAGTATCAGTCCAAACCTTCTCGCTCAGAACTATGGCCAAACAGGGAAATAAACAGACAGGGTTAAAAGATACAGTGGTACCTCTGGATGCGAACGGGATCCGTTCCGGAGCCCCGTTTGCATCCTGAAGAAACCGCAACCTGTGTCTGCGTGCGTCGTGATTCGACGCTTCTGTGCATGCACGTGATGTCATTTTGAGTGTCTGCACATGTGCAAGCGGCGAAACCTGGAAGTAACGCACTACGTTACTTCTGGGTCACTGCGAAGCGCAACCCGAAAACGCTCAACCTGAAGAAACTTTAACCCGAGGTATGACTGTACGTTTATGGAAGTAAGTCTGGTTCAGAAATGATAATTTGCATATTAATTCTGAGCCTAAGTACAGAACTTGCCCAGCAATATCACAGCAGAATTTTGGAAATGTGAGCAATACACTTGAATGGAGGAGCAAAAACACATGACCGGTTTCTGACTTACAGGTATACAAGGCAAATTGAGAAGATCCATTGTGAGGACTGCTAAAATGGTATGTCTGTTTTCATCGCTTGCAAATCTTAGGCCATCGCCTTACCTTGTAACAACGGTACTTGTATAATAGAACCAAGAAGATCGTCATTACTACTATGACACTGATCATGATTATGGTATTCAGCACAGAGTTCAAGAGACGCTGGCCCACATTGGGCGTGTCTTCCGTAAATGGGGTATAAATCCTGCAAGAAAAGCATAGCATGTCTTTTTCTTTAAAAAAAAAGTGGTTTTGCTCTGGCACAAATTGATTGGCAATATACTTAAGCCAATGCAAATCCCCAACTCTAACTGACGAAAAGGTGGCAGAAACAAGGTGCATCAACTAGACTCAGAGCTGACCCTTGCAGTAAGTAGGGATTGAGATTTGTATTGGAATAGCAAAGGGTCAATTGAAGAAAGGAGGACAGCAAAAGATCAAATGAAAAGAAAGGAGGCTTGTTTGGATGTAGCCTTAAAGGCAATCACATTACCCAGCGTCAGACAAGGACTACTTACAGCTGTCCATTCTTCTCGGTGTAAAACCGCACCGACTTTATGGTTGCAACGACCACAACCATGCACAATGTGACAGGCACAAAGAGCATGATCACATGTTTCGCTCCGTATTTCAAGGTCAGCTCTTCCTCCTCGCTATCCACGGCAGCGAGCACTCTGGCGATTCTTTCCGTGTCGGCCGCGTTTCCATCAGCAGTTTTGCTGGAGCTCCCGCTGCTGCCGGGACGCCCTTTCTACAAAGGAAGAACATGCAACAGGGGTTAGCAGCTGGCAGGTCCTATACCTGGATCACCAGTTGTCCGCCCAAGTTACCCTGCCTCCATCCCACTCTGCTCATCTGCTCAATTGCCAACCTACCCAAGTTCATTTATCCTGCAAAATGTAAATAAGAAAAAAAACATGTTCTACAGCAGGCATAGGCAAACTTCGGCCCTCCAGGTGTTTGGGACTACAATTCCCATCATCCCTGACCACTGGTCCTGTTAGCTAGGAATGATGGGAATTGTAGTCCCAAACATCTGGAGGGCCGGAGTTCGCCTATGCCTGTTCTACAGGGTATAACTTGGAAAACAGAAGGAGCAGGCAGTGCTCCTTGCCCTCAGCAATCCCTCCATTCAATAACCCACCCAAATGATTGGAGGTTGAGGAGACTTTGGTGTGCACAGGGCTTGCCTATGTTCTGCCACAGGGATGAGGAACCTTCTTTCAGACAATGGTCCATATTCCCTAGAGGGCTATCTTTTGAGTAGGGTGTGTGTGTCACATGACAGCGGTGGGCAGAAGCATAGGCAAAACACAGATGGGACTCTTACCTTTGGACAATAAGCTACATTCAAGCCACGCTACAGTCAGAGGCTCTCTCTCTCTCTCTCTCTCTCTCTCACACACCCACACCCACACACACACACACAAAATTTGATGCTCCAGGTAAGCAAGATGCTTTTGCTCAGTTTAATTACACATTCGGAATGTGACATTCCAGCCAGAAAAAAAACACACCTGAGGAAGGTGCAATGCTAGTGAAGGCTGTGGCCTGGGGAGAGTCCAGAAGGCTACATTTGGTCTCCAGACCATCTCTGTTTTAGAGAATTTGAGCATCACCAGCTCCTCTTAACAGGAATATCGTCTCCACCTTATGTCACTCATTCTAAGGCTTAAAAACAAGCAAAAAAACCCCACACAGATAAGTGACTCAAGAAGGCATATGAAGGAAGAACCCGCACAGAGGACAAGATCAGGGTTTTACAAAGTGTTCCTTCTTCCCAGAAGTGGAATCTACACCTACCCTGTGCGTGAGTGTTTCTCCTGCTTCTGGTGTTTGTGTGTCATCTTGGTAAGAAGGCAGAAGGGGGCTCTCAGCCGACATCAAGGACGTTCTCTCGTTGCAGGGTTCTTCCTCGCTGTCTGAGTTGTTCATGAAGGTGATCATGCTTCCTCCTTCACAGAGAACCTTGCAGTGCTATATTAGAGACCCACAAAAGGTTGAGCCATGGGAGAACGGCAAGAAAATGTCAAAATCATGACACCTACGAACTTATTTTGAGCACAGCCCACATAAGGCTACTTACACATAATCAAAGCACAATACAATTTAAAACGAAGAAAAACTAGGCATTTTATACGTATCAGCACAAAGCTTCAGGGGAATCCCCACTTACACAGGGGTTCCATTCTGGAGGTGTACAAGTGGGGGTTCCCCTGTTCCGCCCGCCCCCTCACACAGTTTTTGGTGTACTTGTCAGCGAAGTTGGAAGATGCCTGTGTAAGTTTCAGCAGAGTAAAACATAAAAAACACCCTATGGGTGATATTCAATGTTAGTCCTACTCAGAGTAGACCCACTGAAGTTCATGAATGTGATTAACTTAGACCCACCAAAATTAATGAACCTGTTCTTACGACTTAGTTGAATACAAAAACATTCTAAATTTAAGCTCATTCACTGAAAGTCTAAAATAGGAGGTCAGCCTAAACAAAAAGGATTTTAAAACTCTTTTAGATATAGCGAGAACTAGCAATGCCAAATTATATTTTCCATTGTCAGAGGCACTGAGACAGGGAAGCATCCATGTATCTTGTGAATCTTATGCTAATCTAATCCAAACTCTGGAACCGTATTTTGTGCCACTTAAAAATTCATATATGCATATACTGTAAATATAAGACACACAGAGAGAGGTGTCCATTTTTTGGCAGAAGTAATGGAAAACAATTTGGAAAAGCCTTGAGGCAAAAGAATATAGGAATTCTGAGTTCCACAGTTCCAAAGATAGATGGACTGGTTTGGAAAAGGATTAATGGCACTTCTGCACTGTGATGATTCTCTGTGGCTCTTATGAGCCAACTCCTGAAGAAACGAAAACCGGACAACATCCCGGAGGTTCAAGATGTGCTCCAAGTGTCTTGATGGCGAATATGTGGTAACTACTACCCACCTAGAGGGACGTGGGTGGTGCTGTGGTCTAAACCACTGAGCCTAGGGCTTGCCGATCGGAAGGATGGTGGTTTGAATCCCCGCGACGGGGTGAGCTCCCATTGCTCGGTCCCTGCTCCTGCCAACGTAGCAGTTTGAAAGCACGCCAAAAAGTGCAAGTAGATAAATAGGTGCCGCTCCGGCGGGAAGGTAAACGGCGTTTCCGTGCGCTGCTCTGGTTCGCCAGAAGCAGCTTAGTCATGCTGGCCACATGACCCGGAAGCTGTACGCCGACTCCCTTGGCCAATAAAGCGAGATGAGCGCCACAACCCCAGAGTTGTCTGAGACTGGACTTAATGGTCAGGGGTCCCTTTACCTTTACTACCCACCTAATCTCCCTTCCCCGATCACCTGCCTCTCAGAGAAAAGCAAAATCCTTTGCTGAAAAACCACTGATGCTCATCTAGATATGCCTGTGGCAGCGGGGGGGATGGGGAGTTGCAATCAAAGAAACACACTTAAACCAAGGGTTGGGGAAAGGAAACCTTCATTCACTGAAAAGTAGTAAACTGCAAAGAAAGTTGGCCTTTTAGAATGGTTCATAGTCACGTTTACCCTACACATAAGCAGTGGTAACATGCCCTCCAGGACTGAAGGGCATCATCATGGACAGAACCATACACCAGGGGTCAGCAACGTGCGGCCCATGAGCCGGATGCAGCCCACAAAGACCGTTTTACTGGCCCCTGAGCTGCCCCCGAACTGAGCCACCCGCTCAGCGAGTCCGTGTGCTGCACTAAACCAGTGCAGTGGGGCGCAGGGACTCACCAAGCGGTGCCAGAAATCGTGTCTGCACACGTGGAGATACCGGAAATCGCGTCTGCGAATGTCATGACGCCGAAAATCGCTTCTGCGCAGGCGCAATTTTCAGTACCTGGGCATGCGCAGAAGCATTTTCTGGCATGGCGGACATGCACAGACGCGATTTCCGGCATCGTGCTGCGCCAGTCCAGCCCATAGACGATTTCCATGGGACTGATCCAGCCCATGGCCGGTAAGCCTTGCCAACCCCTGCCATACACAGTCACACTCATGCCATCATGCTGTTCCCTTTTGTTTCCTGAAAGAAGCTCACTACTGCACCAATGCATTTAGATCCAGCTTCTGAGTAGCCTATGAGCCTAAGGTAGGGTGGAAGCCAGTGGGGAAACAACATACACACTCCCCACCCCATCACAGGGTTCAGCATCTGCTCTGCCCAAACTGATTTGTGGCTGTATTTTCATAACATCTTTCTGAAAACACTTTGGAACATAATAATCACCACACACAAAGGGAAGGAAAAATCACATGTGCTGGAAGTGGTTCTGAATCTCTGGATGCTATCCTTCGATACAGATTTTTGTAACATTGAGCAGGGCCTCCCAAATTTGAAATCCAGGCCTCAGAGGTTGAAATCTACCGAGAATTAGGAAACTTCTATTCTAAGTTCTACCTGTTATCTTGCTTCATGTTGTAATCTAGCCCAAGCAAAATGAAATATTTACACTTGTTCCCTGTTATCTGTTAAGCCCAACTCACGCTCAGCTTCCTCTAAGGAAGAGATGGGGAGACACTGGGATGATTTGCATTGACCAGCAAGAGTTTCCAACTTTGACTACTTCAATAATAACAAATAAAAATAAACAAATCTCTTCCATGGCTGACCCTGTGCTAGTTGCTTCTCTCTCAGCCTCAAGAGTTCCTCTGCTGTAGGAGAGTACGAACTGGCTGCTCTTGACTACTGGCCAGTTTTAGAATTTGATATATACAAATCCAATCTGTATTAACCCCTATGCAAATTTGTACTTTTATGTGTATGTCAATGTATGGCTTAGGACAGTCTTTACCAATGAGTGCCCTCAAGATGTTTTGGACTACAACTCCCATCAGCCCTAGCTAGCACGTGTTGGGTTATATATGGGATATGTAGTCCAAAACAATGGGAAGGCGCCCAGCTGGCAAAGTCTGGTTTCTAGGTTGTGAAGCTTGACATTTTATTCACAAATGGAGTCAGTTTTGCCTTCCCAAGTCCAGACGCATTTGATTTTGTTCCACGGTTGGCTCCAGTTGGACTGTGGAAAGTTGGACAAGGGCACCCCTCTAGTTCAAAACATCTTATGATCAACAAGGCTCTGGAAATGGTTGTTGGAGTTCAGCCTGGATACGAGGAGAATGAGAGGAGATATGATGGCCATCATCAAATATCTAAAGGGCTGTCACATGGAAGATGGAGCAAACTTATTTTCTCCTGCTCCGGAGGGTAGGACCCAAACTAATGGCTTCAAGTTACAAGAAAGGAGATTCTGACTAAACCTCGGGAATAACTTTCTGACAGCAAGAGCTCTTTGACAGTGGAACGGACTCCCTCAGAAGGTTCCAGACTCTCCTTTCTTGGAGATTTCTAAGCATGGATGCTTTAGTTGAGATTCCTGCATTGCAGGCGGGTGGACTTGGTGAGCCTTGGGGTCCCTTCCAACTCTACAATTCTATCACTGTGTCTTCTTCAGCTTTGGAAAACAAAAAATGAGATGCTATCTCCACAGAACATATGCTTAAAGAGCTCAAGCGTGTGTTGTGTCGCACTGCTGCTGATGCACGTTTGTTTGGACTAGCAGCAATTGGCAAGGGAACCAACAAGCTCCCATGTGGCTTGTGATTATCAGGCACACTGGAGTCAGGTTGACTGAAACAAACATGACAAGATTGGCTGCACTAGCACAGAAGTGGAGCATGAAAAGGGCACATCCAGAGAGTGGTTATTTTAGAAGTAGACACAATCTGCTCCTGTTGTGCACTTACATGGTCCTTTAAATCTACAGGCTCTGGGGGTTTCTTCCAGCACTTGTGCTTCTCTAATCACATGACAAACAGGTCTAACTGTGAGACAAGCATGGAATGTACAGTTAGGCACTCCACTTCCAACTTCCTTTATAGGCCTTTTTGAGGGCTAGTCCTCACCTTTCTTACCAGTACAGTGGTACCTCGGGTTACAGATGCTACAGGTTACAGACTCCGCTAACCCAGAAATAGTACCTCAGGTTAAGAACTTTGCTTCAGGATGAGAACAGAAATCGCATGGCGGCAGTGTGGCAGGCCCCATTAGCTAAAGTGGTATCTCAGGTTAAGAACTGTTTCAGGTTAAGAACGGACCTCCAGAATGAATTAAGTTCTTAACCTGAGGTACCACTGTACTTTTAACAGAAAAAAAAATATTGTAGTTCTCTCCACTGCTCCTTTAATATTACCCTCTCTCATCTTTGACTATGCATCCTTAAAAAAGCAAAAACACGTATGACTAAATGAGTACCTCTGAGCATGAATGCAGTGTCTTTACTCCCCACTGAGCTCCTACAATCTGCTCCCACACAATTAAGGAACAGGGCTTCCTCCTAGGGCAGGTGACAAGGCTCCCAGGAAAGCCTCAACAGTAGCACCGTTCAATTTTAAGAACAAAATCCATTAACAGAATCCCGACAACACAATCTGTTCTGGGTAACCTTTGCACAACTTGCAATTTCTGGTGTTCTTGCACACCATTGCTAAACTTTTATATCTACAGTGGTACCTCGGGTTACATACACTTCAGGTTACATGCGCTTCAGGTTACAGACTCCGCTAACCCAGAAATATTACCTCGGGTTAAGAACTTTGCTTCAGGATGAGAACAGAAATCGTGCTCCGGCGGCGCAGCAGCAGGAGGAGGCCCCATTAGCTAAAGTGGTGCTTCAGGTCAAGAACAGTTTCAGGTTAAGAACGGACCTCCGGAACAAATTAGTTACTTAACCCGAGGTACCACTGTACATACTTTTAGCCCTACTTCGTGCTATGTCCCCAGCTGGGATTGTGAGCTGCTAATTTACCCACAACACCGACTGGCATATCATTATAAAACAAAAAAGGGCGTCTTGTTTACAATGTGCCAGGTTAGAACAATGCAATCTTTAGAGAGTCAGAAGCAAGGTTACTGTTCTAAAAGGTACTTTGCTTTCCCTGAAATGTTTAGGATTGACACCCAAGGAAACATTCTCAAGGTTAGGTGGAAAATGAGAGTATGAAGGTCAAGCAAGGAAATTATCACAACCTGCAGAAGCTGAACCACCTCCCCCTCCCCCCACGTTGCCCTGACATGCCTTACACCAAGTCAGACCATTGGTTGATCCAGCTCATCACTGTCAACACTAGGGCTGGGTGATATATTGATATATTGCTGGAAACCAGTTTGAAGTCCATAATGTGATATTGGTTTGAGAAGTTTTGACCTGGCAATATACAGTCATACCTTGGATCCCGACCACCTTGGTACTCAGGACGTTTGGCTCCCGAAAGCCGCAAACCCAGAAGTAAATGTTCCGGTTTGCTAACGTTCTTTGGAACCCAAATGTCTGGCGGGGCTTCCTATTGGCTGCAGGAGCTTCCTGCAGCCAATAGGAAGCCACACTTTGATTTCCGAACATTTTGGAAGTTGAACGGACTTCCGGAACGGATTCCATTTGACTTCCAAGGTACGACTGTATTGTGAATCATGATGTGCGTGTGTGCTGTGCAAAAATCACAATGTGGGAAATACGTGAAGCCAGCCAAAGGATTAAATATGCAATTTCCCCTTGTTTATTGTTTAGAGTAAATGACAAAGGCAAAGCATCCAGCTGCTTCAGTTGAAGCCATGGAATTAAGGGACCAGTATGGCAAAGCATCAACATATCCCAGGGCTTTCCCCTACACCTTTTGAGTCCTACAACTTTCCTTGGGGCTGCTTAAGAAAGTACGGGAAGTCTTTATACCCAGAGGCAAGAAAGCTGAGGTCAAGGAGCTTGTGCCCTTAGCTCCCCCATTATATGCTATGTCTTTGTTTTAATATTTTTTAAATTATAAACCACCACATTGGGTGCCTGAGCAGAAAGGCAGTATAGAAATCATTTCCTGTACCAAATCTCATGACAATCAAACTCAGCGTGCAGTTACTGACGAATTCGTGTGAAGCTGCCTTAGGACCTGCATTTAAATTGCAAGAATAAACAATACAACTATCTTTTGATTATTGTTCTCAAATACAAAAGAAAATGTTTTAGCGCCCAAATCATTTTGAATACGCTTGTGAATTGTGATGTTAAAATTTAAAGTCTCTTAAAAGTTTTTATTTCAGGCACATCAAAATTTCACTGTGCACACCTTTTTCTTTGCACATTTTGTCACTAATTCCTTCAGGTCAAGCGCTGATGCATGCCAAGCCAACTCTTTTGCAACACTGTTAAGTGAATGTAAGTTTTTATAAGTTTGAGCTATGAGAAACTATGTTCACCACTTGCCACTGACAATGGAATTTTTAGAAGGATCCTTGGAACAGCAGAAACATTAGGCACATCATCCATTACTCTTTATGGCAGCACAGGCTATGAAAGACTTCAAGCTATTGCTGTAAGTTCACCACACAGTTCTTCAGCATCAGTATATTCGTTTCCATTGTGCATCCATGATTTCTGCAATTTTTGCAAGCCTCAAGTACAGCTTCAGTAGATTTTTTGTTGATACTATATACTGTATCTATTTCATATATACATTTTTTAAAAATCTAATGTATGAATTACTGTACTACATAGATGATAAAATTCTTCAAAATGTAAAAGGAAAATCTTATCATAAATTTATAACAAAAACTAATTTGTAGAAAACTGTGCTCCTCAAAAGTCAGTACTGCACTCCTCTGAAGTCTGCACTCTAGGCAGCTGCCTAGTTGGCCTAATGATAGCACCCACCCTGGTCATAGGCTAGAAGCAGCTAAGCTCACATTTTCAATGTTGTTGTTGCTATTAATTAATTAAACTCATACACCACCCTGGAGACAACACTTTCTATAGCGTACCATAACTGTGATCAGATAAGTGCCTCTAAGACAACAGCCAGCAATACACTTTTCACTTTCCTTGAACAGGAAAACAAAAACATAAAACGATGAATTCAGGAGTGCTCATTTAAAAGGGCAATGCAAAAACGCCCAAAAGAGTACTGATGGCAGAAATCAGGCATAGGCAAACTTGGCTCTCCAGATGTTTTGAGACTACAACTCCCATCATCCCTAGCTAACAGGACCAGTGGTCAGGGATGATGGGAGTTGTAGTCCCAAAAACATCTGGAGGGCCCGAGTTTGATTATGCCTGGCTGAAATAATAACACCCACACTGAAGATCTTTCTGCACTAAGAGCTTGCTGGGCATCTTTCACAAACTACAGTATATTCAAAGCAGGGAGGCATTTTAAATGTTTTACCACTCCCTGGTAAAGAGGAAGTCTGCAAGGCACAGTTCCCTCCGGCGTTCCCCACTCCAGGCCCATAGCAGGGATCCACCCTCAGGGAGTGAGTCCTGGGAGATCCACCCTTTTCCCTCTTACCTAAGGCGACCTCTTCTTCCCACCCACTCGCATCGCGGTCTTACCCCGCTGCCCGCAGCCCTTTGCACCGGATTCAGTCCAAGGCTGTAATCCTTGAAAGCCAGAAAGACGCCCGGAAGTCGGGAGCTGCCGGGCAGAAAGCGCTCGCTTGCACCGCGCCTCCGAGACCCTCACCTGGCTGGGTCGCGCCGCCCGGCCGGCCGGATTCTGCCGCGACCCGAAGCCACGAGTTCCAGGACTTCTTCACCTGGCCGCCCGGCTCCTTAACCCCTTCGACGGCTCTTCTGCTCCTGATTGGCTCCGGCGCGTTCTCTTTCTCGAAAGGCTGCTTTCGGAATACCGCGTCTCCTCATTGACGCAGGCGGCTGCCGCTCAGGAAATGCCCAGCCTTCTGCCGAATGAGGAAGATGGGCAGGGCGGCAATCGACCAATGGGAAGCAAGCCTCGTCAGTATTTCCTCTGTTGGGGTGTGTGTGGTTTTTAAAGGTCTGTGCTGCAAATAAACAGCAACCCGTTGGGAGCACGGTAGGGAAATGAGGCCGAATCTGTGGCTCGCGGCTACGGATGCATGAGAAGGGAATGCAATAGTTTTGTCACCTTCTGCAATTCCTGTCTATAAATCTGCACTGCTGGTTGATTGCATTTCTTCTCCTGTGATGAGGCTGCATTTTAATGTTTTAATGTTGTATTTTAATCTTGTTTTTAAGTTGTATTCAACCAACTGGTTTTTATTATTGGTTGTTAGCCGCCCTGAGCCCGGCCTTGGCTGGGGAGGGTGGGGTATAAATAAAATTTGTTTTGTTGTTGTTGTTATTATTATTATTATTATTATTATTTATATTCTGCTTTTCCTCCAAGGGGCTCAAGGTGGAAAACCTTGTTCTGCCCCCCCCCCACCTCGTGTCCTCAACAGCAGCCCTGTGAGGTAGGCTGGGCGGAAAGGCATTGACGGATTTGAACCCTGATCTCCCAGGGCCTGGTTCAACACTCTGACCACTGCACCACGCTATTAATAACATATGCATGTGGCTGAGAGAGATGTCTATGTTGAGGTAGCTGTGTAGTGCATCCAGTCACAAAGTCACTTGAATGTATGGTCCTAAAGATATGTAATAAACTAATTGTGAGGATATCAGTTTTGTGAGGGATGCAGGGCAAATCTCAACCATGTTTGCTCAAAAGCAAGCCGCATGTTTACTGTACATTCTATTTTGTATTTTAAGGACAAGTTTAAACTGCCCAGAGGACTGAATTAAAAGGGTGGTATGTTATCGCTTCCAAGTAATAATGCTTAGGACAGCAAGCTGAGTTTGCATTTGAATCTAGAGGCCTTAGAGGCCAAAACACTGCTCCTTAAAAACTGGGCAGATACTTATTTCCCCAGAAGAACAGCTCAACCCTAAACATGCATATTCAGAAGTAAATTACAGAGCGTTACAATGAGTTTTCCTTGCAAGTTTGTTGAAGATTTCACTCACAAACTAATTTTCCCACACGCTCTTACAGCTACACAGTGGCATGACTTCTGTTTTATCTATCTGTCTTAATTTTTTTAAAAAAATCAACTGATAGTGTAGTGCCCCTGGATGACCAGGGTTCAAATCTCCACCTAGCCATGGAGCTCACTTGGTGAATTTGGGCCAGTCACTGCCTCTCAGCCTGACCCACCTCACAGGGTTGTTGTGCGGGTTAAATGAGGAAAGGAAGAACCAACGCCAGAACTCACCATGAATGCCTCCCTTGTTCTCTTGTAATGGCAATGGTGCCCACCTGAGAGGTGCCAGAACTGAGTTCTGGCAAGTTCTGGCAGAAAACCCCCCTGGGAAGAACCATGTACGCCACCTTGAGCTTGGAGAAAAAATATGGAATATAAATGCAATAAATAAATAAATAACCAGCCAAGGAACAAATTATTCTACCAGCTTACGTTTTATTAAGAACTTTTTTGAACAGTTTCCTGTGCCAGTTTCCTATATATTTTTCAGGATTTTGTTTCTAACCGCAGCTATTAAGAACCCTGCAGGCGGAATCTCCCTTCACATTCTACTTTTCTAAATAGATCACATGCCAAGCAGCTGACCCTGGAGGAAACTTAATTATTGTTTCTAGTCATTCTTTGATTCATAATTGTCAAGCTTCCTGAGGAAATAATTATAAGTGTAGTGTTGTGGTTAGACTGTTAGATTTTAACCTGAGGGGACTCTCGTTCCAGTCTCCACCCAACCACAAGGCTAAGATATTTTGTTGCCTGAGGTAACACCACCCTGCTAGAGCCAACACTTTTAAAAGTCTTGCTAGAGTATTTAGACACCAATTCCCTCCCCCCACCCCCTGGTTCCATATGAACATATTTATTATAGGAGTTTTTCTAAGTCTTCAACTCATTAAAAATATTATGTCAACGTATAATATAATGAGTGGCTCCAGGATCTAGTAAAAAAACTACTTTGAAGTGAAATTGTATTCCTGGGCAGCCCATTGAATTCAACCCCCTAGCCTCATACAGAATAGACCACACAACAAAGCTGTATTAAAAAAAATACATTTATATTACATAGGCTTTTGGCCCACTTGGAAATGTGTTATAATTGGGGTTGTTGTTTTTTACTGATGTTTCACCTGCCTTTATTTTATCACTGTCAATTTCATTGCTGTTTTATTGTATTGTATTATGCTGTCTTTGTAATGTTGCTGTTAGCCACCTCCAATACCATTCAGTGGAAAGGTAGGTTACAAATTTAACAAATAAATAACTCCCTTTTGTTGACTTTTATTGGGAAAAGGGGAGTGGGAGGCCAAACCTATTAATTTTCCTTGATCTCATAGCATTTGATGTCATTGACTATACAATAGTACCTCGGGTTACAGACGCTTCAGGTTACAGACGCTTCAGGTTACAGATGCTTCAGGTTACAGACTCCGCTAACCCAGAAATAGTACCTCGGGTTAAGAACTTTGCATCAGGTTGAGAACAAAAATTGTGCAGCAGCGGTGCGGTGGCAGCAGGAGGCCCCATTAGCTAAAGTGGTACCTCAGGTTAAGAACAGTTTTAGGTTAAGAACAGACCTCCAGAATGAATTAAGTTCTTAACCTGAGGTACCACTGTAGTGTCCTTCTAGATTGCATTGCAAGCTTCCTTTCTTATCTGCAGGACCAGAGAGTTGCACAGTGAGGCTCCTTGCTTATGTCCTTGTTGCACAGCCCCATGGTATTTCTACTATGGGGTTCTGTAAGGCAACATCATGCCTCTAACGTTCTTTAATACCTATATGAAATTGTTAGGAGCTGGGGATTTGGTGTCCAGTATCACCCATATGAATATGACGCCCAACTCCATCTTTCAGTTCTATTCTAAATCAGAAGCACCATTCATATGTAGGATCAGGCCAATAAGCGGAGACTGTATCCTAACAAAAGGTTCTGTTGCAAAATGGTTCCTAGGTGTGTTTAGAATCTCCCCATAAGGGGATAACAATTGCAGAGAGGATTCTGTGTGTGTTCTCAGCACTTGGTACTGAACCTTAGGAAGGTCTGAAGTAGAGCCAGTGCATATGGAGGCATTGGGAGCATGTTTTGCAAAAGCATCTCTCACCTCTGCTTCAAGCCCTCGTAAGTTCACCCTGGCTGCCTCATGAGGTCTAGAGACTTGTAGAAATCCACAGAAGTGTGTAAAATAACTTACATGCTCTTCCTTTTTGCTCAGGTTCTGTAAACATAGGCAAGCAGATGCTGGGTTCTGAAACAGAATAATTAGATTGCTTTTAATGGGATTACTTCTGTACTGAAAATCAACCACAAATAAACTTACATGTTTTGGTGCATTATAGCTGGAGTGCTCCACATTTCAGGAGGCTTACATTGATTTATGTAGAAAGCATACAGCCCTTTATTAAAATTATTTATGCCAGTCAGGAAAAAACCACACACACAAACACAATGTATTGTTGGCAAGTCTTCTGGAGCACTGTATCTAAAAATAGATGTTTATAACAGAAAAAGCAAATCTCCAGCATTCAAAATAAATTATACAAAGCGCAATTTTGTATACAGTATATTGTTTTAGTTTTGACAGGGTCTAATGCTTGCCATGTTTATGTCTTCACATAATTCAGAGGATTTCAGAGAGGCTAGGGTGCTAAGAGGCAGGATACAAAGGAAACAGGGAGCCAAGGACATTAAAATATTATTGGTGTTCTTGTGTTTTATGGGTATTTATGGTCTGACTTTATTACCTTTTGTATGTTGTAAGCCAACCAGATATACTTTATGAAAGTGTGGATTATAAATATTTAAATTAACAAAAAGCTGGGGGAAAGGGCACAGAAAGGCCCTCAGTGATGGATGGTCCTCAGAGTTAATGGCAGGCGGAGCCAACACATTCTCGTTTTGTCACTGCTGAGTTCCCAAACAGTGACACTTGAGTCCAAAGAGGAGGAAGCTGACAGGCTGTGCCCCTCTCTGGATTGCTTGCAAGTAAGAAGGCAAGCTGAGAGCAGACTGAGGTTGGTGGGGCAGTGCCCTGTTTTCCCCAATAGACTAGTCTCCACAGAGTCTCTGAAAGGCATGTAAGACTGAAATATAGATTGAGGTTCTCCCCAAGGCAGGCCCTTTTACTTTCTCTATCATTTGAAGGTTTTGAAGAAGAAGAAGAAGAGTTTGGATTTGATATCCCGCCTTTCACTCCCTTTAAGGAGTCTCAAAGCGGCTAACATTCTCCTTTCCCTTCCTCCCCCACAACAAACACTCTGTGAGGTGAGTGGGGCTGAGAGACTTCAAAGAAGTGTGACTAGCTCAAGGTCACCCAGCAGCTGCATGTGGAGGAGCGGAGACGAGAACCCGGTTCCCCAGATTACGAGACTACTGCTCTTAACCACTACACCACACTGGCTCTCTTTGCACACACTATGCCTTCTAGCAAGATTTGAAAACCCAAATGAGTTTGTTACAGGGGATTTCTTGGCAAGTGTGCCTTCTGCATCTGTTTCTGATTTTAGTGTTGCAGTCATTTCTAGGACAGAGAAGTATTGTGCTGAGGGAAAGCTCCATATCCTTGGCCGCCATGTTATCTACTTCCATTACATTTGCAACCTTCTGTTCCTTTTAGTGCCTGTAAGCTAAAAGTCAAAGCAACTCATGATATGGCAAGCATTTGGATTTGCTTAGCTAACCTTTCTAAGGTGTGTAGAAAAACTCATCTTGCTCTATTTTAAAACTGGAACATGGATAAAATGTCCTTTTGTTGACTTTCTGTGTGAAACTGTGCCGGTATTGGAGGGCCGGATGAAGACCTTTCTAGGCCTCTTAATAAAATAGTCACCAGCCACTA